CCTTGAACTCCCAGGGATCTTCCTGCCTCAGCCTCCTGAGTGCTGGGATTACAGCTGTGTGTCACCACGTCCAGTTTCATGTAGCCTTTTAAACAGTGGGATAATGATGAAAATGGATCCAAAATAATGTTACTTATCCACCAAAGCAATAGAAGATTCTTCATATCACCTTCCAGTAGTTCAATTCAGTTTTTGAAAAGGAGCAGAACAAAGTGAAATATTAAAAATCTAAGAGAAAACTTAGTTCATTTTGGAACTGTCTTCTTCCCTGTCTATCCCTTACCCCTCTTCTTTCTACCTGTTTTAATTTTGCTGAGTTCATAAATAGACTAAAGAAATAGAGTACTTTTTTTTTTTTTAAAAGATTAAGACAAAAGAGGACATGCCTCGTGATGTACAGTTCCTTTCCACAACGTTGGAGAAGAAGCTGGGCCTTGTGTCTGCGCCTTCATATTCCTGCAACTTCTCAGAGTCCTTTGGGCAGTGACTGAGGAGATAAACCATGCAGGAAACAATGTCTAGTAGAAAAAAAAAAAAGAGGCCAGATCAAAGCAGATCAGAGCAGAAGAATGTAAGCAACACAGCACTTCCAACAAGACAACTGGATATTAACAGTAGCTACAATAACGTGTCTTTCTTTGAAATAGTTGAGCATACATTCACATACAATAGTATCAAACATAACAAAATAGTATAAAACCATTCAAGAGAATGAAAGTATTACAAGGCATTCAGAAACAAATAACAGAAAATCAACAATGGCTACTATATGATCTCATTTTCTATAGAAAATTTGTTTATACTATCACACATACCAATATCCAATAAGACACAAAATGATAGAACCAATGGAAACAGAAGAACAAAAGCATGGTAGGACTTCAAAGCAAGATGATATTAAATCAGCAGTGGCTGCCATAATGTCTTGTTTTCTTCAAAATAGCTGTTCATACCATCACACATAATAAAATCAAACAAACCAGGACAAAACCATTCCAACTAATGAATGAAAACATTATAAGGCTTCAAAGAAATGTAACGGGGAATCATGATTCCCATAAATTCTTATGGGCTGTACCATTTCAACACCAAGTACATTTATTAAAAATAAGTTATGAAATATCCTATCTTTCCTTGAAAAATTAAAGAATAAAACCAAAAATGAGTAAAGATCAGATAGAATATATGTTGAAGAGTCACGTATCAAGGAATTTGCCTTGAAAACTGCTATTCTGTAGAAGGAAAAGTACATCAAGTTTCCGTCTGATCTTTTTTATTTAAAGCAAGGTTTCTGAGGTCCTTAGATTTTGAAGGTTAAGAAAATCCCAAACACCTATCTGCACACTATTTTTAGAAGTTGAGTAAAAATCACGAGGTTTGTGTTTTGAGGGCTTTGTCAGGTGGAAGGTTTACTATTGGAGCTGATTGCTCCAAAGATTTTTGATGGCTTTAATATTATGCTTTTCACTTGTCACCTTGATGACATTTTTTCCTTGCCCATGAAGCTGCTTTTGTAACTATGGCTAAGATCTGGGTTTGCTATCACTACGCGAATGCCCTCGGGTTACCTACTGAGGCAGCATCACAGTGCTGTGACTCAAGGAAGCCGAGTGAGGTGAACCTAGACACAGATCCCCCTTGCCCTCTTTTTAAATGTAACGTTTTAATGTTGTCCTGCCCATTCCAGAAACTGTCGGAGGAGAGAGCTGAGGGCTAGCCTCACCATGGGCACATGCACTGCTGACTGGGGTACGCAGGCCCCCTTTAACAGGAAAGCCTCACTGGCAGCTTCGTGCACCTTGGAAAGCTGGACCTCAGAGGCTGCACCCTGGGATCCCGGCCTGAGGCTGGACACCTCAACTTGCTGAAAACAGATGCCATGCCTAAATGACTACGCAGGTTTTTTGTTGTTGTTGTTGTTCCTGCTGGCCTGAATTTCTCAACTCCTCACCTGCAACCACTTTTGGAAAACAAAGAGCTGACCCAAGGGGAAGGCAGACTTGGAGGGAGCCAATGTGACATAATTTCTCTGGCAGCTTGTTTATTTTGGCACGAGGAATTGAACTCATGACCTGGTGCTTGCCAGGGAGGCACTGTGCCACCATGCTGTATTCCTGGCCCTGGCAGCTTTTAAAACAACAGACCCTTGAGAGTGTCAGGTGAATCCTGGCCCCAGTCACCCTGTTCCCCCATGATTCTGTGGTCTGTTGGGTCCTAACTGGAGTTCAGCCAAAATGACTCTGGGCAGCTACACTGAGATCTGTACGTTACTGAGATCTGTGAGTTCAGGGCTGGGAATGTGGCTGAGTGGTGGGTGCTGGAGCCGCTGAAACTGAGTACACATGCAGGTCTATGGCTGCGGGGCATGGCTGAACTGAGGACAAGAAGACCTTCAGGGGGCAAGATAAGCCACAGCCGAGGCCACCTGGAGACTTTCTGGGTAGTTTTCCTTAATTAGCATCATCTGTTGCTCTGAGGGTCCTTGAACCCTGCCCAAGATCTTGCTCAGGTTTCTTCCATTGTCTACTCAGCTCTTTGCTTGTTCGGATTAAATATGGCTGCCCAGCATTAGTGGCCGGCCGCAGAGTTACGAACTCTGCTGAGGATTTCACTCCGGCGGCCCTAAAGACCATGCCAAGTGTCTCACTCCTTTGAGCCTTTGCCATGCACCAGTTTGGGCTCCAGGTACAGACCCCAAGAGTGGGGCCCTGGCCTAATGTGCACAGGCCCTGGGCTCCATCCCCAACTCTCCGAAACCGAAAGGTTCACCTGCATCCAGTCAACGCCTACTCACTCACTGTGGTTGCCCACAGGCGGGCACTTCCAGCCCCACTCCTGCTCTTCTCTGTTTCTGGGTTTCTTCCTTATCCTTTTTTCTGGACTGAGGTCACCTGCCCCATCCTACTTGGTTCCCTTTCTCTTAGTCTTGTACACACCCTTTCCATCTCCTGCTGACTGCTCCAGCTTGAATGCCACCCTCTGAACTGTGATCTCACTGCCAGCATCAGGGAAGGGTTATAAACTGAGTCAGCAGACGCAGGGATTGCTGAGATGACAGTGGCTGCTGCCCAGCTGGGAAGGAGATGTTACACACAAGACAGCGTCGAGTGCGCTGTGTGCTTGGATTTACAGGCCCAAGAGCTGCCCTAAGACATGCAACTCTGAGGGCACCAAGCCACTTCTGCCCAAAATGGTCCTTAAGACACCAATAGACAGTAGCATAGGAGTTCTCTCCTGCAGAAGGCTCCCTCTCACACAAGCTCCTTCCCCAGAGGGCTCTCCATCTGGTGCTGTCCCCTACCTCTTCTTGGGGTTCTGTGTCATTGGACTTTTAGGATAAACTCGCTTTTGTCTGTATGAAACTGTGACATGGCTCTTCTGTTGCTGTGGATCCAAACTCAGCTTTCTGTGGCTGCCGCTATGCGGCTCCTTGCTGTTACACACAGTAACCCTATGAAGTGGGGGACTCTAAAAATGAGGCCAGGCCCCTGCGCCCCGGCAGGTAGGGACAGCCTAGAAGCCTCGCAGCGAGGCACAGGGGGGCTCCAGTGGAGAGGACTTGGCCTCCTGTGTGCTCCCTGCCCTCCTGCCAACCGACACTGTCTTGAGGCCCCAAACTTGCAGCCTCTGGAAACAGGAGCAGTAAATCTGTCCTTGGTAAGTACCCTGGCTCAGGCACTGTTATTGTCACACAAATGGACCAAGAGTAGTTATCTCAGGATATGCAGATTTAAATTCTAACTTTTACAAGTAACAGAACTGAGCTCCAGCTCCCGACCTAACCGATAGCTACCTCTGCCCATGACTCCTGTCTACCTGGGTTCCAGTTACAAGATGTGGCTGGCTTTGTATCAGCACTGCCTAACTCACCTTGTAAAATACGTAACATCCTGTGCCTGTGCTGCTTATTAACAGAACGCAGTCAGCGTGTAAGAATATGACTGTATGATTAGTAAAGGCATAGATGTGCTACACCAAGCTAAAATCAAATAGCAGCCTCCACCTCTGCTCCTGCTGCCGGTCACGTAAACACCCTGCTGGATTCAGGCATCCTTGACTGTCTGGGTCCGGCTGCTTTTCTTCTGATAATGCCCTGGCTACTGACAGTTCTCAGCTTGTGCTTCCCTTAGTGAAGAAAATGCATGGCTTCTAACTGGCTTCAAGGACTTTGGTTCGGATGAAGTAACTGCTGGCACCCCCTCCCCTCACCCCTAGAATGTTCCTGTTAAAACTCCTTTTAAGTAAATGTATTTAGCGTTAGTTTACCTGACAATGTATGACTTAATTCAATCCATGTAATCAGTCATATAATGCCTGGCACTTCCTGCCTGCACACTGCATTTAAACTGAACCCAAAACTGCCTCAGTGCTGGTGATCTGAAACTGATTCTCATTAGCCTGCTGGCATAATCAACAGTTGCCTTCCAGATTCCTTGGTGCAGTCTTCCATTTGGTTTTATATCAGTTTTTCTGTAACAATCTAGCACTTGAAATGTGGTTAATACAGACAAGGAAATGAGCATTTTAAATGCAGTCACCAAGTGGGAGGTCTTGAGTTTGATCTCTGGTATCCCCCACAAAAAACCCAAAACCAAAAAAAAACAAATGTAGAATCACTTGTGCAGTCTAGCTACCAAAATGGAATTCTGTGGAACTAACATTACCTAGATTCAAAACCTCTCAGCCCTTGCTTACCATTTATTTTGAAAGCATTTTTTTTTTCCCTCTCAAAGCTTCTCCTCTAGCTAGGGTGCAATGGGAGGTTTCTGGGAGATGCTCACTGCAGTGACACCATAGGGCACAAACTCCAGACTTTTTTTTCCTCAGTGCTTTCCACACCTCAGGCAATCACAGCAGCTGCCACAGCACATCATGAGTCTCCTCCTTACAAGGGAATGTGTTTCTTCTGACAGCTGCAGACCTGTGCAGGGATAGCGTCTGAATCCTGCTGAGGAGCTATGTGTCACTCCACCCTCCAGGAAACACACTTCAGGACCAGGTTAGCAGTGAAAGCCATTTATTGGGGTCTCGCCTTGAAGGATAGAAGCCAGGAGAAGGGGACAGCTCACACCACCATCCACAGTGGCCAGGCCAGGACCAAGTGCCTGGACAGGAGCCCTGCCTGGGACAAAGTGCTCAGGCCCAGCTCCCTTCCCCAGGTGGTCACAGCCCAGAGGCTGCTGTCTGTCCACTCCTACAGGCAGACAGCACAGCTCAAGGAAGACCTGAGGGTCCCCAATCCCAGGACTTGCCCAGCTGCTGGGCCTGACACTCGCCTAGCTTCCTGTCAGATGAGACTCCACAACACAGCACAGCCAGGGAGCCTTGAGCACAGGAAAGCGCTGCTCACTGGAGCCTGTCTGCCCCATTTCTCACCAGCTGCAGGCTCAGCTAGGTGGATTTGCTGCCTGGAGGAACACCCAGGCTTCCTAACCATGTCTACACCACTGCCCCACCCATGCTTCTGGTACCAGCTCCAAGAGGTGCCAACCATGGCCCTCAAGCCAGTGGCTGCCCAGATGCGTCCATGTGGCCGGGATCTGGGGAGATACTCCTGCCCTGGGTTCTGAGCTGTGAGGACACCATGAGGGACTACAGAGAACACTGGCTTGGTGGGAGCCTTGGTATCCAGACTCGGAATCGCACCTGGTCCCTGCAGCTTCTGTGAAGCCAGCTGCCCCCTCCCTGCTGAGGACTGAAATAAGGCAGCTGTGGCCCAATCTCCTGGCTGCCACCCGGCTTCTTCTTCCTAACTGGAAAGCTTCCAGAGGTGCTCCCACCTCACAGGCTGCTGGGGGACCTGGGTGACCCCACACCACGATCTGAGGACGTGACTAAGGTAACTCTTGCATGGATACACAATCCCAGCTGCGGGGTCCCAGTTCTGGGACACCAGGACCGTGTCCTCTCATGGGGACCTGAGGTCTAGGGACTAGGGGACAGCGCAGCACCACAGCGCCTGGGCAGAGACAGCAGCCACAGGTGGGAAGGTGCAGAAAGAACTGTGCTGGACACTGGGCCAGGCAAGGGTCACAGCAGGGCTCAGGCGAGGCCGGCTCGCTCCAGGTCCTGTGGCAGCACCCGGCCCTTCTTTCGGGCCTTCTGCAGGCGCCGCTCGGCCCGAGCTGCCTGCTTCTTTCGCAGGTTCTGGCGCCGCTTGTCCTGCCGCTGCTGCATCTTTTGCACCACCTGCGCTGAGCGCTTCTCCCAGCGGCGCTGCCGCTGCGCCCGCCGCTTCTCCTTGCGCTTCAGCGCATCCTCCAGCAGGTGCTCGTCGTCCCGGATGCGCACGCCCTCTGCCTTGTACAGCAGGTTGGTCCACTTCATCTTGGCCTCCAGCTCCTGGGCCTTGCCCGCATCCTGCTCCCGCAGTTCCTCTAGTCGGCTCTGCCGCGCCTGCAGGCGCTCCAGCAGCTGCCGGTAGTTCCTGCCTGTCAGCGGCGTCAGGTTCCCCTTCACCTGCTGCCGCTTCTCCTTCCTGCGCTGGGCCTTGCTGGTTGGCTCCTCTTCGCTCACCTCCACCTGGGGATGAGACGGCTGTGGATGGTGGGCTCCAATGCCCCCAGCCCTGCAGCAGTCTGAGCCAGCACTTTGCCTGTGTCCCCTCTGCAGGGGCGCCACTGATTAGGGGCTGCAGCACGCAGTGAGGCTGGCCCTCCTCCCACTCACCTTGTTGAAAATCAGCACTGGCTCTTTGGGCTTTGCACAGGCAGTCCCTGGAGCCACCTTGGCCACTTCCTCCTTCTCCTGAGCCTCCTCAGCCTGGGCTGCCTTCTTCTTGGCAAGCAGCTCCTTCCGTTTCCTCTTCTTGCGTTCCCGCTCCTGCTTTCTCCGGCGCCGTTTCTCCAGAGTGGTCGCAGACAGCTCCATGGTGCTGCCCTAGGTGGGAGCAGGTCCACTCAGCAGAGTCCTCCTCACCTCAAGGGGCCCAGTGCTGGGAGGTGTGTGAGGAGTCCCGATGCACAGTGTACCATGGTAAGACATTCCCTTACCCACGATGCAAGTGACCCCCTAGAAGGAATGTGCTTGCTGTCCCTAAGCCTTCCCATAAGCCAGAACGTCGTTGGACATTCTGAGCACTGTCATCCTTTCTCCCATGGCTCAGGACTTAGATGGCATCTGAGCCCCTGCCCTGACCATCGCAGATCCTGCTCATGGCATAGCCAAGTTGTGCTCTCCTGCTGCGTCTCCCAGCACTCAGCCCCAAAACCATGCCAGGAGAGGGTGCCATGTAAGGGCCAGGGCACCAGCCTTTAGAGGGCCAGACACAGGTTGTGCCTCACCATCATGTGTCAGCAACCATGGCTTCCTGAGAAGGAAGACCAAGCTTCCCCTAGGGCCTGCCCAGGAAGAGGGACACAGGGCAAATTGAAAAACCATTCCACATGGTCCCCATCTACCTGGCCCCGGGCCTCCTGGATCTTCTTGTGCAGTCGCTCTCTCAGGATGTCCAAGGCAAAAACGGAGCCAGGTTCTGTGGCACGGCCATCTGTAGGGACAGAGATAGGGGTGGAAGGGGCCCTCCGTCCCTCCCCAGGGTCCAGCACCTAAGCCTCAGCTCTGCTTCCCTGGCCCCACACCGTGGCCACTCATGGAACCGCAGGACAATCAGGTACACTCTCACCTTTTCAACCTGGGTGGTCCCTGCTACCCCTCTAGGACAGGCAACTGACTCCCAAATAAGTCACTGGGGTATAAGAAAGCATTTCTTATAAGTCACTGGAACAAGCTGCTGCAGGCCTCAGAAGGATGGCCTTGCCCATAACATCCTGGATGCCAGGAGGCCCTGCATCCCACCCACCCTCAGCACGGCTGATCTTTCCTCCTGGGTCTTGTGTTATCCCAGGTGCACGACGGTGCCTTTTCTTTTCTTTTCTTTTTTTTGACTTTTTCGTTTTTATCGGTACCAGGGATCGAACTCACTACCGCACACTTGCAAGGCAGGCGCTTATGGCGCTGAGCTAAATCCCCAACTTTCTTAACAGCAGAGAGCCATGCTTTTATCCAAGCCCTAGCTGGTCCTGCCCTGGGTGTCCCAGACCCTCACCTGCAGGGGCTCTCGTGGCACTGGAAACCTCCTCCTGCATCACTGCTGCTGGCTTTCTGGCCCCAGAAGCCACTGGAGATTTCACCTCCACAGACTTGGCCTTGTGCTCTGAAGATTTCTGTTTCCCCTCTCGGGACTTCTTTTGTGTCTTCTTCCTTTTCTTTTTTGGTGGTCCAGCAGCTTCTGAACCTTGAGCTTTACCAGCTGAAATGCAAAATGATAAAAGAGCAGTGAGCTCGGATCCATGAGTCACATAGCAAGCAGGAAGGTCCTTCGAGGGTTTTAATTACCAAGCATGCACTGAGAGAAGCATGGCGCAGGGGCCAGCAGGCCCTATCCTTCCCAAAGCTGGAACCACACACTGACTAGGAGCAGAGTAACCACAGATCAAAAACCAAACACCTTCGCACGCATTCTACTGTAAGAATTACCCAAGAAGGTCCAGCTTCAAGGGTATTCCCATAACATTATCTAAGAGAAAACCAGGAACCCCCCCCCCCAAACATCCATTTGCAGCAGGCTCTCACTTTCAGGGGTGAGGAAAATATGCACAATTTAAATTCCACAACAGAATGTAAACTACAGTTTCAAAGTTCACAACTCACACACAAAGCCTAGAAAGACAAAATGTGGTTACAACTAAGAGCGAGAAACTTGCTTAAATTTCAAAATTTCGTATAACAAGCATTTTCTTTTATTTATTTTTATCGGTACCAGGGATCAAACTCACGACCATGCACTTGCAAAGCAGGTGCTTATGCCGCTGAGCTAAATCCCCAGCCCCAAGCATTTTCTTTTTACCAGAAGGAATCCTATGATGTATTTGCTAGTTCCCTGGGAACCCTGCTGACCTCCTCGGGGTCCACTTGCAGGCCCCACTCCTGCGTTCCCCTCTGGGGGAGACCCTAAACCCTCTTTTTCCCTCCTTCTCCGCAGGCTCCGGGAAAGGCTCTTCTGCCCAACCGATCTCCCCACTGTCCCCGAGCCACCCGCGCCGGCCGAGTCTCCTCTTAGCGCAGGGGTTCGGGCTGACACAGGAAACGGCGACGGGGCAGCTGTCAAAAGCGCTGCTTCCTCCCGGCAAAGTGCAGGCTCTGTTCTGCAAGGGGCGCTCGGGCCATCAGGTGGGGAAAACCGCTGCAGGCCCAGGCCCGGCCCCGGGCCGACCCGGCCAATCCCGCGTTACCCCGCTCGCGCTTCGGCCGCTCGGGGCCGCGCTGAACGCAGATCTTCCTGGCCAGGTCCTGCAGGTAGGTGTCCTTGGCGAGCAAGGAGGCCATGCCTACGAGCCGCGGGAAGCCCTGACGCTCGTGGCGTTGTCCCGCGGTAGGGTACCCGGACCGCTCAACTCGCAGGAAACTGCCGGGTCCGTAGGCGCAGTCAGCCGAACGCAGATTCGCTAGCCCGGCCGGCGCGGGGCATTGTGGGCGCGACCGGCGCGGAGCATTGTGGGTCCACTGTGCAGCGTGGTGAGCGCTGGAAACCGCGCTGTGGGCTGCCTCTGTGGCCTTGCCCTGCGCCGTGCCCTGGCGGGGAGATGCACCTGGGACGATGAGGACCTCACCTCTGCCCAGGCACCGCCGTGGCGAGGCTGGCGGATAACTCGCCGCACCGGGGACCCGCTTTCCCGCCGCTTCCGCGGCGCGGCCAATCAGCGACCCCCCCCCCGACCCCTCCCCTCTTCCAGCCCTGCGACCGTGGCGGCAGCGGCGCCCAGCACACCCGTTTATCATCACCTGGGTCCTGCCGGATTGGGGCAGACACAGCAACGAGATGAACTGAAAAATAAAAACAGCTATAAAAGACACGGGGAACGATGTGGCAGGGATTCTGGGTGACACGAAACAGCCACTCATTTCGTAGGAACGATGGTCTGGGGCCGCGAAGAACATGCTCTTAGGGAGACAAGCTGATTAAGTAGTTTGCAGTGCAGATGAAGTTCAATAGATTTTTGTGTACAAGGAAGTGCGAGCAAAAGTGCAAAGGGCTGAACCCTTCAGAGGACCTAAATGGGCGTTGTTAATACATACTTGCAACTTTATACTACTGAGAACTTTCCCCTGGGTTCTAGCATCCTCAGAATGAAAAGGTGTTATAGACAGGACTGACCAGGTTTAGCACCGGTGACCTTAATACACGTGGCTTTGCGGGAGTCACTGAGACAGCCCTATCTGAGGTGGGCTGGGAGAGCCTGTCAAGTGGCCTCTCTCACCGAGTCCTGCCAGGCACCAGCTGTGCTCACTGCAGCCCAGGGAGGCCTGAGCAGCTTCCAGGCGGGAAACTGCACTGTTGAATGGTATTGGCCAAGCTGAGAATAAAAAAGCTGTGATGCAAAGATTTTATTACTCAAATGTTTTGAAAGCAGTGTGCTTCCCTTTGCTTGTAAGCTCTTTCTTTGTGGTTCAGTGCAGCCCAGCCCACAGCTAAAATGCTGTATTGTATGCGCAAAGGCTCTTCTCTCCATGGGATCTGTACTCCAGGGCCAGGCCTCCAGTTCCTCCAGCTGCTGCCTTCCCAGTTCAGGAGGGTCACAGTGGCTTCTGGTCCTGGAGTCTCTAAGAATTAGTGAGGTGTGGTGGGCATCCAGAGAAGGGGACTGGATTTTGCTTCTGATAAACCACGGGTCAGGGAGGGCATCCTAGGAGACTCAGGTGTGCTCCGTGGGGCCAGAGCCACCAGCATGGGAGTGGGCTGGGGCTGCAACCTGCAGGGAGCTGGTGACAGTCAGCCTGTTACCTATGCTGGCAGCCCTGGGGACTGTGGTCTCCCTTGCCCCTCTTGGGAAGGGAGATGGTGTGTGGATGGCAGTTGGGGCAGGGCTTGAACTCGTATCTCTTACACTAACATGGTCACCTCGTCTCACCACTATGGTTTCTGCACAGTGAACCTGGTGCAGCCCTAGGTCTGGAGTTCAAAACATGTTTCTGCCACTTCACTTCCCAGCCCCACAGCAAGGTGCACCTCCCATTCCAAGCCTGCACCTGCTCCCCTGTGAAATTGGGGCTTAACAGCACCAGGGGTGACAGAATGAGGGCAGAGCTAGCCAACAGCAGTGATTTTTTCACTCGTTCACCAAACACTGAGGACTTGCTCGGTGCCAGTGGGAGGGGCTCAGTCTGGATGCCAAGGGAAGAGCTGATGCTCAGATGTGGCTGGGCCCCCAAGGGTGGTCCCAGGGATGAAAACAAGGAACCAGTGTGAAAAAGTGGCAGTGTTTTTATTCAATGTTATTACAAAGCTGGCAGAACGGACATATTGGCAGGACATGGGAAGAAGCCCCTCACACAGGCCCGCCAGAGCATCCAGCCTGTGGCACAGATATGTGTGCTGGGGCAGAAGGCAGCAGGAGGGCTCTGAAGAGCACTGTGGCCCAGGAATACCATTGACTTTGGGCAGCTCCCAATTTTAAGCCTTGGGAGGCTGCCTCTGCTGTCAGTCAACCCCTCACCCAGTCAAGGCCCTCAACTTCCTCCCACCTGGCCAGCCAGGAAGGCAGCAGCTGAAGATGATGCCAGGCCACCCTGGGAGGCAGACCCCAGTGGGCCAACTTTCTAAGGAGGTTACAGTGGCTTCTGGGTCCTAGAGTCTCTAAGAATTAGTGAGGTGTGGTGGGCATCCAGAGGAGGGGACTGGATTTTGCTCCTGATAAACCAGGGGTCAGGGAGGGCATCGTAGGAGACTCAGGTGTGCTCCGTGGGGCCAGAGCCACCAGCATGGGAGTGGGCGGGGGCTGCAACCTGCAGGGAGCCTGTGCCAGGCTCTGGGGACGCCAGCAGAGGGGCCGAGAGGCAATCAGCAGAGTCTGTGTCCAGGTCCAGCCTCCAGTAAGCTTCGCACAGAGGCAAGTCATTAGCTTCGCAAAGACTTGAGCTTTTCCACCACCAGAAACCCCAGGGAGGGACAGGAGCAGGCAGAGGAAAGCCAGGGAGGGGAGAAGCAAGATGGAAGCAGAGTTAAGAAAGTCTGACCACCACCTCAAACTGCCATCCCTTCCTCTACTCTGCAGGCCTGGCTGGGGGAGGGGGTCATGGCAGAGAACGCTACCAACAGGCCACTGTGGGACCTCAGCAGGCCTTCTACCCACTGAGCTGCGGCCTTTGGTCCACTCCTGGCCCCTGCGGGGTTCCCATCTTCAGTAGCTGGTGTGATACTAGGACTTTGGAAGCAGCCTCTGACAGCACAGCTCCTGCCAGGGACCTGACCTAAATGGGTGACAGGAACACGGGCTCCAACGTGTCCCTGCACCACTGCTCCAGCCCTGTGAGTCCACGGCCCTGTGCACTCAGGAGTAGGCACGAAGCCAGGCTGTTGGTTACAGCAGTGGCTACTTGCAGCAGGGATGGCTAATGTGTACTTGGTGGCCCTGGCCTTGCCCACACCAGCCTCAGAACTAAGACACAGAGCGGCACTCACAGGAGAGTGGGGCAGAGGCAGAGCCAGAGAGAGCAAGCAGCAGAGAGAGGGCAGAGAGGGCCAATACTGGCGCACGTGCAGCACAGGCAAGAGGGGCACTGGAGGCCAGCAGCCCAGGCACTGTGGAGCTGGACACTTGCGGGTGACCACAGTGGTAGGGGAGCAGCTTCACCACGTGGCTGGGGGGGGGGAGGACTGGACAGGACATTTGTGGGAGGGGACACAGGCTGGCTTCGGGGCAGACGGGGGGCTTCAGGAGCCTGGCACTGGTCCCTGGGGTTCCCATCCCAGCTCTGCTGTGTGCCCTCCGGCCAGACCCTCCTCCTGCTGGCCTGCAACCCCCTGAAGCTGTTACTGACCCATGGTTACTCCATCAGGGCCCCTGGGCTAGCAGCTGCCTCGTGGACAGTAACATAAAGATATGAAACGCTCAGCTCTAGGAGGGAGGGCCTGAGCTATCCCAGAGCCCACTCTGCCTCCCTGGGGAGGATCAGGGAGCAAAGCCAGCCCCAGAACTCCTGCAGAACTCCAGAACCATTCCAGCCAGGCAGGGAACCTGAGACCCAGCCACAGACCACACTGGCTCTGGACAAACAGGCCAGGAGGGAGGAGATTTGTCAGGAAGGCACAAGGTGGGCCTGAGCTTTATGACAATGGGCTAAGGGACAAAGCTCCAGCCTCACTTTCACTTTGGTAAATATTACTTTGGAGTCTGGTTTCCAGATTCCTTCCGCGAGAGGGTATCAGGTCTTAGGACTTCAAGCGACCCCATAAGGGCCAGGGTGGACCCCAGAAGGTCCTACCCATCACTGTCCCTTGGGCCCAGCAAGCAGGAGGCTGCAGCTTCATGAGTAAGCTGTGGTGACCAGAAATCAGACGTCTGAGTACTCTGGCCTGGGTCCATGGCATTCCCTGCTTGGTCTCCCTCCTCCCTCCCTGGGCTGTCCTGTCCCCACGTTGTGGGGTTCGGTGACATCCAAATGGAACTACATCCAGATGAGCAGTGGCATCCTGGATGTGTGTAGGCTTGGATTGAGACTCAGCTGAAATGTCTACATATGGACAAGCACAACAAGGCCCAGAGGAGGGCTCTACCTGGCCCAAGAGGGTGGATCCCCCTCCCACAGAGGTCCTGGTTTCCATCGCTCCGCACCGAGGGCAAGGCCCGACCCCGCCAGCAGCTGTGAGAGCACTCTGTCCATACGCTCTGTCTCAGGACACCAGGCCCTTTCAGGCAGGGCTGCCCTGCCTGCTGGCTCTGCCCTATTTGTACCTGGACGAGTAATACTCCTCCTCCAGCTCGTACAGGTCGATGGAAACCTCATCCCGCAGCGTGATAAGTTTGCGGTCGCACTCCTCCTGCAGGGCGCGCAGCTGCTGGTTGCGCTGGTCAATGGCCTCGTTCACTGATGGGAAGTCATTCAGGATGAGGAACTGCTTGAGGTCAGACACCAGCTTCATCAGAGACTCTCCTGCTCGGACCTGCGGAGCCCGGACAGGCACCAGGTGAGGGCGCAGCAGCGGCCTCCCCAGTGACTCAGCCTCAGTTGCAAAGGGGCCGCAGACTCAGCTGTGAGGATGAACCTGAGCTGGGGAGCCATGATTTGGCCCCAGATGGGAAGGGGCGTCCAGCCTGCCCCACAGTCCTCTTCTCCCCTGGCCTTGAGTTTCCATTCCCACGGGCCCGATACCCTACTGAATGGGGTACGCATGCATGTATCTGCACATGCTGTCAAATCCCTGGGAAGCCTACCATCCTGTCCTGCCACTGCCTGGCTCCTCTCAGAGGTTCCTGGGGGCCTTTCCCCACGTTATTCCCATCTGTGGACACACACCTGCAGGGAGCCCAGCTTGCTGGGGTTTTCATCTGACATGGGGAAGGATCATACCATGAACTCCTTTTCACTCACAATGATCCGAAAACCCTCAAATCAGCGGGAAGGGCTGCCCCTCTCCTGCCCACTACACCCAGATTTGCAGGGCTGACCAGCGTCCCTCTGGGGACAATCTTCTGATAACGTATTTGCCCCTGTCCCATTCTTGGAAACTGCCAAGGGGTCAAACCAAAGCAGCCCTGTATGTTAAAGCCCTGTATGTTATAGACCCTACTAGCACCCAGGCCAAGCCTCTGCCCTGGTAACTCACGATGTTGGCAGCTCGCACATGCATCTCATAATTGTCCTGTTCACCTTGAGTGGCCCGTGACACCTGTGTCTCATCCTCGATCTGAGGGTAAGCAAGAAAGCCTAGGGTCAGCCCAGCTGATCAGTGCAAAAGTCCCCACTGCTGGCCCAGTCTGGTACACAGGCATCAGCAGGCCGCCCAGTGTGGCCATGGGGCCATAGCCAGCTAGTCTCTACCAGACCCTGTAACTATTTGGCTCTTTTGCTTATCTGCTGACCTGCTCATTATGACACCCTGCCACCCCTACTTTCCCCAAAATGCTTCTTGCATGGAACAAGGGCCACGTCTGTCCCTTTCCCTGCTGTGTCCCTGCCCTGACACAGATCACAGGCTCAGAGATGGTGGGCGGCCGCAGGGGTCACTGCTCTGCTCTGAGCTCTCTAGGCCTCACCCACCTTGGCAGTCTTGATGATCTCAGTGAAGTTGTCCATGATGGACTTGATGTCGTCCTTCAGCCGCTTGTTGTAAGACTGCAGCAGTGTCTCCTTGCTCTGGGGCAGGGCTCTCTGCTGGGCCATGGCAGGGGGAGGCCGGGGAGTCCAATGCAGGGCAGGATGGAGCTTCGTGCGGGCGAGACAGGCTCAGCTATCTTCTACCACCTACGCAGAACACGCAGCACTCCTGGAGAGCCCCTTCCTGCCGCATAGTCACCCCACCGTTCAAACGCGGATGGACCCATTCCTCAGCTGGCGCTGCGGAGTCAGGGGCTTCTTTGGCCCACCCCTCTCCGTGGGCAAGCGCACCCAGCACCCGACAGACCAACCACACTGCCCAGTCCAGCGGTGGGCACACTGGACGCCCACCTGCCTAGAGTCACTTCACCAGCCTGGGGCTGCCCCGCACGGGCGCGAACCACGCAGTCGGGGAGAAAGTGGCTCAGCCCGGACTCCGCGGCCTGGCCGCCGGTCTCCGTCCCTCCGAAACCCGCCCCGCGTCCCGAGTCCCCTGCGGTCCATTTTCTTCAAGACCCGCCACTCCCAGCCTTGGGACTGCATCCTTACATGGAGACAAGCACGCCCGGGTACTCGGGATCGCCCCGAGCTGCGCTTACCAACGTTTCTGTGGTACTCGGTCCAGCAGTAGCTCTCCGCCCCGGCCCACCCACCTTCCCGCTGTTAAGAGTAGTGGCTCTAAGCACCGCCCCCGACGGAAGGATTTAAAGAATCCTGTAGCTTTAAATCTGAAGTCCCGCGCAGAAGCCAGCTCTCGCGATAGCCGCAGCCTCTTACATATTACCCACAAATCCCTTTACTTTCTCTTTCTGTCAGCCGCCCAAGATGGTGAGTTTGTGTTCTTCAATCCCGGCGCTTCCTCCGGGGTCTATCCGTTGCCATCCGCTTCTGGCCGCGGCCGCGCGGGATCCCCCTTCGGCCTGGGGTTGGAAGAGCTCTCTCGGGCATGGCAGGGGAACATTGAGCCGGCTAGCCGGCGGCGGGGAGCGAATGGGCCGCCCCCTGCGACCGGCTTCGAGGTGGCCCGGGGCGCTGGGGCTGCACCGCGCGGCGGCCTGGCACACAGACCGCGGAGCTGTGCTGGGTGCTTGGATTCGGGCGTGCCTGCAGTGACACGCAGGACTTCGCTCGGCCCAGGACGCCGCCGGGTCGCTGGAGCCGCGGGCGGGGCTCAGGCAGGTTGCGGCCCTTGTCGTGGGCAGTCGGCCCGAGACGCCCGCACCCTCGCGCTGTCGGGAGTCGAGGAGCAGACGGTTTAGCTGGCTTTTCTCTCTGCCCAGCCGAAAGGAAAGAAAGCCAAGGGGAAGAAGGTGGCACCGGCCCCTGCTGTCGTGAAGAAGCAGGAGGCCAAGAAGGTGGTAAATCCGCTCTTTGAGAAGAGGCCCAAGAACTTTGGCATCGGTGAGTAAGGAATGGAGGGTCAGACGCTTTAAACAGGGCTTTTCTAACTATTAACTATCGTAAGACGAAAAGGGGGGCGGGTGTGGCCTAGCCTGCTGTGATTACGCTTCGGCTGTTTACTAAAAAAACTGGACCTCGGGACCAGGGATACAGCTCAGTGGCACAGCGCCTGCCTGGCAAAGCATGAGGTCGTGAGTTCAATTTCTGGTATCAGAAAATGAAAAGCTGGACTTGCAGTGAGGACAGTGGTGATTTACTTAGTGGGTATCTTTAGCCTTGGACCTCAAGGGACAGTGGGCTGGACACTCACCCAGGAGAGGAGTCGGGACCTCCCTCCTGGACTTGCAGTGGGGACAGTGGTGATTTACTTAGTGGGTATCTTTAGCCTTGGACCTCAAGGGACAGTGGGCTGGACACTCACCCAGGAGAGGAGTCGGGACCTCCCTCAAGGTCTCGGTGTTTGTGTGCAGATGATGTGAAAGAATATTTGCTATCTGGAGGATGGTGATGACATGTCAAACCACCAAGATCGCTGATGCACCAACACCCTTTATAGTGGTCCTGCTGTGCCTTGACTCAAGAGTGGGAGCCTGATTCCTAGTCCCAAACTCTTCCTAGGACAGGACATTCAGCCCAAGAGAGATCTCACCCGCTTCGTCAAATGGCCCCGCTACATCCGACTGCAGCGACAGAGGGCGATCCTGTATAAGCGGCTGAAGGTGCCCCCTGCGATCAACCAGTTCACCCAGGCCTTGGACCGCCAAACAGGTGGGCTTTGGGGGTGTGGAATCAGCCTAACTGGAAAGGTGGTGCATGGCCCTGTGTGTAGCCCTGTGGGCTTCTGCTCAACCTGTAGTACTGCTAGGGACTTCGAATTTACATCATGCTAAGCGACAGACTGGACCTGAAACTGCAGGGCCTAATGGAAGGATGCTTTCCTAGCTACCCAGCTGCTTAAGCTCGCCCACAAGTATAGACCAGAGACGAAGCAAGAGAAGAAGCAGAGGCTTCTGGCCCGGGCTGAGAAGAAGGCTGCTGGCAAGGGGGACGTCCCCACTAAGAGACCTCCCGTCCTCCGAGCAGGTGAGGGACCCCTCCTCAGATGTGGTGCTGTGTGGGGGCTGGGCTCTGTAGTTGTGTTTTTTTTTTTTCTGAAGTCACTGTAGACTTAGCTTTTTGACAGTCAAAGCTGGTTGCATCTGCATTCTGGGACCAGAGTGGCCTGGGCATGCACTCACGGTAGTTGTGTTCCAGGTGTTAATACTGTCACCACTCTAGTGGAGAACAAGAAGGCTCAGCTAGTGGTGATCGCACACGACGTGGACCCCATTGAGGTAGGTCTGCTGGGTTTCTGAGCAGAAATCTTCCATGAATGGCTTGAAGAAAGTGGGGTATCTTGGGGCTCATTGTTTTGTTTAGTCCATAGTCAGCTGCTTCCAAGGCAGAGATGTGGTAGAACACAGCATGGCAGGAATTTGGGCCACCACTGCCAGAGAAGGAGCTGGGGACAGGCACAGGTCTGAGGTCACACTGATAGGGACTGGTGTCCTCCTGCCCCTTCTCACCTAGGAGCATGTTCAGCTGGGAACTCACCTGTGGGACTAAGTGTGTCAGCTTTTGGAGGGGGCATTGAGGATGAGACCAGAGTTTGAGTCTGTGTGGCACTTGCAATGATGTGAATCTCTCACTGAATTACGCCATGAGGTGTGAATCCATGAGCTTTTTAACCCTGAGCAGTTGCCACTAAGCCAGGTCTTGCATTACTGGCTTTGGTCAGAACACTGCTCTTCAGCCATTCCCCTCTTGCAGCTGGTTGTGTTCCTGCCTGCCCTGTGTCGCAAGATGGGGGTCCCTTACTGCATCATCAAGGGGAAGGCCAGGCTGGGGCGCCTGGTCCACAGGAAAACCTGCACCACTGTCGCCTTCACACAAGTCAACTCGTAAGTGTTAGTCTGGGCCTCGGGAACAGCGTGTGTGGTATGTGAATCTGAACATTTGCCCATGATGGTTAAGAATTTCTTCACCTGAATAAGCCATGTGGTCATGCTTTATCTGAGGCAAAAGGCTTGTGTTTCACAGTACAGAGGGTGTCATTCCTGCTCTCAGAGATAACCTGAGGCTAAATGCCTGTCCCCTCCCCCCTTGTTAGGGAGGACAAGGGAGCACTGGCCAAGTTGGTGGAGGCAATCAGGACCAACTACAATGACAGATATGACGAGGTGAGTGCTGAGTCCCTGCAGGCCTTGTCCTGGGTGAGGGGAGCTTTCCTCTCGGGGCCGAGGGGTAAAATGGGCTCGAGTGGGACAGGTGCTGCACTGCTAGAACCTTGCAGCCTCTGGGTCCACGCTCATGCTCTGAAAGCCTTGGTGGATGGCAAACCACACTGACTGCTGCTTATCTGTCATTTCAGATCCGTCGTCACTGGGGAGGCAACGTCCTGGGCCCCAAATCTGTGGCTCGCATCGCCAAGCTGGAAAAGGCAAAGGCTAAAGAGCTTGCCACTAAACTGGGCTAAGCGTGCTCTTTGGTGTTTTGTACATAAAAACAATAAATTGTCCTTAATCTGGTGCAAACGTGTCTGGGTGGTGGCCAGTTTGCAGTCAAGGCCAGGCAGACACTTGTATGAAAACGTGACATGAACAAGAGTTCAGAAGTTTTAATTTTCCCTAAAAGCAAGCCCCAGAAGTGCCTGCCTGGCAACCTCAGGGCCATGAGTTGGATCTCCGGTAGCACAAAAAAAATAAAAGCAAGCCCCAGGCTCTAATATCAGCAGGGCTGTACTGACCCTGCCTGTCACACACCAGGTGTCCGCTGTAGGAACTTCTTAAACCACAGGTATGATGTGGCTGCACATAGCCCATACCTGCCAAGGAACAGAAACAGCATCAGTGCCAAGCTGTGCCAGGCACCAGGGGGAGGGCCAGGGCATGGAGACTGACCAGGTTATGATGTACTGCATGTGCTCATTCCGCAGGGTGACTCTGGTTTGCCCTCCGATGGGTCCTCCAGGGACAGTGCTTTCTGCAGAGACAAGTGGACTCATGTCCCTCTTTACCCAGAATTCCTTGTGTTGTCTACTAAGGCGCCCCCCCCCCCAGCTGCAGCAGATGGGAAGTTAGCCAGGGAGGGACAGCACAGAAGGCATTTCCACAGCAGTATGCTGAGCTCTCTGGGCCATGTGGGTGACCACATACTGAAGTCCGCATCAAGGAAGACTGGCTCTGCGCCTGTGGTCCTGGCCATGGCCTCCAGGTTCCGGTAATGCCAGTGGTTTCTTTCTGGGTCGTTCTCAGGGACAAAGGGCTTTCTGGTTTCTGTCAGCCTCACCACTCCAGTTAGGTCCACTTCTCCCTCAACCTGCATGGAAGTGTGAGGCTGTGCTGTACTGGAGGCCAGGCAACAGGCCTTTCAAAGGAATAGCTGCCCTTTCTCACCTGGCCCTTCTGCCGGCTCTCGGGGTTCACCTTCTTTCTGGGGACAAACCCTCTATTGACCAGGATGGTGATGCTGGAAAAATGAAAGCATGCCTCAGGTGGGAAGGGCTCCTGCATAATGGTGTTAATGGCAGCTCTAGAAGGGACTCTGGCACCAGTGCCTTTCGTCCTCCCCACTTTCACCACTGCTTTGTGTCATTCCCCTTTCTGGTGGCCCCACGCTGGACGTGAAGTACTCAGGCCCTGCCCAGACCTAGGACGGCAGGACTGGGCTTTTCCCTTTGCCTACAGTGCTAACTTAACAGGGTTAACTGCTGGGGTGCAAGCAGCTCCTCTGCTGCCACCCTCAGGCCCATCACAGCAGCATGCTGGTCAATAGTTTTCTTTGTGAGGGGCTGTGACCAAGGTCCTCTACCTTCAGTTTAACATTTGGACCTTACTCAGGCGAGGGCTAGAAAGTTGCTGAGTAAATGCCAGCATTGTGATTTCAAACGTGGTGATTGGGATCCTCCAGGGTTTTCCGTGGTCGGGTTGGCACGGACAGTAAAAGTCCAGTTGCTGTAAGCAAACCAGTGCCCAGTGCAGCTACTCACCCCAGATCAGTGCAGTGGAAGGGGGTGACGACGAAGGCCCCGCTCTCAGTTGAGGAGGAAATGCGGCCAGCCTCCCGTGCCTCCCGCACTGGGTCCACCATGGTCCGGGGCATCATGTACAGCTCCTTGGAGTGGTCAAAGTGTCCCCTGACTGTCACTGGCCGGTACTCCAGATTCTTCAGCTCCATTGGGCTACGAGGAAAGAAGAGCAGGGGTCAGTAAATCTCCTTAAGGGAATTGCAAATGACCAGGCCACTAGGCATAAAACAAGGGTGGGGCAGGTCCAGTGGAGACCCCTAGGTCCTAGGGGACCTGGTAGGGGTGGCCCTTGCTCTAGCTTTTGGACACCACTGGGAACGTAAATTTATGCTGGCAAAGTGAAACTGCCTTCCTGTACAAATATTTTGCATAGAAATAGTAAAACGGGCAGGGGATTTTAGCTCAGCAGCCACAAGCACCTGCCTGGCAAGCATGAGTTCATGTGTTCAATGCCTGGTACCAGGAAAAATAAAAGACCCATATTTGTCATCTGCAAGGAAAACACAGCAACTCTGTTAAATGTCTGTCATTCCAGGGCAGTGCTTTCCAGTGAGGGGGAAGGGGCAGGTGGACCATTCAGCCACACTTTCTCATTACTACCCCGCTCCCAATGAGCACTCTTAAGTCACTACTACAGGGGCTGTCAGCTCCAGTGGATGGCTCGATTTGAAGAGGCTGAAACCCAGCTTTCTTTCCCAAGAGCCCTCCACTGTCAACAGCAAGGCCTGCACAACTGATCCTGAGGGCTTCTGTCAGCAAAAACCAGGCCCCAGCGGGCAGCCACACTCACTCTGCCGGCAAAGGGATGGGCTCAGCCATGACTCGAGACTCTAATTCTGCAATCAGTTTCAGCTTCCATTTCCGTCGCTGGACCTACAGAAACAGTTTAAGCCAGGCAGAGGGCAGCAGGTCCAAGGGCTCAGTGCTACCCGTGCTATATACCAGTCTTTACCTGCCATGTCCCCAGGCCAAAGGCAGTCACAGGGATGACAAGCAGCAACCACTGGAGGAAGGAGTCATCTGCGTTTGTGGCAGATGCTTCTGCTGCAGAGCTGCCACACCTGCTTGGCATCCACACCACCCCTGAGGAAGTTTTATAAACTGCTGTGTGGTCCGAAGCCATGGAATACGCAGCACTGAGCAGCCCATTCCTCAGGCTCCAGTCATGCAGTTCCAAGGATATACGAGTGAGCAGAGAGCTGCTGTCAGGGGCCAACCCGCAGCACCTGCATCCATCCAGCCCTGCTGCTCACACAGTGCCCAGCACGTTTGTAAATGAACAAATGAGACCCAGAGCTCACTACTGGCTCCAGCATCAAGACTGTGTCAGGACTGTGTCTCAGGATTTTTTTCTTTTATTTTGGCAATGCTGGGGATTGAACTCAGGGCCTTTGCACTGAGCTACATGCCCAGCCCTTTTATTTTTATTTTGAAATAGGATCTCACTACATAGCTAAATTTCCCAAGCAGGGCTCAAACTTGCAATCCCAGAGTGCTGGAATTGCAAAGATGCCCCAATGCCAGGCTTACTCCAGACTCAAGAAGGTGCTGTGTGTCCCAGTGCACTGATCTACACAAGCATTCATTTATTCATCTATAGAGAAGCAGTTGCCGGATCAGGGATATAGCCCAGGGGAATAGCACTTGCTTGGCAAGCGCGAGGTCCAGAGTTGAGTTCCTGAACCCAAAAAATTTAAATAAATAACAGGTACAATTACGGTGCTGGGCGGGGCACCAGCGACTCTTTACTGCACAGGAAGAAGCATGTCATAAATTCAGGGCAGTGGCTTATGGGACTCTCCTAAGCCACTCGCTTCATTATTCGCCAAAAAGGCAGAGGACGAACAAAGTACACAGAAGGAACCTCAAGCTTTCAGGTCCCTTGAGTCTCCCAGGCGCAAGCATCACACCCTGTTGAGCAGGTTCCGTTGTCTGTTCAGACATCTGATGCCAGGACTATGCGTGGGGAGGCAGCAGGTCACCCGGTGACCAGAGGCGCTGTCTTGCAGTCTCTCTGCGCCCTCCCACTCCGAGTCCGGACACCTTGCTCACCTGGGCGCGGGGCGACGCCGGGGACGCTCCAGGAGGCGCGGGCCTGCGGGAATGGGACGGCTGGCTGAACTCCCGCCTCATCCCGCGCCTCCCGCCCTCCCCTTCGCGTTTCACTCCACCACCGCTCACCGGCCCCACACACGCCGCGCGGAGCAGGCCCGCCACCCGCAGCCCCAGCATCCGAGAAGCCACTGCCGCCATCGTTCCCAGCACCAGCGACCTCTTCCGAGGACAGCGGCATGCGCTTCCGGGGCGGGACGCCGACTTCCGGGCTCCTCCCACGTCCACACGCCTGGCATTCAGTTGTGGCGACCATGGGTGAGCCCTGTGGTGCCGTTCAGGCTTTCCTGAGCCAACACCCGAGCCTGCGGCTGCTCCCCGGCTCCGACAGGGTGCGCGTCGGTGGAGAGGGCCGCGGAGGGGCGCGGATCAGGAGGGAGGGAAGCAGGGAGAGCGGGGACCCCGGCGTCCTGACCCGTCCTACGCCCCTCCGCAGGTGCGCTGCGCCCTGACGGGCCACGAGCTGCCCTGCCGCCTGCCCGAGCTGGAGGTCTACACTCGCGGCAAGAGGTATCAGCGGCTGGCGCGCGCCTCCCCGGCCTTCGACTACGCCGAGTTCGAGCCGCACATCGTGCCTAGCACCAAGCACCCGTAGGTGGCCGGCGCACCCTTACGGGGATTCAGACCGGGGTCCCCACCTGCGCAGGGACCCTTGGTGTGGCCGCAGCGTGTGGCTGGACCGCCGTCAGCTGGAGGAGGTGGAGGAGGTCGCAGGCTGGAGCCTTCACGCCCGGGGTGCCTCTCGCCTGTGCTCGCCTTGGGCGGGGGGTGGGGGGGGAGCGGGGCTGGGGGTTAGAGGGGGGCGGGATCCGGCTGCTGCGCTTGTCTTTCTGGCGACAGTGAGGTCACAGCATGTCTAGGTCAGTGGCCTGCCTCTCAGCCGTCGTGTGGAATTGTTTCTGCACCTTTTAAAATCGATGATCGGCCACATCCCCCGTCCTCAGCACCACGTGGGAGTTAGTACCATAGATGCCCCCCCCCCCAGCGTCCCCACACCAGTCTCCTTGCCCCTTAGGCATCAGTTGTTCTGCAAACTCACCCTGCGACACATCAACAAGTCCCCAGAGCACGTGTTGAGGCACACCCAGGGTCAGCGGTACCAGAGAGCACTGCAGAAATGTAAGTCTCCCCGGCCACCACAGAGACACAGGCCTTTGACTCCTGTCACTACCCCTCTGCCACAGAGCACTGCTGTGAAGGCAGCAGTGGCTCCTAGTCACCCTTCTGCAGCCCCCAAGTGATGGTGCATCTACCTGGCATTTGTGCAGTAAGGGGCCGATGACCCCTGGCCTCACAGAGCACCTGGCTGGACCTTTGCAGAGCTGGAAGAAGGCAGGGGAGGAAGTGTACTTTGCAGTCGGTGGTGTAGAGCAGTGTAGGAAAGAGGCCTGCCCTCCACTGAGGGGCTGGGAAGCTCTGCCGGTTGGTTTCCAGGCCCTGGGCCTGTGTCCCAGGGAGCAGATACAACATGGTTCAGGCTGAGATGGATGCCACTGGGTGCGTGTGCTGTGGAGGACGGAACGGGTGCGGCAGGGTAGCCTGCAAGTTCAGACGGCAGGTAAACCACCCTCAACTGTTTGGCTGGAGTGGGCAGAGGCCAGGCTGCCAGGAGAGAGCTGCTGGGGTCGGTCCTACAGACTCAGGTTGGTTTGACGATGGGACAATAGGGAAGGGGAGCCCACAGGTGTCTGTCTCAGCACGGAAGTGCCGCCAGGTCCCCCTAACAAGTGTGAGCACTAAGACCACAGGCCTCTGGTTCGTGGAGCTTGCAGAGTTCAGCTCCAGCACTCTGGGGACAACAGGCGTACCCCAGGAAGGGCCTACCACAATAACATGACCCAACTCCTGGGCTCCAAGCCCAGTGCCATCAGGGCCAAGCAGCCAGCCAGCTCTCGTGGCCCCTGGGCCTGACTGTGGCTCTGGGAGGGAGGCAGTCTGTCTGCAGGTGACACGTCATGTGGCTTTTGTGCTAGCCTCCCTGGGGTGCACCTTGGGCCTGCACAGCGCTCCCCAGGCACCTGCTTGCAGGCTGGCCGGGCGCTGGGTTAGCAGCCAAGGTAACCCCCCTCTGTGCCTGTGAGGCCCCGTGCCTACTGTGCTGCATTGGTGCCTGTCCTCTGAGGTGGGATCCAGCCCTGACAGGGTGCACACAGGATGTTGGTTTGTCCCCCAGATAAGGAGTGTCAGAAGCAAGGTGTAGAGTTCGTCCCTGCCTGCCTGCTGCACAAGCGTAAGAGGGAAGCCCAGATGAATGGGGACCAGCTGAAGGGCACCTTCTGGCAGCCACAATCCAGTGACGAGGAAGCGGCCCTGAGTGACGACAGCATGACAGACCTGTACCCACGTAAGAGCAGTCCTGCCCCTGCTAGGTGTCCTTCTGCTATCCTGGCCCTGGTGGCCGCTCTCACCTACCCTGCAGTGGGCACTGCTTCACCCAGAGCCAGCTTCAGCCCTGTGCCTGTTCTTCCCAGCTGAGCTCTTCACCAAAAAGGACCTAGAAGGGCCTGAGAACAGAGGTGACACTGATGACTTCTTGATGGACCAGGAGGACGAGAAGCCAAGGTCCCCAGGAGGGAAGAGCCCCAGGGAGATGGAAGTGGTTTGTGAGCAGATCCCTAAGCGCAAGAAGGTGAGCTGTTTCCTTCTTGGATGCCTATAATCCTGGCACTCAGGAGGCTGAGGCAGGAGGCTCACCATAAGTTCAAGGCCAGCCTGGGCTACAACAGCAAGCCTGTCTCGAGGGGAAAAAAGCAACTGTTTTCATAGGTGGCAGCATGTAAGGAAAAGCAGAAGCAAAAAGACAGTGGTGGGAGGAGAGTCTGGAGGAGCAAGGTCCTCGCTGGTCTGAAAGGACAAGGACACTTGGGTCCTATGCCTCCCACCCCCCGCTGTAGACAGTGTGGCCATGGCCCAGGAATCCAGAGGAAAGGACTATGCAAGGCCTTGCTGTCCCATAGGAAAGGGGAGAGAGTGTCAGGTCCTTGCTGCAAGGGGCAGAGCTGTGGGGACAACTTCCCTTGCCTGCTTCCCGTGCTGCGGAGAATGCGGCAGTGGGAAGCAGCCCTCCCTGTGCTGGCAGGCTGGGCACGTGCAGAACACCCTGCTGGGACAGCAGAGGTAACCGTTCTCTGCTCTGCCGCAGAAGCAACGGGGATTGATGACCAAGAAGCTCAAGAGCCGTCACCGCGGGCCGAAGAGCTTAGGTGCCTTCAAGCAGGCACGTTAGGAAGGACCGCAGAGAAGGCCTAGTGTCCTCGGACCATCAGCCACTCACCGCTGCCCCTGAAGTGGGGCTGAGGGGTCAGCTCTGTACCCTGGGAAGTAGCAGGGGTGCTATGCCCACGCTCCTCAGGTCTTAGGCCTCAGGTGCAGCCGGGGTGAGCAGCTCGCTGCAGCACCCAGGCCAGACACTGTGGGGTCATGCCGCTTACACAAATGCCTTATTTATTTTGAAGTTTCCAAAAAGTCAAACACAACTAAGATATAAAATACAGCATAAAAATGATTTATACCTATTCCCACGTAAAGTAAAAGCATTTTCAGAAACGGTTTTGCCGAAACCAATGGGCAGATCCAACCCCACCCACCCACTGCCCCAAGGCCGCAAAGCTGGCTTCAGACTTGCACTTGGCCCCAGGCTGGCCTCCCACCACCCAACCCACAGTTCCAGAGAAACTGCCCTGCCCAGCCTCATCCAAAGGGACCTTGCTGTGCTCCAGGGAGGGACATCATGGGGGTATGGGCCCTGTGGCCTGAAGCCACTGCTGGGTCTCACACATGGGAGGCTCAGTGCCAATCACAAGGAAACAACCAAGGGAGAAGTGTCAGCTGCTGGCGGGGCTACCACTGTCCCCTCAGCACTGCCAATAGTGGCTTTGGGGATGCACCTTGGCTGCAAATGTACTTTGCAGCCCTGGTCCTTCCCAGGGCTGTGGGCCTGGTCACTGTCCCTAAGGGGCCTGGGGAAGCCTTGAAAGGTCCCAGCCCCCCTGTGGCATTTGCTACCATGCAGATAAGCAGAACCACAGCATTGGCCCCGCCCCCCTAAAAAGAGGACACAGTGTAAGGCAATGTTAGAAAACTTTAAATACAGGACTGAGACCAGATCGGTAAGGCATCACAAACTGTGAGACATAATCTCGGACAAAACTGGAGCAAGCAACAGCCTCGGGGACGTGACTCGGCTGCTGGGGCATCCAGGCCTGGCTCTGAAGGTCAGGTGAGGTAACTGGGCTGCGCCCATGGGGCCACTGCTCCCCAAGCTGATTCAGTGGTGGGGCTGGCCATCCTATATGCAGCCTCCTGACCGGTGCACCACAGGACAGGACAGTGGCAGCGACCCAAGGGTGTGTGGCCTCAGCCTCGAGCCATTGTACATTGGGGTATGTGTCACCCAGGATCAGAGCCCAGCTGAGCGTATGAATGTGGCATCACCAGCAGCCTGGGTTGCCCCTGCAATACTGCCTCGCTCCTTGGCTCCAGAGCTCCTAGGAGGTCTTCAGTGGCTGAGCAGGAAAGGAACTACAATTCGAGGGCAGAGCAGTGTGGATACCACTGGTGCGGTTCTAACCCAGGGCGCTGAGCTGGGAGATGTCTGCAGGGCCCACCCGAGACGTGTAGTTTGAGCAAAGAATGTAAACTGAAGAAACGAGGGAGACTGCTCTGTCCAGCTGGAAGGCCCTCACCCCAAAAAGGACTCAAAAACAGGGCTGGGGGGCCATGACCCAGCATGCCACTCGCTCCGAGCCTGGGCAGGGCCGATCGTCCATCCGGCAGGCCGCACTCAGCAGTCAGTACCAGACTGGTTCCAGAGCAGACTTGTCCCATCGGTTTTCAGGGTCTGTAAATAAAGTTCTCAAAACATCGGTGCCTTTACCAAGGGGAGGGAGGGGAGGAAACAAATGCTGGCAGCTTCTCGGCTCCACCCTGAACCAGTCCTCGATGGCTGGGTCTTGGCCGGGTAGGGCAGGGACCTGTCGGTTACCATTCCTTCTTCTTCTCATCCATGGAGACGCCCCCTGGGCCCAGCGCCACCACCAGGAGCAAGCCTCCAATCACCGACATGGTCTGGAAGAAGTCGTACTTGAGGAAGTCGTGCATGGGCTTATAGACAGGAATGGTCCAGAAGGCGTTGAAGTACACGTTGATGGCAAACAGCCAGATGACAAGAGTCAAAGCCGCCAGCTTGGTTTTAAAACCAATGGCCACTAAGATCATCAGCGCTGTGCCCACAATGTTCTGGACAATCTGCTCAGGATGGAAGGTAAGACGCTGAAGTCAGTGTCAGTGAGAGAGCTGGACAGAGTTGATACCCCAGGTCCTGGGCCCCAGCCCACCACGGCCTCTGCCATCACCAAGACGCAGTGGGAAGCAGGCTGGTGTGAAAGGGTGGGGTGAGAACGGGCTCCCTGTGTGGCGGGCTGGGATTTACCGAGATGAACTCACACCAGAAACATCCTCCCTCCCATGGGGACTCCTCTACCTAATCCCCACATGCATCGAACCCCAAAGGGGTTGGAGGAGCCTGCAGAGGGCAATGGGGCTTGGATACCCCCTGCTGGGAGCCAGCACATGGTGCCCAGGAAACCAGGGGGCTTGTCGTAAAGGGCTGTGTGCCCAAGCCAAATTCAGGCCTGACTAGGGAGGGCACGAGAAGCCAGGGCCCTTGGAGTGGGGGACAGTACTCACAGAAAAGAAGCTGGCATCAAAATGGAGCAGGGTCATGAACATCAAGACCAGCAGCACGCGGCCCCCTAGCTGCATGTACTGCTTGGGAGAGCTCTCACGCATGGTGGGGACGCCCGCGAACATGCTCTTCCCTTCTGAGCGGGACTCTGCCAGGAGCAGCAGCAAGCCCCCTCCCAGGGCCAGGTTCCTGAGGGACAGAGTGAGGTTGAGGCTGACGCTCGTCAGGACAGCCCTGCAGTGCTCAGCAGGACCAGGCACCTGTCTCCCCAGCTGAACACACCGTGAGGGCACCCTGAGCAAAACTGGAAGCAAGTCCGGCCTGCCCCTCTGGGCAAGACCTGGCCAAGCCTCAGTCCTCGTGCCCTGGCCAGGAGAGCTGCACTTGCCACCCACTCAGCCTGGGGCAGGCTCTGGGACACTGCCATGGTGTCAGTCCCAGAAAGGCAGAGGGACACAGGACTTGCTGCTCGGGGCATACTTACCTCATCAAAAACTTCAGGTCCCACAAAATGCTGTAGGCGATCGTCTGAGGGAACAGAGAGGGAAATCAGCATTCTCGGGTCACGATCTCAGGGGTGCAGCTGGCAGGGGGAGAACATAAAGGGCACGGGAGGCCCTGAGGGTAGACTGGTTTAACAACCGTCCACAGTGCTGTGCCTGTGGCATCCTAGACAGGGTGGCTCCTGAAGCCTGCCGGTCTGGATTAAACCGCCCACTGTGCGCGTTTCCGTCTGGCTAACGGCACCGCTGTGCAGGCAGGGAAGTGATGGCCAGTCAGCGATCCATGTCATCCGTGCCCATCACAGGATGTGTAAGGAAAGGAACCAAAGGTGGCCCAGTGCCCAGTGCTGGCACCGCTGGGGGACCAGCCTGTACAGCGACTTGGGTGGCCACTCCTGGCTGCTCGAGGAGGAAACCTTAGCATTCCCCTGAGGACGAAGGCGTCTGTAGGCAGCCAGATGCCTGGGGTGGACAGAGGAGGCTGGGCCCAACGCTCATCTGTACCAGAGCCTGCGGTGCCGCCCAGGCTGTAAGCCCGCCCTGCACCCCACGTACCTGCAGTGCTATGATTCCAAAAAGCCCGAAGCAAGCGTACTGCACAAAGTTCCTGCTCAACACCAGGACACAGCCAGCTGGAAAGAACAGAATGGGTTGGGAACACTGTCATGGTACACTGCCACCTCATCCGGCTCTCTGGCCCGGCCGTGGCCAGTCTACCTCCCAAGCTGACAGTGAAGGCCCATGTGGGGGCCTTCGTGCCAACGTGGGGGAATTCCAGTAGAGGCTCGTCTCTGCTGTCCCATGGTGGCCCGGAGCAGCTTGGAAGGCACACACCTTTCTCACACAGAGGCGCACAAGGGCTCGATGCTGCCAGAAGCCCCGAGGCCCTGTTCCCCTGACCAAGCCCTCTTTGGCCTTTCTGGATCCCTCCTTTGCTTGTCTTGGCCATGCTGTGTCCAGCATGCCCTGCTTGGGGGACAGTGCCCAATTTCTTCAGAAGCCCCAAAGCAGCGAGCAGGAGACTGAGTCCTAAGCACTGGCCAAGTGCCCACGGACAAACCCCAGCCAGCACGGCCACCCGGGCTGTGGACCCTCCAGATTACCAGCAGCCTCGCCTTGGGCTGTGAGCTGTGTGTGCTGGGACTGGAGGCCCTGGGCGCGGTGGCAAGGCTCTGGCCACTTACTCAGCTGTCCCAGCAGGTTGAGGAACACGAAGGATGAGGCCAGCAGGTAGCCACAGCTCCAAGTGGTATCAATGTAGTCGCGCTGCTCGCCCCACTGGAACCACATGCGGATGCCATCCTCCAGGAAGGTGCTGATCAGGCAGAGGCGGGCCACATGGGGGAGGTACTGCTTGGTGACTCGCAGGAACTGTGGGGCGGAGACCGGGGATGAGGTGGCTGCCACCGGAGCCCCGGCGTGCAGGCCAGCACCTACTAGGACAGAATGCCTGGGTGGCAGCCTGTGTGCTTGCCAGCCCAGGAGAACAGGTGCCCAGCACCTGGCCCCAGGCACACCCCGTGAGTCTGGACAGGCTCAGGCCCAGGGACAGACTGGGCACTGACCCTGCGGGGTGATGTCCGAAATGCCGTTCCACTGTTTCCCCCAGCAGCTCGACAACACCCTCGAAGGGCAGCTGGCACTGGCAAGGGTGGACCTGCCAGGAGATACAATCCTGGCCAGGAGCACTAAGGGGATCACAGGACTGAACCCGTAGGCCATGCCGCCTGCGCCTGTTACATGGGGCTGAGAGGCAGGCACACCTATCCCCCACCCAGCCACGAGATGATGCGAGCAGCTACCCTGCCCCACCAGAGCCACCATCGCCAGATGTCCAGCCCCTCGGGTTACAAATGGGAAAATGGAAGTCCAGAGGGCACAGGCGGACAGCGTAGAGCTGACCCGCCTGCTCTCAGTGGTGCTTGGAGCTCCCCAGGCAGAACAAGGGTCTGGGGTCACAGCCTTGGCTGGACCCTGCTTTACATTTCTAGTCCACTTCAACTGTCCTGGGTAGCACGAGGATAACTTGTGGCCACCAATGTGAAATCACTGAGTGACATGAGGGGGAAAAGCACCCTCCCAGCTTCCTTCTGTTGCTGAGTTAGGCTGTCTGTGGTGGGCTCGTTAGGACACCGTGTGCCCTGCTAGAGCCGGGTGCAAGCACCATACACTTCCCTTTCTTGCCCTCAGAGCAACTCCAGAGTGAAGGAAACCAGTGATAACGCTCGGGCCCTGGGAGAAAGACCAGAGCCCTGCCCCCACAGTGCCATGTCAGAGTCTAAAGGGTACAACCTGTGCGTCCCAGGGCAGGTGACACTGCTGTGATCACAGCAGGAGCACTGAAGGGGCTTCTGCAGCCCTTGGCATCTCCACCAGTCACCCAGAGCTGCTGTGTCCCTGGTGGGGTCAGCGCCACAGAAGGCTCTCTGTGCCCATTCCTGTCTTGGTGACCAGGCCCGAGCCCTGTGTCACCCACATGCAGACTTGTTCAGAAGTCAGAGACTGACAGGCAGACACTGCAGCATCAGCCAAGTGGGTGCGGGAGGAGCACAGGTGTCGACCAGAGGGGAGCACTACAGTGGGTGTGGGTGGCCTGTGGAGAGATTGCTACCCTGTGCAGAGTAAGACAGCTCAACGAATGGTCACCAAGATTCTCCACGATTTGCAGTCAAAAAACCTACAAGCAGGGGAGAAAGATGTGCTTTAAAACATAACCAGGGAGCCGGGTGTGGTGGCACACCTGTAATCCCAGCACTCAGGAGGCTGAGACAACGAGGATTCCTGTGAGTTCAAGACCAACCTGGGCTACAGAGTGAGCTCAAGGCCAGCCTGAATGGCATAGTGAGGCCCCATCTCAAAACAAAAGACAAAAAATAAAAACAAACAAGTGTGGTGGCACACACTGTGGTTCTAGCACTTGGGAGGCTGAGGCGGGAGGGTCACTTGAGCCTACAAATTCAAAACCAGCCTGGGCAACACACTGAAACCTTGCCTTGAAGGAAAGGAGGGAAAGAACGTGAGGGAGGGAGAGAGGGAAGAAGGAACAAGAAAAAAGAAAGAAGGCAAGGCCCCAGATATGCCTGGCTGAGTGTTAGGGTCCCGAGGGACACACATGGAGACACACACATACACACACACACACACACAGTAACCCAGCAGGAGGTCCAGGGACAGCTGACACCACACCGCTCCAATGCTCTCAAAATGCCAGGCAGCAGTGTACCCCAGGGCTGAGGAGGAGATAACTGACCTTAACAGGGTGGCTCCTGAGCAGCCTGGCTAGTGACACAGGCCCTTCGTCTGCTCTACACCCAGGGCAAAGCAACTGCTAGGAAGGAGCCGCTCCTCTAGGCTGGGCAGGTGTGGGCCGCCCAGGGAGTGGACCCCAAGGCAGGGACAGACACCGGAGGCGTTCTGACTTGCTTCCCCCGAGCAAGGCAGGCGGCTTGCCAGTGTGATTACACGGCTGTGCCTGTGCAGGAGAGCACCCTCGGCCCAAGGCTGCAGTCGACCCTCCCTGGGCCCACAACTGCACCAAAGCAACTCATTGGCCAGGCACACAGCCCTCGAGACCAAGGCCGTGGTTAAAAGCCTCCTGATGAGTCGGCTGCTCTTAATTGGACGTCTGGGTCAAGAGGATTAAAGAACCACAGCCAGCCATGGGAGGGTGTGTTGGGGGGGGTGTGGTGACAGGAGCTGCACAGGGCGATTCACTCTGGGGGGACTGTAGTTATGAATGCTGGACAAGACACGTCTCCTCCGTGTCCTCGAGTGTGCAGCTCATTTCAGAGGCAAGTGTGCTCTGGCACTCAGGCCAGCCCTCCCCCAAGAAGCATCCGTACGAACATGGAAGAAGCCCAAGCTCAATGGCAAGGCCAGACCCCACAGACCTGTGTGCTGGTCACAGCCTGGAGCCTTGTGTGCTCTTTGAGAAAGCGTTGCAGGGCCTGTCCCTTCAACATCAAGAGGAACTGAACCAGCTTGGGGGTGCAGTGAGATGAGAAGGGCCACAGCACAGCCTAAGGGTACAAGGTGGTGGCCAGGGTTGGCCACAGCATGGTGATCACAGAAAGCCTACGACCAGGCTCTTGTTCCAGGGGTGTGATAGGGGAACAGGCAGTAGGCATAGGCAGATAGCCTGTGGGAAGGGGACAGCCCATGGCAAGGTGGGCTCCTCATAAGCCTTAACACCCGGAAGATAGCATACAGGCCCTGGAGGACTTGTCACTGGAGGCTGGTGGGGCCTGGGATCACGGTTGCCTGTGCAAGGGAGCACCTGAGACAGGACTCAAGGGCACAGCCACTGGTAGCAGCTCCATCTGCACGGAAACCTCAGCCCTCTCTGGGTGCTCAGGAAGGAGAAGCAGCTAGGATTCTGAGCAGGCAGGTCAGACCTCCCAATCAGCGCACCTCAGGAAATGAGAATGTGACCGCCCCTGCGCCAGGAAGGCTGGGGCTGGAAGGGGCATCAGCTGCAACCTGAGAAGCCCAGTGTTCCTCAGACTGCAGGTCTCCGCTCCACTCTGACTCTGTGAAGAGCTGGTCACGAAGCACCACCCCCTGGCTTACTAGATGTGGGAGTATGATAAATGACCCAGGCCCCTGGGTGGGGAGACAAGTCTTATCTTCCATCCATCCTCTGGGGAGCCAATAACCACAGTTTCCCCTGTGACCCTGCCTCACTTCCCAGGAGGGGACACGATTGTTTTAAGAGCCTGTCAATACCAGCAGAAGGCCAGGCACTGTGGCACGTCTATTATCCCAGCCTATAATCCCCAAGAGGCTGAGGCAGGAAGATAGATGCAAGTTCGAGGCCTGTCTGGACTACATAGCAAGACCCTGTCTGAAAAACAGCAAAAAAAAAAAAAAAAAAAAAAACAAACAAACAAACAAACAAAACTCAGCAAGCAAAGAGGGTGTCAGAGGGCCAAGGATGCTCAGTGGCACATGTCTGCCTGGGAAGCACGAGTCTTTAAGTTTGACCTCTGATACAAAAAAAAAAGAAACAAAACCAAGAAGAGTTGGCTCCCCACCTCTTTAAGGCACAGGGCAGAAGGCCCCTGGGAAGAAATGACAGATCACAGGCATAAAAGAGAACCGCTTGGGAAGCCCACCACTGTCGCCAGGGCCTGCCCGAGCCAGGCACACAGTGATAATCACGGGCTGAGCACCATCAGGCATGGGAGAGGTGTGGGGCCTGGTTGGGAGCAGTCTGTCTGGTAATCCTCCGTCAACAAACCCCCCTGGGCAGCTGTACCTCCTGGGCTAGGACCAGCTCTGTGCCCCAAGGACAGGTGAAGGCACCAGAGGCTCTCTTGTCACCCTGGAGTCAGCCATCAGACAGACCCATTAGACACTAATGTCCCTGGTTACAGCTATGCGTAGTCAGAGAGGACACTCCACAATCTGTCCAGTACGCAGAGCATGGTGGTTTCGAGGCAGGGTCATTATTTTGGATGGCCCAGTTCATGAGTTTCTGGCCCCTTCCAATCTGGCCTCTAATGGCCCACAAATGCCCAGCTCTGCACACAGCAGCCTCAGCACTTTCTCCAGAGCCTGGCCTCGAGGGAGCAAGAGGACACTGACCCTGACTGCCAAGGGCAGCAGCCTGATGCCAGGGGAGGAGATGCAGCTCGGAGAAGCCTGCCAGGGACACCAGGCAGCATGCTTCCCCACAGGCTGGCTGCCACACAAAGGAAAGGCGGCAGAGAGGACGCTGCCTGGTACCTGGACAAAAGACAGTGTGGGTCCCAGCAACCTCCCTGGGACCTGGAAGTTAGGAGGGCCACAGGAAGGGGCACCTAGGCCCTGCCTCAGAAAGCCTAGTGTTCATGTCATCCCGGACACAAAGCTTTTTAGGTCTCGGCCGTTCGGGCCAGACTCTCTGGGCAAATCCCTTCACTTTTGCTTCTATTATCTGAAGACAGGATTAGACAAAGTGGACACCCCATTACCTGTTGATGACCCCCACGACAGCTCCCACTATGGGCTAATCAGAGCCCTCTCATTTACTTTTTCCTGCAGGCAGCTGTGTTTTAAAAGTTGTGGTTGAATACCAAAACCAAAGCACCCCTCACCCCCACTAGTTCAGACTTTTCCCACAGCAAGTCTGCACTGCCCACACCATAGGGTCCTGACACTGATGCAGAAAGGCAGTAGAGATGGACAGAAAGGCCCAGCGGACCCAGCACCCATCAATGCCAGTGATGCACACAGCAGTGTTGGCAAGGCCCTTCCTTCCCCTGCAATGCCAGGCCTCAGGACTCTCCCTGGGCTGTGGTCACCAGCAAGCCCAGAAGTCCAAGGGGTCTGGCCTTCTCAGCAAAGTGGTGCATCTACCCCATGGCCTGTTCAGCTCCAAGACCCTGCCACTTTCAGAAAAGCAAAGTCAGACACATGGAAAGCAAGAAGCCAGGATTACATAAACAGATTCTGAACTTTTTCTTCAGTAGAAAGTCATTCATTTGACAACTGGCAGCAGCTCCAGTGGAAACATCTATCTGGGTTTGGTTGTGAAATTCACTTGCAAAACTCAGGGCTTTGGAAACTGAAGAGCAAGTGCACTGGCCCTCACACTTCACTCAGCAGAGGAGCCATCTGCTTAGAGTTGCTACTTGGGGAAACAAAAGTGGGTCACCAAAAATCGTGTCAATGAAAAAAGGCCTACGTGATTCTTAAGAACTTTTGGTAGGAACTATTCATGCAGGAAATAGTTTTTAATTTGTGTCTTTATAAAAAGTCTGCGACCTTATAAAAAATAGTCCAGGTTGATATACCTTCTTTCCCCCAATTAGTTCTAAAGGACCAGTTCACAGGAAAGCGGTGCCAAAGAATCCAATGATGAGAACACGTGAGAAAGATGTCACACACAAAGAGGGCAAGGGGAGAGAATGGCGGACTGGCTAGAGTTCGAACAGATCAGAAAGTGCTCAAATCAAAACACACACAAAATTTCAAAGAAGGCTAGGCCTCGGAATTGACTTACCCAGTACACCCTCATAAAATAAAAAACTGAACTGTCACTACCTGTACCTGGGGCCCAGCCACACACAGGCAAAGTGAGGGGAGGAAAGACTGGCAGGGGAGCAGGCACAGCCTTGCCTACAGGGCTAATTAAGGCTAATTTGCAAACCTAACGGGACACTTTTAGAAGTAAAAGGCACACATTGAATAATCCCTTCCCAGTTGTTCTGTCCCAGCTTAACCAAAGATTTGGAAACTGTGCCTTCACTTTTCCGGGGTCCTAGCACCGTCCCGGGCCTTCCTTATCTCTGATGCCACCTAGGCACTCGGAAAGGGGTCCACCGCAGCCACCCCGACTCCCGGCCATCAGCGACGGGGCAGAGTCCACCAGTCCGGCACCAAGAGAGCGAGGCAGGGCTGCCCAGGGTCGGGGAGCGGCAGGCAGGGCGCCCCCTTCCCCCAGGAGGACCCCAAGCCCCACCGCCGCCTGACGCCCCGCGAGGGGTCTGAGAAGGGTCACCTCGGTTCAGGGGGCAGAGGGCGACCCGGGCCTTCACTGCGGCCCAGCCTACCCCGCCGCGCTCCCTCGGGGTCCCGAACACCCTGCCGCCGCCCCTCGGCCCCCAGCCCCGGGGGACCCCTGGTCAGCCCCGCCGGCCCTCGAGGTCCTGGCTCCCCAGTCACCCTCCGGGGACCCCACCGCCCTCCCCCTGCCCCAGGTCCCCGCGAACCCCACCGCCTTTTCCCTCCCCAGTCCCGGACCCGCGGCCTCCCCTGCTCTAGCCCCAGCCCCCCGCGGACTGGGAGGCGGAGGAGGGGCGAGGCGGCCGGGCAGGGCCGGGCCTGGCCGGCCTTGGCCGGGCGGACGGGGGCCCGGGCCCACCTGGTCGGCGACGTCCTCGGCCGTGCCCATCAGGTCGTTCTGGCCCATGGCGGCGGCGGCTGGGCCTGACTCGCAGTCGCGCTCGCCCGCTGCGGCCTCCGCAGGAAGTGCCCGGCAGACCTCTCTGCGCGGCGGCGGCTCTACAGGCTGCCACGTAGGCCAAGCCTTAAAGGGGCCGCGCCGCCGCCGTGCCAGACCTGCCCCGCCCCACCCCACCCCGCGCGCTCCGTGCGCCCGCCCCGCCTCTCACGCTCCAGGAACCGCCCTCATCCCATAGCTTCCGGGTCTTGGTACCTGAGCCCCGCCTCTCACCCGCATTATCCCCGCCCACCGTTTCCTGAGCCCCGCCCCTCAGCACCAAGCCCGGACCCCAGTCTCTAGGCTCCGGCTCTCCTCGCTCGGAGCCCCGCCCTTCAGGCACGAGGACCGGCCGCTCAGCAATGGACCCGCCCACCACGTTAGAGGCCCCGCCCCTGCCCCGCCCCGCCCGGCTCCCACTTTAAGAGGCAGAGTCTGGAGCGCCTCTCAGCTGGGACCTCTGGGTTCCTGGTGTCTGGTGGTGACACCGGGGTGTGGACTCGCATGGCCAGCGTACCAGCTGTAAAGCTGGGCGTTGCCCCCCACGACACCATGGAGAAGTACCAGGTGCAGAGTGTCCCTCGCGTGGGCGCTAACGGTTCCCACGGCGGGGGATCCCCAGCCTCGGCGGAGAGCCCTTGGGCTTCTCCCCGCACCGGCCTCTGTGTGCCCCCTGAAATGAACTCTGAGGGCGAGGACAGCTCCTTCCTTCTGCCTGGGTCCCTGGGCTGGGTCCGCAGGCTGCGTGGGACCGGAAAGCACCAGCCAGACACAAAGGAGGGCTCTGAATGGCTTTGTTTTTGTTTCTGATGGTAGCGAAGGTCTTCAAACCCAGGGACCCTCTACCCTGTTATTTTTTGAGACAGGGTCTTGGGAAGGTGCCCAGGCTGGCTTGTACCTGCAATTCCAAAGGGCTAGGATCACAGGCCTTAACGTTTCTATACCTAACGTGTCAGCTACCTTAAACGTTACATCTGTTCATAAAAATTTCACTAATTTGGGGAATATTTGTGGGTTTGATTTCCCTCCCTTTGGAAAGATTCTTTTCATGAGGAAGGGCCTTCCAGGTGGCCAGTGGTGAAGCAGATGTGTTTCTGGTGGCCAAGGCAATTTTAAAGTTACTTATCAGAGAATCACATTAATCAGAGTTGTGGGTGCATTTTACTGTACCTAAGGGGCCCGGGCAGTGCCGCTCTATGTGGTCTTGCCCTGGGATTCTAGGGCTTCTGCTGCCCCCAACTTTATTCCCTGGGGGGATCAGGCTGCCCACAGGGGCTGCATAACAGATCCTTTTGGCTCCAAGGGTTCTCTGATTCAGGGTTCTATCCTGCATGCCCCTCCCCTTTCCCATAACTCTCCGCATCCAGGCATCCCATTGCCTCCCTCCAGCGCATAGCCCTGAGCCTCCACAGAGCTTGGCCAAAGTGGCCCTCTCCCCGAGTTCACTCCACTCAGACCCTGCAGTTCTGCTTATTAGTGCCACAGCCACAGGCTCCCTGTGCCTCAGTTTCCTCCAGTGTACACCTGGAGGTCACAGTCATGCTGACTGCATAGGGTGGTTGTGACCAAGATGGCGCTTTCCTGTCTGGATGCTCAGTTCAGCAGGTGGATGCTGGCTGGGATTGCAGGGGTCTGGAAAGAGTGGATAAGGGCGGGCAGGTGCTTGTGTGCCTGTGTACTCCCTGCAAGCTGGGAAAAAGGCGAGGGTTGGAGAAGGAGCTCCAGAACTGGCCTCAGAGAGATGGCACTGGGCTCTTCCAGTGGACAGCTGCTGGGCCTTCCTGGGCCATTTCCTGTAATGCAGATTCAGAGCCCCTAACCTGCGGGTCTGGCCTTAGGGCCAGTGGTGGGGTGGGAATTGAGAGTCTGGTGCCTGCTGTGTACATTTGCTGACAGCCCGTCCTGGTAGATTTTGCAGGAGCTGAGTCCTGGTGCCTTGGGGGTGAACGTGGTGGTGAAGGAAATAAAAACCAAAGCCAAGTACGTGATAAAACAGGTCAGAGTCGGGTCCTGAAACCACCGTGGGCGGTTCTGTGGGGGGTGCTTTTGCTGAGCCTTCATGCCGGTTAGAGGAAGGCTCTCAGTGGGCTCTGAGAGGGAGTGCTGGCTGAGTGGATGTGAGACTGGCACGAGGCTTGCTGGCCCCCTGTGCCTTGGCCTCCACCCTGCTGCGGAAGCAACACTACTTTGCCACACCAGCCACAGTTCCTGTCATCTGCTCTGTCCCATCGTCACTGGCAAGTGCAAAATAGGGTTCCATTTTGCACCCAAAGACAGTGAAGCTTGGGGTGTCACATGTTTTCCAAGAGGATTTGAATTCCGGGGGACACTTATGTGCCTGTTTCTCAACAATCACCGGTTTTAGGGAGCCAGGCCCAGAGAGGGTGGGGACAAGCTATGGTCCCACAGGGCTAAGAGCAGAATGGAGGACCTCTTTGCCAGGGCCAGCACAGTGCAGTGGGGCACTCTGTGTGCCCAGGGCAGTGTCTGGGGTGCAGGAGCTGGAGTTCCCAGCACGTACTCCTCGGGGTCGTGGCAGGCAGAGTGGCACTGGGGGCTGACCTAGGCGGATGGGCCTTGCTGGCGGCTGCGGCGCTGCCAGGCCTCCCCAGCCTCGGGTCTGGGCAGCTCAGCAGCCCCATTGTCAGGAAGCTGGCCTGGGGTCCTTGTCTGCTCCTGTGTTGCTACTGGCTGCGGGATCCGCACTGGTCTATCCAAGTGGCTCACTGCCTCTGCAGTTAAGGAGCTTTTGAAAAACCTTTCTTTCTTTCTTTCTTTCTTTTTTTTTTTTTCTGTCTTTTTCCTTTTTATCGGTACTGAGGATCGAACTCATGACTGCCTGCTTGCAAGGCAGGCGCTTATGCCGCTGAGCTAAATCCCCAGCCCCTGAAAAACCTTTCTTTCTAAATAAAGACCTGGGGAGCCACACAGGCTAGGGGTTCAGGTGGAGGCTAGGGGTTCATCTTTTTAGCTTTTTTCTAAGTGTCTATACCCTTCTTTGTTATTACAAGAACGGTACAGTTGAAATTGGTAACACATATTTCCCCCGCCGAATTAATGGTGAACATTGCCCTGTGAGCTTCCTCTTCTCCTGTCCTGGTGGCTGTGTGGCCTCCCATCCTACTTGTGTGCTGAGGCCAGCCCAGCCTGTCTCCTCCTGGGGAACGAGCAGTTAGCTTGTTCCTGGTTTTTCCCTAATATAAACAACTCTGATTACATCCCAACAGTTTTCTTCCACGAGCACCCATGATTTCCTCAGGGAAGTCCCTGGGCATGGATTTTGGGGCATTTCTGTTTCATGTGTGTTGGCTGGCTTCCCCTGCTCTTGAAGGTGGTGGTGGTGGTAATGGTGGTAGTGGTGGTGGTGATGATGGTGGTGATGGTGGTGGTGGAAATGATGGTGATGATGATGCTGATGGTGGTGATGGTGATGATGATGGTGATGGTGATGGTGATGATGGTAGTGATGGTGGTGATGATGGTGGTGATGGTGTTGGTGATGATGGTGGTGGTGGTGATGGTGGTGGTGGTGATAAGGTGATGGTGATGCTGGTGATGTGGTTATGATGGTAGTAATGGGGTGGCAGTGGCAATGCTAGTGGAAATGACTACAGTGCAGCAGTGGCCATGGCTCACCATACCTCTGATCTGGTGCTCCTGTGCCTCTGCAGGTGCAGTGCATTGACCACCATCATGCCAACCAGGCCTTGGAGGAGGTAACAGTTGGAGTGGTTTCCTCTCCAGAGGAATGGGCTGTGTTGCACAGAGACTGCTCTGTGCCCCCTCGTGGGGCAGGGTGGAGGGGTCCTGGGTGGAGGGTCAGACCTAGTGCTCCCCCAGCTGCAAGGGAGGCCTGTAGAGAGCTGCCTGTGTAGACCCAGATGCTGACACCCAGGGACACAGATCCCCAGAGGAGAGCAGGGGAGTTGCTGTCTTGGTCCCTGGCTAATTTACCAACAGTTGTCTTCAAAATGATCTTCTGGGGCTGGGGATTTAGCTCAGTGGCATAAGCGCCTGCTTGCAAGCAGGTAGTCATGAGTTCGATCCCAGGTACCAATAAAAACGAAAAAGACAAAAAAAAATGATCTTCTGCGGTCTGGGCTGTGGCTCAGTGGGTTCATTCTCAGCACTGCCGAGAGAGAGAGAGAGAGAGAGAGAGAGAGAGAGAGAGAGAGAGAGAAAGAGAGAGACAGAGGTTTTTTCTTCAGTTACAAAAATGTAATAGTTACTGTAAAGCATTTGGAAAATACAGAGTTGTTTGCCAAAGGAAAATGTTAATCGCCTTTAACTCCACCATCCAGATCTGACTGGTGGCTGCATAGGGCCTCACTACGCAGCCCAGGCTGGTCTCAAACTCACAGGGATCCTCCTATTTCAGCCTGCTAAGTGCTGGGAGAACATGTGTGCACCACCATGCCCAGTTGACAATTACCAGTCTAATAGACGGAGATCCTAAGTTTTCCTTTTGTATGTGTGAGGTACTGAGGCATGAACCCTTGTGCTGAGCCACATTCAGCCTTTTTTAAAAAAAGGTGGGTTTTGGTTTTTTTTTTTTTTTTTTTGTGGTATCGGAGATCAAACTCATGACCTCGCACTTACAAGGCAGGCACTTATGCCGCTGAGCTAAATCCTCGACACAAAAAAAGGGTTTTGTTTGAGACAGAGTCTTGCTAAGTGCTCCAGGCTGGAATCAAATTTGCAATCTTCCTGCCTCAGCTCCCAGGATCTGGGATGACAGCTGTGTACTGCTGTGCCCTGACCTGCTGAGAGTTTCTTGTCTTTCTGGTGTTGTGGGGGAGACGTGTGCCCTCCCTCCCGGGCCTGTGGTTGCTCTCTCTGCAGTCGCCACCCTTGTCCTTCCCCAGTCTGCATTTCTGGTGCCTGCAGTGTGACCCAGTGTGGAGAGACATGTGGGCACAGGGACGTGGGTCTGCACCCAGGGCTGCTGTCTCTGCCCCGCATCCTGCGGCCCAGGCCTCCAGGGTGTCTGTTCATGATCCCTGATTGTTGGTTTCAAAGCACTGTCAGGTGAGGGTTGCAGACCTGGGATCTGGGCCCTGACGCTGGCCTCTACTAGGCAGGTGCACACCCCGAGCAGAGTAGCAGCATCTCAGGCCACCCCAGGGGCATGGAAAGGCTGAGGTGCTGGACCCCAGGCATAGCACAGCGCTGTTCCCACTGGCTGCAGGCGGGGACTACGCTGCCCGGGCCTGGCGTGCTCTAACCTCCCGCACTGTGCTTTACCCCGCAGCTGATGCCGCTGCTGAAGCTCCGGCACCCGCACATCTCCATGTACAAGGAGCTCTTCCAGATGTGGGATAGCGAGGTGGGTCAAGAGGGTGCATGGCCACCCTGACTGGGCCCTTGCTGGGCCACGCACCTTGCTGTGAGCTTGTGCACAGGGTCCAGGGAGCCCAGCCACACCTCGCAGAGGATGGGGCCAAGTGAGGTTGGCAGGGCCCCAAGTGTCCCAGCTACAGTGTGGCCAGGCAGGGGCTGGGCAGGGTGGTTGGGGTGCCCTGAATTGTGTGGAGTCGATTCCCGGCTTGGCATCTGCCAAAGTCTGAGTGAGTTGCTCAGCAAGGTTTTGGCCCCAGGAGCCACTGCCCTGCCTGGACACCCCAGCCCCTCAGTCCCAAAGCTCCTGCACACCACCAGCCAGCTTCTTATCCATCCTGCTGTCCCAGGAGACCCACAGCTCTCCACTCTCCTGTCCTGGTAGTGAGGGCAAGGAGCAGCCCAGGGCCACACAGCTGTGTACAGCTGGGTTTGGCAGCACCTGAGGCCTTGACGCTGACTGGGCAGCATCTCTCCATTGCTGTAAGATGTCCCTTCCACTGCTCACTCAGTGGAGGAGACATCTTACAGCAGTGACCTTACCGGGAGCTGCTCCCTGTCCATCATCAGCTGGGCCTTGAGGAAGCTCTTGGATGGGGCTTGCTGTGCGCACCCCCATAGATCTCCTAAGCACCCTGGGGCTCTCAGCAAGGGCCAGAAAGTTAAGACGATAGAGGGAGGCCCAAGGTGGCTGGGCTCTGGGCTCCGCAGACGATGTAGTCTTTTTTTTTGTCTTTTTCCTTTTTATCGGTACCGGGGATCAAACTCACAACTGCCTGCTTGCAAGGCAGGCACTTGTGCCACTGAGCTAAACCTCCAGCCCCCAGACGATGTAGTCTTGGTGGGTGGGGGAGGCATGGTCATCCCATGTGGTCATCAGCCAGGGCAGCCAGTGCGGGTAGAGCCTGGGGCAGTAGGGGACAGAGCCTCCAGTGGAGGCTGCCTCATGGGCCTGCAGATAGTGACTGTGGGAAGGGGCCCTATGTGGGCCTCGTGGCTGGCAGGCCACCTCCATGTTCCTCTGCTTGGTGATGGAGTACAGCCCGACAAGCTTCCAGGACATCATTGAAGCGAAGAGGAAGGAGAAGGCTGTCATCGACTCCAAGGTGAGCCCTGTGACCCCACTGCCCTGGCTCAGAGGGCTGGCGAGGTGTATGGCTTCCCCGAGCCTGGCCTGGGTCCCCCAAATGTGTTTGGCACAATGACAGCCAGGCACCTGTGTATTCCAGAGGGCCCCAGGCTGTTGCCAAGGCCCAGCAATCCCAAAGGTCACCAGGGTGGACCAGGCAGCGTGTGATGGCACGTGTCTCATGGGTGTCCCTGCCTGGCCCTATCTTGCCCCGAGGCTGAGGCACGGTGTGCTCCGCCAGGGTGACCAGCTGTGCTTGGCCCAGTGCCCACACCTGTCTCCCTATGGAGCTGTTTGGACACTGTTGTGATTGTTTCCTACGCTTTAATTCGAACCTGCAATGTGGATTTTTTCTGGGCCTGTCCAGGCGTTTGCCCATGTAAACATTTAGGTGTTTTTTTCTTACTGACTCTAATTTTTTCTTTTTCTTTTTTATGTTTTAGGTACCAGAGATTGAGCCCCAAACCTTTGCAGTCAGTTACGTCCCTGCCCCTTTATAATTTATTGATTTATTTATTTTTTGAGACAGGGCTTCGCTAAGTCACTATGTTGCTGAGGCCGGGCTCAAACTTTCAGTCTTCCTGCCTCAGCCTCCAGAATGCTGGTATCACAAGCATGTGCCTGGCCTCCAGGAGTTCTTTGTGCTTTCTGGACCTGAGTGTCCAGGTATCTGCCCCATCCTTGGCCTGCCGAGTCACTTGCTTAATGACATCTTGTGACGGGCAAAGGTCTTAGTGGTGGCGAAGTTCAGGTGATCCATATCTTCCCTCCTCCCACCCTGAGGTCCCGAGGCTCACTCTGCTGTCTTTATTTCACTTCCCCATAGGTCCAGCACCCCCCACCCACCCCCGCCGCCATGTGTGACTTTGCCTGCTTTTCTCTGAGCGCTGCTCCACTAGAGCCTCTGGGGCAGCTCTGGGCATGTGTTGGTGGTGGAATCCTGGGAGACACACAGGTCTAGGGACCTGAGGGACTCTGGCTAATATGGCACCCAACCTTCCTCACTCCTGGGTGGCCGGAAACACTGGTGTGGGGTCCAGGGATCCCAGGAGCAGGCTGGAAACCCCTGCCCTGGATGTTAGATGGATCTCATGTGTCGCACAGAGGCCTTCTGGGACAGTCTCTCTGAGGCTGTTCCCTCCAAGGACAGAAAGGCTTCAGAGTGTCTGGGCCCCAGCAGGATGTACCTCGAGCCCATGTAGTGTGGGGCAACATGGGCCACAGAGAGGCCCCACCATAGGCACAATATCCCCAGCAAGCACTGTCCTGCTGGCCACTGTGAAGAGTTACCGGCCCACACTGGTGTCCCTGCTTCTCCCCAGTCGCTGCAGACCATGCTGGTCCAGGTGTTGGATGCGCTGGAGTACCTACACCACCTGGACATCCTGCACAGGTGACACAGAGGGGCTCACCCGGCCACGGAATGGGCCGAACAGTGCACAGAAGAGCAGATAAGCTGCCTGGGGGGTGGGTGTGGACCTGGGTGGAAAGACTGATTCCAAACATGCGCATCTTATTTAAAGGCAAAAAGAAAACCCACATGGGCCCTGTGTACAAAGGGGACACTTAGGGCCTGCATTGACCTCATCAGTCCTCACACGATGGTGGAATCAGTCTCATGGTCAGCGTGTGGATGAGACCTACCAGAGGGGCGTGCTAAGCTAGCTGAAACTTGGAATTCTGCCTCAGCCTCCCTGACAGCTGGGTTGCAGGCATGTGCGGCCATGTGTGACCAGGATCCCAAGAGGGATCCCCGAGGCTGCCCCTGTATCCTCAGGTGCCACCTCTGGGTTGCAGGAACCTCAAGCCCTCCAACATCACTGTCAGCCAGAACCACTGCAAGCTGCAGGACCTGAGCTGCCACGCACTGATGACCCATCAAGCCAAGTGGACTGTGCGCGCAGAGGAAGGTGGGTGGGGCCCTTGGCTGGCGGAGGGGCTTCGAGGGTGGCCCCGAGCATCATGGACAGGATGTGGCCACTGTGGGCACCGACCCCTTCTGCCCCTGAAGGTCTGCATGCTGCATGTGGCTTCAGAGAGACCCATCGCTTAGGCTGCAGCGGGGCAGCAGTGCCAGCCTGGGGGCCAGGTGCAGGTTCCGACACCTGAGAGGGAGAGCCCAGCAGAATGGGAAACCCGCTGTGGTTCCTCTGAAACTGTTCACCCTTGTTGGGGAAAAGAAAGTCACAGAAAAGAGACTAAAATGGGGGACAGAGTGCCCATGGGGTGTGGGCACTGGCTATGCATAATACTGCAGTAGCCCAGAAGATAGTAGGGAGTAGGCAGGGGGATGAGCTCTTTTCTTTTGAAAAGAGGGCAGGGAAATGGGAGCTCAAGCCTGTGACCGCTGTCCCTAGTGGGCGGAACAGCCACAGGCAGGATTGCAGAGCCCTTGGGCAGCAGTGGCTGGTGGTGCTGTTTCCTTGGTACACAGAGGCTAGGTGGGTGGATGGGTGGCAGGCTAGATATATGGCTGGCTAGGTAGGTGGCAGGGAGGACATCTGGATGGGTGGTTGGAGGCTGGATGGACAGGTGGATGGACGGTAACACATATGAATAGGTGCATGGTAGAATGAATGGTTGGATGGATGGATGGATGCATGGATGGATGGATGGCAGAATATATGGACAGCTAAATGGTAGGATGGGTAAATGGGTGGGTGGATGGACAGATGGATGACAGGATATATGGGTGGATAGATTGTAAGATGGGTAGATGGACGGTGGGATATGTAGATGGGCAAATGGTTAGATGGATAGATGGATGGATAGTAGTATACATGAATGGGTGGATGGCAGGATAGCAGGATAGGTAGGTGGATGGACGGTGGGATATATGGATGGGTGGATGGTAAGATGGACAGACGGATGAATGGATGGTAGGATATTTGGATGGATGGTGGGTGGCAAGGTGTATGGTGTTTATAAGTGGACGGATGGATGGATTGAAGGTGGAGAGGGTGTAAAACCTTTGGGAAAAGCTGTTCAGCTAGGAAGTGGAGACCTAGAGAGGGAGGAGCTGTCTAAGGCTGACTGAGGGCTGCCAGGCTGCCATAAGGACCCTGCTCCTCTGGCTCTTTCTCTGGGGTTAGGTTTAGAAACTAGGGCAGCTGGAACTTTGCCCTAGGTTCCTGTCAAGCAGAAGACATTGAAAGAGCTGCAGATTTGTGCCTTCCTGGTGTGTGCCCTCCTGCATCTGCAGTCACTTTGGGCACAGACCTGGGCAGCCTGGCAGATACTGACCAGGCTGAGACCCAGGCAGAGGCCTAACTGAACAGTGGCCTCTGCCCTCTCCCCATCTTGCATCTTGGGCTACTGGCAGGGGCCACAGGAAGGGGACAGAGCCCGTCAGTATGTCTTTGTCTGGATGGATCCCTCTAAATAGATCCCCCTTTCTTGCCAACAGATCCCTACAAGAAGTCCTGGATGGCCCCCGAAGCCCTCAGCTTCTCCTTCAGCCAGAAGTCGGACATCTGGTCCCTGGGCTGCATCATCCTTGACTTGGCCACCTGCTCCTTCCTGAGCGTGAGCAGCCTCCCACCCACGTACCCTGCTCAGTGCCTGCTGGGTTTTAGCAAGGACATCATGGCCTCAGGGTCATGCTCACCCCAGCCATGCATGTACCTCAGCCCTAGCTGATGGCTGAGGACATTTCATCTGGGGCTTTGATGGTGTTCGGATGCTGGGGGCTGGGAGCTGGGGCCTGGAGCCTGGGCCTGAATCCACCCTGTGCAAATGATGCCAGCCCACAGGGTTGAGGTGCCAGCTGTCCCTGTGCATCCTGGCAGGGCTCTTGTCTTATCCCTGCTGTGATCGTGTTCCAGGACATATCCTGGGCAGAGAAGAGGGGACAAGGGGCCAGGCAAGCCCCTATGTGGCTGGGGAGCAGAGCCCCGCTGCAGGGAAAGGTAGGAAGGCCAGGTCCTGACTGTGGTGCCCAAGTGCACCTGGCCTCCTACTCTGCATCTGGTACAAGTGTACCCTCCCTCTCCCAGGCCCCAGGCCGCACCTCTGAGAAGCAGCCTGCCCTACCTGCCTGTGGAAGTCTCCAGGGAAACGAGGGCTAAAGGGCCCCCCAACACCTGTGCCTGGTATTAGGTGATCTTGGGCACCGCCACTTTGTGAGGAGTGGCCCATTGGCCTTCTTACAAGCTGGGTCCAGACAGGACAGGTTGTCCCCTGCCCCACTCTCTGACCCCTGCCTGCTTCTACAAAGGAACCCCAGGCTCTTGTGGCCTCTTGCTGGCCTCTGGTCCCCTTGGGGTTCCTAGGTCCTGCCTGGCACCTCCTCTGCCTGTGCCAAGGCCTAGCTTTCATCTGTCATAGAGACACACAGAGCAGTGCCCTCCATCCTTATAGGGGGCGGAAGCCATGCACCTTCGGAAGTCGCTCCGCCAGCAGTCAGCTGGCCTGCAGGTCCTGTTGCAGACCATGGTAGACAGACAGGTGCCCCTGGCGGACACCTTCTCCGACCTCCTACCTACTATGCTGCAGGCCGACCCCTCGGACCGGGTATTGATCAAGTAAGCTCAGGGCACGGTTTATAGTCTAACAATTACCTTTCAGCATCTTTCCACCCTAGCAGTCAGGGTGCTGGCTTTCCTGCTCCACTAAGAACACTTCCCTGGGCACCCGTGGGCTGCCTCACCTGGGCTGTCCACTCGGCACAGCACAGCAGCGAGCCTCTGCACATGGGTGCCAGCAGGCCTCGGCCTCCAGGATGGGGTGGGGGTGTGGCCCAAGTTCAGGAAAAAGTTTAAACCCTAATTTAAAATCAGATGAGAAAAGCATTGGTCTTTACACCAACATGAAATCTGATTGTTTCTGTTCTTATGGAGAAAGAGGCCTGAAGGCAAAAGTGCCAGGGCCCAGGGGCAACCCTGCACCTCTGCGGAGGGAATCCTTGCAAGTGGAGCTGCCAGGCACTTGATGGGCAGCTGGGCATCGTGAGACATGTGGCCAGACAGATTCCAACTCAGGAGGCTGGTGGAAAGGAAGGCTGAGCCCAGGGACCAGCAGAGAAGCCGCTGCCAGGGCTGCAGGGTACAGCCAGTCGTCTCTGCCCCTCTGCCAGGGATGTGATCCGCATCACCTTCGGGAAAGGCTCGCTTACATCCTCCAGCGGTGCACTGCATGGGTCGGCGATACCCGAGGTGGTCACCAGCACGCTGCTGGAAGGCAACATGGCCAGCATTCTAGGTGACAGTGGGGACAGAGGCAGGTGTCAGCTGCTGGCAGGCCCCAATGTCTTGCTGTGTGGTTGCAGAGGGCGGTGCCTGCCCTGCTCCTCATCCCAGTGGGCCTGCTCCTTGTCCCAGCCCTCCTCCTCCTCCAAAGCCCAGCACCACCACTGTGTTTGGGCTGCTGCCAGCCTCTGTGTCCTACACAGCTCCCGGGCAGGGCCTGGCCCTGCCGGTTTCCCCTCGTCCCTGCTACACAAATTACCATGCAGCTTCAAGTCCCATGCCCCGTTCCCATGCTGTTGCCTGGTGTCTGGCCTGTGTGCCTGCTGTGCACAGGTGGCAGCTGCACACACCAGGGCTTGGGGCAGGCTCCCAGAGACTTGGGCTGGAACTGGGACAAGGCACCTGGCCTCAGTGGTTTCACCTGTAAGCTGGGGATAAAAGCACCAGCTTGGGTCCCGGGATGTGGACCCCAGGAGGGCTGCACACCCAGCAGCTGGGTACTGTGATGGCTAGACAGAGCTTGCTGGCATGGCCTGGCCCTCAGCAGGCCCCCAGTGCCCACCTGTTCCTGCAGAGGTCATGCAGATGTTCTCCAGCCGCCCAGAGGTGCAGCTTACAGCCATGAAGAAGCTCATGTCCATGCCTGAGGACCAGCTCGGTAGGGGCCTCAGGGGCCTGGTTATGCTCCCAGGAGGGCCCTGTGCCTTTGCCACCTACTCAGATGGGGAGCAACATGAGACTCTCCCTGCTGCCACTCCTGAGGGCCGTGAAGGGTGGGGTGGGGCTGTCCCCATCCCCGGGATGGGCATTCCAGCTATTTCTCATTTGCTCTTGGGAATGGTGCTAGCAGCATGCACACAGGGCCTGAGTGCTTGTGGAAGGTGAGGCCCAGGGCTCAGGGCTGCGGTGCAGGCGACCTCATGGACACACCAGCTCATGCCTAAGTCCCTGAGAATACCTTTCCTGCCTTCCTCATGAATGTCTGCAGTCTCCACACTGGGTTTTTTTCTTTTTTTGAGATAGAGTCTCCATATATAGTTAAGGATGGCTTTGAACTTGTAGTGATCCTCCTGCCTCAGCCTCCCAAGTGCTGGGATGACAATGTTTTCTCACCTGAAAAGTGTGGCTTGTGAGAGGGAGGTATCTTACTCCTGGGGCTGCTGGCAGCACACACCTGGGCACAGCCTGTTGTATTGGCATCTCTGCTCCCAGCACTTGGGAGGCTGAGGCAGGATTGCTGGAGCCCATGAATTCAAGACAAGCTCAGGCAACACAGTGAGAGCCTATCTCTTAAGGAGTATAGCTCAGGGCGAGCGCCTGCCTGCCACACGTGAGGCCCTGGGTTCTGTCTCCAGCACTGGAAAGATGATGTCCCAGGGGCCCAGGTCACTCAGGAGATGTGGACCGGTCTCTGCCCTTCTGTTCACTCAATTTCTGTGCCCCTGCAACCTCTGGGTCCAGGCTCCCCATCACGTATCCCCTGTGCACCCCGACTTCCAGGGCTGCCGTGGCCCACTGATCTGGTGGCAGTGGTGGTTGCTGTGATGGAGCGACACGAGAGGATCCTTGAGGTGCAGCTATGCGCCTGCTCCCTGCTGCTGTACATCCTGGGCCAAGGTGGGTGTGGCCAGGGCATCCTGTGGTATTCCTTTAATTTGTCACCTGACAGTCTGGGGCCAGGCACTGCAAGCTTGGAGCCTGGAGGCTGCCCAGGGCATGACTGGGGTGCTCTCGGCTGCCCTCAGGAAGATGGGTTGTGTCCAGAGGTAGGGCCAACACTGTCCTGTGTATGGGGGGCACTGCACTCTTGGCCCAGAGAGGCGCCCCTATAGCTATGAGTTTCAAAGGGACAGCTCAGCTGACTGATTTCTGCACCTGAGCTACGTAGTTGCATTTCTGGCTTTAATACTGAGGGTTCAATTTCCATGTGCCATTTAGATTTTGTTGGCTTGATTTTTTTTAGGTACTGAGCAGCAATGAACTCAGGACCTTGTGCTTGCCAGGCAGGCACTGCACTGCTGAGCTGTACTCCTGGCCTGCTGTTTAGATTTTGTTTTGTCTTTTTGTGACACAAGGACCCTAGTCTCATGCCTCCTAGGCAGGCGCTATGCCAGGGAGCTGCAACCTGACCCTAAATCGTGTTTACTGTGGCCCATTGTCACTGAGCTGCAGGCTCCTGGACACCAGTGTGGGCTTGTGAAGTCACAGGGTAGCTGTGAGCACAGGCACAGCCTTGGCCCTTGGTCTGCTGCTCACCCTGTGGCTGGGGCCATGGTGGACCTGGGCTTCCTGACACCAGGCAGAGACGTTGCCATTGCTTGGGCAGGGCACCTGGCCCTGGGCTGAACCCAGGCTCTTCTCTGGCCTGAACAGCGCTAAAGCGGGACGTGGATGCCAAGGCATCCTGGAACAGCTCCTTCAGTGCCATGCTGCTGAGTGCCATGCGGAACCACCCCCACTCAACTCGGCTTATCATCAAGGCCTACAACCTGCTCACCATCATCGCCAGCCAAGGTGGGTGCTGCCCTGCCGCCCTTTTGGTTCCTGCACCAGGGAGCCAGGCACACGGGGCCCACTGGGGAGCACGGCGCCCAGGTGCCCACAGCATGGTCCCCAGTGCTCCTATCCCACCTTGCCCTCACTGGACACCTCGCAGATGTGCACAGCATGGACACTTACTGACCTCCATGCCACAGTCCTGCACTTCCACTGCTGCTGGGCTCTGAGCTGCAGCCAGGATGGGGCCTGGGTGGACAAGTGGTCACCAAGAGCTCACCAGACACAGTGATGCACTCTACACCCCTCCTGGTCCACCACATGCTCAGGGACTGCCACCTGGCACCCACTGTCCACCCCACCCTGGGATTTGCTGCCCTTTGCTGAGTCCATGCTAGGAGACGTGTTGAAGAAAGCAGCCAAGCAAGCCTGGTCTCAGGTCCCTCCCGCCCACTGCCAAAAGACACCCTGAGAAGGCAGGGCTCAGTCCACTAACTGGGGAGCCATAGCGGCTGGACCTGCCTGGTGACGGAGCCCTGGAAATGGACAGTCCTCCAGTGCCAGCCCCCATTCCTATCTTTGGATTTCATGTGGATATAAGCCTGGCTCAGGGCAGGTACCCAGGAACGTGGGTCAGAGGGATCATGATGCCCAAGAGAGCACCGGGTCAAGGGGCGCTCAGGAAGGCTTCTGGAAGGTGCTGTCTCTTGCTGCTCAGAGTCGGCGTCCGAGGAGCTGCAGAAGGCCGGGCTGTGTGAGCTCATGCTGCAGCATCTGAGCAGCTTCTGTGGGGACCGGGACATCTGCCTCAGTGGCCTAAGTCTTCTCTGGGCCCTCCTGGTGGATGGTGAGGCCTCCTTCCCCAGTGCCACAGTGCTGGGACTCCCAGCAAAGGAGACAAGGCAGGGAAGGGGGGGGGGCATGAGGACGTGGGCAGCCCTGTCCCAGGGGTCAGCTGCTGCTGGACACTCCATCTTTCTTTCTGATCCTGAATAGGGCTGCTGCCCCCACCAGGCCCCACCCTGGGCAGAGCAGGAGGGCTCTGGGGTGTGGCAAGCTGGGAAACCCCAGCTCTCATAGTCCCTTGCCTCCAGGCTCGGGGCTGCAGAAACCCCCCCATCTTCCACCTTTGAGGACATGTCCTCTCCCCTCTCTGCTTGTGGTGTCTGATAGAGGAATGTGGCATGGAGGCAGGGACACAGCAGTAGCCAAGCGCTCTGCTCAGTGTCTCCTTTGTTCTGGATGCAGCTGTCATCATGAACAGAGACATCTTCAAGAAGTTTCCAGCTCTGGTCATCCAGGTTTTAGCCACCCACCCCATAGATGTGGACATGGCTGAGGCCGGCTGTGCAGTGCTCTGGCTGCTGTCCTTGCTGGGTGAGCGGCCTGGGGCTTGGGGTTTGGAGGGCGGCCCTAGACACACCTGGGGGTGACCAGGCCCTGCCCACTGCAGGCTGCATCCAAGAGGAGCAGCTGGAAGAGGTGGTGGCACTGCTCCTGCGGAGCATCCAGCTGGGCCAGGACAGGGTCCAGCTGGTGAACAACGCCTACCGGGGCCTGGCCAGCCTTGCCAAGGCATCTGGTGAGTTGGGCTGGTGCCAGTTGTCACCCGCAGGTCTGCATCAGGAGAGGAGAGGCAGAGGGCTTAAGGGCCGGGTTCAGCCCAGAAGGCAGGGGCTCAGCATCAAGGCAGCAGGCCCCGGGGCAGCCCAGGTGGAACCTATCCATGTGAAAGGAACCTCACCTACTGGAGCCCGTTTCCCCTGGGGGGAAAGGGGTATGGAGGTTACATCCCCCTTGGGAGCAGAAGTCACAGCACGTGCCCACCTCCCAGGCTGCTCATATGTGGCTCACTAAGTCAACACTCCAGCCCCAAGCTGAGCACCCCACCTGTGTACCAGGTGGTGGGTGCAGAGCCGCTGGCAAGGAAGCAGGTGGTAAACCCCATTTTCTACAGTCCATGTGGAGCAGTGAGGAGCTGGGCCTTGACCCATGGCCACAGTGTTCTCTGAATTCTCAGTAACCCAGTGAAATCAGTGTCACCATTGCCCCATCTCCCTGCTCAGGGAGGGGCACCAGCTGAGCCCACCTGTGAAGGCCCTCATCCCCTCCCAGAGCTGGCGGCCTTCCGGGTGGTGGTGCTGGAGCAGGGCTGCAGCGGCCTCAGCCTGCTGCAGGAGACCTACCAGCTCTACAGGGACGACCCGGAGGTGGTGGAGAATCTCTGCATGCTGCTGGCCCACCTGGCCACCTACAGTGAGGGCCCTGGCGTTGCACCCACCCCTGGGGAGGTCTGCAGGTGGGTGGGGAGCCCCCTGGGGCCCTTGGAAACCTCCCAAGCCAGCACCACTGCCTGCCCATCTACTCAGTACCACTGCCTGCCCATCTACTCATGGCCAAGGGTGCCATGCAGATCCAAGGATCCCAGGGCAGTGCTGTCCCAGCCTGTGCAGCCCCATGGCTGGCAGGCTCTGGGGCTCAGAGACCCCTGCTTCCCTGCAGAGGAGATCTTGCCGGAGCTGGAATACAGCGGCATCAGGACCCTGACCCAGGACATCCAGGACCGCTTCCCCTCCAGCCTGGTGAGCTCATTGGGGCACCCTTGTCGCCGATAGGGGTGTTACTCAGAGCTGGCCCTCCCCTATGGGGCCTTAAGGACTATCCTGTTAGTCCAGCCCCACAATGGGGCCAAAATCAAAGCCATGGGGTACAGTCATCAGACCTTGCTGGTCTACAGCTAGTGGGGCACCTGACCCTGGAACTGTCAGGGATAGGTGACCCGATCTTCTCTCCTCCAGGAGCTGATTTCTTATGCTAAAGAAGTGCTTGTGAGCCTGGAGACAGCTGTGTGCCCCAGCCCTGAGGATGGGGAGCTCCTTAGTGCAGCCAGGGACCTCTCGGGGGACCTTCCTGCCCCACCCTGAGGTGCTACCCTTTCTGTACCAGGGTATGTATGTGAAGTGGCACGCATTGCCCTCTGGAACTAGTACAGAGGCCCGAGGTCAGCTGCCAGCCAGTATCTGTGTACTAGCTGCTGCAGGGGGACTGGCTGTAGTGGCGCTTGACGCCTTCTGTGCAGTGCTGGCTAGCAGGACCACAAAGGTCCTGAGCACAGGAAGAAGCCACACCACAGTGCTAAGCGTTTATTTATGTGCTGGGGACTGAACCCAGGGCCCTGCATGTACTGGGAGGCCTCACAAGCCCCACCTGCAGCACGTGACCACATCCGTCAGCAAAAGGGGTCCCAAACAGCGGGCAGGTGGCTCAGCCTGGGATCTGGGCCCTGCCAGCATGTGGCAGGCTGGCCCACTGGAGCCCATGGCCTTTCCAGATTAGTGCAGGCACCAGCTATGGTGCCTGAGTCTGCATCTGGGTGGCGGGCACAGAGCTTTGCTGCGTGCCAGCCTGCAGCAACCCCAGCCTAACTGAAGTAAGTGGAGTGAGGGGACCCTGTCCCCACAGTTCCTCTCCAGAGCCTGATGGCCACATTAGTCCCCAGTGACAGCAGCTGCCTCCATATCAATGGCTGCTGTAGGGACCTGATCTGGATCCCTCGGGTCTGGCACAGCCTGCCCCCTGACCCATGATAAGAGGGCAAAGTGACCTCAGGGGAAGCCACTCAAGCACTAGGCCAACCACCCATAGCTCATTAGAGCATCGGTGGCAACCAGGTGCCCCTGCACCCCAACCTCTCCTGGCTGTACCCCAGACACACCTCGCCACTTCCACTGCATGCCTGTCCCCTGGCCACTGTGGCCCAGGCATCACATCCTGTGCTCTCAGCCTTAAAAGTGGCTTGCCAGACTTGCTGCTTTCGGGAGATGTAACTGGTCCCACAACCTGGTCCCATGCCGGTGGGCCGAGGCCCTGCCACCTCAGGCTGGTGGCAGGGGCTAGGTGTCCTTACTGCGATGGTCCTGGGTGCTGGCTGAGGGGTGCCTGCGCTGGGCCGCGCTCTCCCAGTCCCTCTTCACCATGATGTAAAGCCTCATTGCGGCCTGGGCGTCCTGGATCTGAACAACATACAATGTGCTAGCTGTCAGCAGGGACCATGGGTGACCATAGCCACGGCACCCTCCAGGGAGCAGTGTCCTGCATACCTGTGGTCTGGCTGTGCCCATTTACAGGGGGAGCTGGGGGAGAGACAGAGGCCTGGCTGTCAGGTCTGTCAGGTGACCCTCGTGAATGAGACTGTGGGCTGGGGCACACAAGTAGAGAGATGGAAAGAGCCCCAGAGCCACAGCCGCAGGCAGGTGCCATGGGGGAGGGCTGGGCAGTGCTGCATCAGCCCAGGATTTGTGTGTTGGAGTTCTGGTCCCCACCTTGGGGGTGTGGGTGGTGCTGAGGGGTGGGACCTGTGTCCCAGAGCCTCTCACGTCTTGTAAACAGGACGCCTCCTTCCCCAGCCGTGCTGTGCACCTGTGTGACTGCTCCCTCTCCACAGCTCTGCTTTGGTGCCCTCACCGTGAGGCCTCTCAATACCCCTCGCCAGTGCCACACCCATCTGCTCCAGGGAGCTAAATAAAGTTCTCTCCGTGAATTAGTCTGACTTGGGTCTTTGCTTTTTGGGTCTGAACTTTTCTTCAGACAGTAAGATGGTTTTTTGATGTTGTGCTTTTTAGATTTAACACTTTTTTTGGTCTTTTAGAGACAGGGTCTCGCTACGCAGTTCAGGCTGGCCTTGAGCTCACTTTGTAGCCTAGCCTGGTCTCGAACTTTCAATAGTCCTACTGCCTCTGCCTCCCCAGTGCTGGGGTTACAGGCATGTGCCACCATGCTCGGCTGTTTTTGACACTTCTTGAGCCTACTGTGCTGGTTTTTTTGGTTTGTTTGTTTTTCTTTAAACAGCCTTTTACAAAGCTGCTCTGGCCACCAGGCACCTCCCCTGTGTCCGCCCTCCGGTGACACAGGCCTAGATTTCGGGGTCAGGGACAAGGCAATCGATCCCAAGGCCAGTCACCCATAGACATACCGAACAGTGCTCTGCCTGCTGGACCCTGACACCCAGGATTTTCTCGGAAAGCAGCTTCAGAGATGGCCTCCCACTCTGCAAAGTGAGCAGATGGCACATGGCATGCTGGGGTGGACATCTTGGGCAGGAAGAGGGGGGGCCACTGAACCCGTAATCACACCCCGGCCGGGTCAGTGACTGAGTCGGCCTGGGGTGCAGGTCAGTGGAAGCGCGCTTCCCCAGCAAGTGCAAGACTCAAGGCCCCTTGGGGACAGGAAGGAGCCCGGTGCCCAGAGAGCTGCCCACCCTCACTTGCTCCCCAGGCCAGTGGTGAATGCAACTCTTTTCTTTTTGCTTCTTGTGGTGCTGGGTGTGAAGGCAGAAGCCCAGGGGTCGTGCGTGCAGGTGTGCTCTGCTCTGAGCTGCACCCGGCCTAGTTAGGGTGCTTCTAAAAGTTAAAGGACAAATAAAACACAAAGGCCCTCACGCCAGGTGTCAGAGGTCGGAATGAACAATCTGACGCCAAGTTCTGCGGTTTGCATACCTTCACCTGCTGCTTGAAAGGTTTGTATTTCTGTGTGTCCCGGATCTTCTTTTTGGGATGATCAAGAAACAGCACCTGGGGGAAGATGATGCATTTCCATTGTAAAATGCGGCAGGAGAACCCCCTTTTACAAGTAATATCTAAGGGGGCCCTGTACATAGTGTGCAGGGGAACAGGTGTGAACTTGTTCCTTGTTCCGCCGGTGACTAAGGGTGGAGTGGGGTAAGAGGCACCAGGACCCTGGGGGGCAGTGTGCCAGCTGTCCGTGACACTGTACCCTGCTTGAGGTGCTCAGGCTGCACCCCGCAGGAGACCACTGGGCCAACTGCTGGTGCTGCCAGCCAGCCAGATCACATTAGTTTAAAACCCTGAACCGAGGCAGCAGGCAGCAAAGTGGGCAGCTGGGCTTGAGGTCGTTCTGCACATAGGGAAACCAGAAATGAGACGCTCACGGCCACCCTGCAGCCCTGGCTGGGTCATCCAGATGCGCACATGGCCCGTACCAGGGACACTGCAGGCACCCTGCACTGGAGGCCATCTCTAAGATGACTCAACATGTGAGCAGCAGGGAACTTCTGTTTTTAGTGGTTGAACGTGGTTTTGTTTTTATTATCTTTCTGGGGTACTGGGGGTGGGACTATGAAGGTGGTCCAGCCTGCCAAGGCTGTCCCAGGAACCTGTCACCACCCAGGCCCTGGCAAAGGGCTGGCAGCTGATGCCCAGGCCCAGCTCTGTTGGCTTCACCACATGAGGGGACCTATGTGTGCGGAGTGTTGAAAGACACTCATGGAGCCAGGCTGCTGCAAGGCACCTGGCACTGTCCCGAGGAAGAACAGAGGGTTCTCTGAGCAGATGGGCCATGTTCCTGCAGTGTCCTCTCAGCAGGCCATGAGGGCATCTGTCTGAGAATCCATGTGGACCTATGCCCTGCACCCAGCAACACTCGGGCAGAAACTGCACTGGTGAGGTGAGAGCTGTGAGGGCTCTGCAGGTGTGAGCCCGTTCACTATGTGTGGCCAGGTGGCAAGCTGTCCACAGGGTGGCGCAAGCGTGCCTCGAGGTCCCAGTGAGCACCATGCCAGCCATCTCCGTCTGCCCTGGACCAGAGCCCCAGAGCCTGGTGAAGGGTGTGGGATGGGACTGCAGGACATCCTGCGGGGACAGCGCCTGGGAAGACACTTCTGGGGACAGCGCAGGGGCTTGGCGCACCTTCAGGTCATTGTGCAGTGCGTGCCCCACCAGGATCCTGCCCTTCAGCATTGCTGCCACCTCTTTCTGCACAACTGCGAGCTCCTCTCCTGAAAGGAAGGCAAAGACGTAGTTGTTCACAGCCCATGAATGGCTGCCATTCTCTGAGGCTCACCCAGCAGGGCCTAGGATGCTGCCACCATGCATGTGCCTCAGGTCCTCTCCCATGATGGGGACACTGTTCGGCCCTGTCACGGCCCACAGAACTGAGGGCTTTGCCTGGATCCAGTGATGAAGGGTCAGGGCTTGAGCACTGTAATTTTCCAAGTGGAAATGAAAACTGGCTCTTCTAGGGTGTGGTGGCACACATTCATAACCTCAGCACTCAGGAGGCTAAGGCAGGATACTGCAAATTTGAGGCCAGCCTGGGCTACACAGTGAGTGAGAGCAGCCTGAACTACCCAGTAAGATCATACCTCAAGAAAACCCAAAGCTCTCTCCCCACAAAAGCCAGCCAGCCTTCACGTTGGGCAGCAAGACACACCCCAGACCCTGGCCCAAAACAGTGTTGCAGAACCTTTTAAAAAATCATCTTGCCCATCTCACCCTGGAGGGTGGGTTCCACAGCCACACCTGTGACCCCACCGGACCCTGGACTGAGCAGAGGGTGCTGGTTTGCCCCACAGAATGGAGAGCAAGTCCCTGGTCCTAAGGAGTGGCAGGGCCACCGCACGCCCGTGCACAGGAAGAACATACAGATTGTGGGGAAAAGGGATGGTACGTGGCAGAGACTGAGTGGCTGCACCCCTGAAGGTCACCAAATCCTTCAGTCAAGCCCAGAGCCTCTGACACAGCCTCCCAGCACAGCACCAGGGGACCCAGCCTCTCCATGTTGGGCATGGGCAGGACACTTCCTGTCGCCTCCTACAGACACTGCCCGCACAGCTCACACCTGGAACGGCTTCCTCACCCTGTCACAGCCACAGGGTACCTGTGGGAACCGGAGCCAGGCCAGGCCTTGAACTCTTCCCTGTGGAACTTCCCAAGGGACGCTGCGGTCTGTCCAAAGGCTCCTCTCCTCATCCCAGCACACCCTGGCTGGTCTCCAGCGCCAGTGACTAAGGGTGGAGTGGGGTAAGAGGCACCAGGACCCTGGGGGGCAGTGTGCCAGCTGTCCGTGACACTGTACCCTGCTTGAGGTGCTCAGGCTGCACCCCGCTGACTGCCGTCCTGTAGTCTGTCACTGGCTCCGTGGGCTTGACGAACTTGTCGTACACGCACTTCCCATACTGGTTCACAAGGGACACTCGGGCCGCGATGCTCTCCTTCCCCTTGGGGCCCACGCCCACCATCTCGCAGTCCAAGGCCAGGGCTTTTGTCAGGCTGGGGGACCAAAGGCTCCGGGTGACCAACACCTTGGGCAGAGCCTTGGTTGTCCCTCCACAACGCCGCCCCGCACCCCAGGTGACCCATGTACCCATCAAAGGCCTGTGCCTTCTCCAGGGTGATGCTGTTCTCCTTCTGTCCAAGCCGCTGCCGCGCTATCCTGGCTGCCTCTGGGCCCACAGCAGCCTCGATGTCGGCGGGGTCCACATCATCAAACCAGATGTCCTCCCTAAGAGCAAAGGCGAGAGAGACTGGCCACCAGAAGGCCTGGTACCTGGCCAAGCCCGGGCTCTGCAGTGCTGGTGGGCTCGCAGGTAACGCAGACACCTGGCCCAGGCATGTCTGCTACTTAGTCTTGGCACTTTCATGTTTCTTTCTCACTAGCAAACATGCTTGTCACCCAAGCTTAGGGACTGTAGAGAAGCATGAAGAACATAAACAAGGCTGGCCAGCTAGCCCATGGTAAGGCAGACTGGCGGCTGGTTTCTTCTAAGTGACAGTGACCAGCCCACCACCAGAGAAAGCCAACTTCGAGGGCACAAGGAACCTTGAGCTGACCAACGCCCACAGTGGTGCCTGTGCCAGCCCATGCCCAGCTCTCAGGCTTCTCTTATTGTCATCCTTGGGGTCCAACCCAGCAGAGTCCCTCCTCTCCATGTTCCCCCACCCTGCAGCTACTAAAGCATCTGTCTATCTGTCCGCTGACCACTCTGTCCTGATGGCCCATATGATGCCACACCCAGGAGGCATTGTGCCTTGTGTCCTTGGCCTTATGCAACTGCCCTGGATGCCTGGGTGACACACATGCTGCCTCTAGCTGAGTCATTCAGAGAGGGTCACCAGCTACTGGCCTTGCCCACAAGAATGATCGTCACAGTGCTTGATGGGCAGTTGCCAGCACTGGGCTGCATTCAGGGGTTGCTCAGTCTCCTGAGACTGCTCAGACAGCCTGAGCAGCGGGGCAGGTGCGGGGGCTGCCAGAACCCTCAGCAGGGCAAATACTTACTCAGTGGGCGGGGCTGGGGCAGAAGCCATGGCTGCCTCTTCCGCTTTCTGCTTCTTGTGCTTGGTGTCCCCTGGTTTTGAAGAAATGTCCCCGTTTCTCCTTTTTTGGGCTTCTTTCTCATACTGTATCCCACTGGTCTTTGTGAGGGGTGCCGACACAGAGCCAGAGGGGATGGAGTGCCGGTTGGCCTCTTGGTCTTTTCCTTTTGGAGTCTCATCTTTCTTTGATTTATTTGAGATTCTGTCCTGCTGGGCAACTTTGGGCTGCTTTTTGGGATCCATCTGAGAGACAAGAGGCTTCTCCAGGACCTGTGATTTTTCTTTCTTTTGGGGGTCCATCTGAGATACAAGGCATTTTTCCGGAACCTGTGAGTTTTGTTTCAGCAGCTAATGGAGTCCAAAATTTAAAATACAAGCAATATTTTAATTTGGAAATGACAGGAAACAGATTGAAAAGACTTACATGTGTGTCCATGTTCACACACACTTATCCACAACACCTGTATGTATTTCCAGTCAGCATCCTTGATACGAATTTCCAAATGGTTTGAAAAGGCCCCCTTTCTACTCTCACCTATAAGCAGCTAGCAGGGAAGTGCTTTCCCCTTACTTATCTTAATGGAACACAGTTTTATACCTATACTTTTGTTCCCATAAAACTCAAACTCAGGCTACATCTTAGGTGCTTACTGACTAAAAGACGTAAGAGCATGTTGCCAAGAGCTCAAGGCCGGGATGAGAAAACTGTCCAGCAGATTTTTTTCTGGTACCAGGAATCAAACTCTAGACCTTGCACTTGCTAAGCAAGCACTGTGCTGCTGAGCTCAATCCCTGGTTCCCTAACTGTTGATGTGAGGGTTACTCCTCTCACAGCCCAGATCTGCTCTATGGAGCATGGGACCACTTCCTTCATACTGTCTCTCTACATTTGCCATTACTCAGGACCCAGAAAGACGGAGGGGCATGTTCAACGCAATGAAAAACTACTGTCAAACTGGAGGCCCTGATGAGCTTCTAGGCGTCAGCTCTAATCTCATCCCACCAGAGGCTCTGAGATCTTAGAGCCCAGCTTCCTCCTTCCCGTGCTCAAATCCCCAGTTAAGACCTTGGGCAGGTGGCAAGCAGTTGGGCCAGGAAGTAAATTTCTACTTATCTGTTCCCATAACAGTCAAACAGGAATTAGACAAAACCTGAACCTCCACCTCCCATTCATTTAACTCTGCTTTGCCTTCTTGGGAGGAAGAGTGTGACCGGGTGCTTAGGGAGTAACATAGAGCAGCGGGGCTGCCCAGTTCTGCATCACGACAGCTAAGCTATCAGGGTGGCCCACAGTAAGACGCCAGGTGAAGCACCTTGCTCCGGAAATCCTTTATTCTGTCCCTCCCACTTGCTGTGCCTCCACAATCGCACTCCAGAAACTTCTCTGAAGGTCAGCAGCAGCAAGGAGCACAAACTCAGGTCAGGACGTGTGACTCTGCATCTGGGCTCCACCACCTCTAGCTCTATGACCTCAAGCCAAGTTCCTCAGGCTCCCTCTCTCTGTGCCTCAGTTTCCCTGACTCGGAAACAGGGATTGTAACAAAAGCTAACTTTGAGGGATGTCAGAACGTATGAGTGAAGCCTTGTGTGATATCTGCTGTATGAGTTAGTCACCATGTCAAGAAAGACAGGAGGCAGGAGCCAGAGTTAAGGGCCTGGACTCCAGGGTTTCAGGGTCTGGGGTTTGAGTTCCAGCTCCCAGCAGCAACCCTGGATGGTTTGGTACCGAGTCTGGGCCCACATCCTCACCTGCGGAAGATAACCACTTTCTTGGGGATGTTAGGGGGTTTACCTGCATCCGGACACCGGAAGAGCTCGGTACCCATGACAACGGTCATCAGTTCCTGGCTCTCAAAGCCCTACATCGCAGGAGTCCTCTACCCCCGTGCCTACTCTCTCCCCCGAGCGGGCCGCTTTTCCCGGGAACGGCCCTCGGCACTGCTGGGCTCGAGGCTGCTCCATAGGCGCTTGAGCGGACCCGGCCGCAAGCCCGGGACTGCGCCCGCCGCCGGCCTCACCTCTTGCAGCGCCTTCCAGTTTTGAGAGAAGTCTTCCCGGGCCTTCGGGGGGCGCCCCGCGACGCCTTTGGGGGCGCTTCCCGGCGTCTTGCTTCCTCCTTGCGCTTTTTTCTTCCAGAACCTCTTCTTGCTTTTCTTCCCAGTGAGCTTCCTGACCGGCCCCGTCCGAGCCACGGAGATGCTCGGGGCGCGCTCGGAGCTCTTCGCCTTCATCCCGTGGGCGCTGCAGGGTCCCCACGAGGGACGCGGACCTCGGAAGTGGCCCGGAAGCTGACCCGGCACCGACCCGGAAGCGCCCGCGCACGCCACTGGCGTACCTCCGATCCCGGAAGCGCTCTTTTCTTCGCGACCGGCTGGAAACCTGAACCCTGCCGCTGGTTCCACACGCCAGGGGGGGCGGGCAGTCAGGGGCACCGCGGTCTTGAGCGGAGCGGCCGGAAGGGATCTGGGCAGACTACTGTTGGCGTAGCGCCGGAACCGCGGCGGGAAGTGGGGTGGGGCTCGTCCTATGGGAATTCACTTAGGCGGTGGGGAAATTGAGGTCCTGGCGCTGGCCGCACACCGTTATCTGAAGCCCTAGGATCTCAAAGTTGCGCCATCTTGTTGGTGATAATGATAAGGTGCCCTTAAGGCCACGATGACGAAGGTTGTTACTGTTATAGTAGCAACAGTAGCAATTGAGTGGCCAGGCTGCTGGGCCCTGACGATTCCTTCTTTGGTAGACACCATGTGTGTTGCTGTCACAAACCTGCCCCTTGCCCTCAAGTCTCCAAAAGGCTAAGGGGGACAGGCAGGTGGGGGCCTGGAGCTCAGGGGCACGTGGAGGGGACCCACTTTGGGCTAAGGCTTCCAAAGCTCTCAGGGAGCTGTGTATTGTTTTTGTGTTTGTGGTGCTGCCAGAAAATCCAGGCCCTCAGCATGACCTGGCCTTCTCCAGAGGAATCCCTGGCCTTCTTTTGCTCTCTGGAGCCTCAGTTAGTCCTGAACAGACAGAGCCAGCGGTGACTAAGGGTGTCACTGTGGCATTTCTGCACAGTCCACTCAGGCTGTGGGGACCTGTGAGGTGGGGAAAGCAGGTGGCTTTCACTGTCCCATAGGGAAGGGGGCCCCAGGAGGCAGATTCCTGGATGGATTACAGCCAGGAACTGGGGAGTGAGCTCCACTTCTGGTGAAAGTCCAACTTCTGTTCCCAACAGGAGGCAGGCAATATAAAGTGATGGGATTCCCTGTGGAGAGACAACTGTTTTAGAAGATGAGGACAGGTTGGGGCCAGGGAGTGGATCTGGGACATGCTGCTTGGGAGCTCTGAGGGGAGGATCAGCAGGGACTCGTGGTCAGGGAAGCCAGGAGGGATGAACTCACAGTGTTTGATGCTGAGGAATGGTCGAGGAGATGGAGGCTGTGAGTGGTATTGGAACCTGGGGAGAGTTTTAAGAACAATTTGAAAGGGTATGAGGGTGGGATACAGGAAGAGAGCCAGGCCCTGACATGACTTTGTTTTCACCTTGTTCCCAGACATCAAGAGCTAGGGCTGGGGGCTGGAGATTTAGCTTAGCGGCATAAGCGCCTGCGTTGCAAGCAGGCAGTCGTGAGTTCGATCCCCGGTACCGATAAAAATGAAAAAGACAAAAAAAAAAAAAAAAAGAGCTAGGGCTGAGGTTGGGTCCAGGGTGTTGCTGTCGCAACCTGCTCCTTGCCCTCAAGTGTCCCAGGATCCTGTGGGAAGCCTCCCAGGATCCTGTGGGAAGCCTGTGGTATTCATCGCATGTGTGCTGTGAGGAACACGCAGGTCTTAGGGTCTTGACAGCTCATAGCTGCCTTCTCCAGGAGCTTCCTTCCCATCATGGCCCCACTGTGCCCTCTCCCTACACATCTCCAGCCACTGTATGATGTGCAGCCTGCCGAGTTTGCTGGCAGAATCTCTTTGCCAGCTTGAATTGAAGCTTTAAGAGGATGCAGTGGCCATGTGGTTGGCTGGTGGCTGTGGCCCTGGTGTGGAGCACAGTCCCTGCCTGGCCCATTGCAGGGTTGACTGAGCATTGTGGGCTCAATGAGTGAATGAATCCAGAGATGCAGAGATGGTATGGGAGGGGGACATGGAGGAGCAAAGCCTGGGGACCCAGAGGCAGGCTGGCCCAGTAGAGGCAGTAGCTGTGTCCTCCCCGAGCCAGGGAAAGAAACAGGCGGCAGCTTTACTGGTAAGAAGACAGCAGTGGACTCTCTGCTGGTCATCAGTGAGGGAGGGTGTGCTAGTAGCCATCCATGTGACAAAATACCTGAGATAATCAGTTTAAAAGGAGGAAATATCCGTGATGCATGCTTGTAATCCCAGCTACTGAGGAGGCTGAGGCAGGAGGAGCATAAATTTGAGATTAGCCTGTGTAACTTAGTGAGACTGTCTCATAATAAAAATTAAGGAAAATGAGCTAGAGATGTAGCTCAGTGCTCCTTGCACTACTGGTTAATGGGAGTTTTTGGTCACACCTAGGGTGAAAATCAGACGTGGGCCAGTTTTAAAATTAAAACAAAATAAAACTTCATTAGGGTCAGGTTGGTGGCACACATTTGTAATCCCAGCACTTGAGAGGCTGAGGCAGGAGGATTGCTATGAGCTTGAAGCCAGCCTAAGCTACGTTGTGAATCAAGCCCAGACTGAACTATATACCAAGACTGTCTCAAAAACAATCCCCAAGAAACAAAAAGCCCAAGCAATTTTATTAGATTACTCCATAGACAGAAGCCCTGGACAAAGACATGTGTTCTATGAATGGGATCTTATCTGGGTTGTGGTCGAAATAACCCCTTGAAGGTCACATCCAGTGACATCACTTCCTCCAGATCTGTCCCACCTTCTATTGGTTCCCCCAGCTCCCAGGTGCACCATGGGTTGGGGACCGCCTTTAGCATGTGGACCTTGGGGGGCTTTCATGATCTAAGCCATAGTGAGGAATTGAAACATAAGGGATATACAAGTGTGGCTCAGAGTGTGTGTAAGGACCTCGAAGGAGGGCGACAAGATCCGCAGCGTTGTGGCAACACAGGCAGAGACCTGGGAATGGGTAGGGCCATTCCCAGGCCATCACTGTCCCTATGGGTGCAGGCCAGACAGTTGAGTTGGGGGTGGCGGACAGGGACATAACGTATTTGTGAGGAACCAGTGCAGGGGGCACATGGTCCTTCTAGGCAAAGGGGACTGGAGTCAGGAGGAAATGTTTCCGATGCTACAGAGAGCTGAGCTGGTAGCAATAGTACAGGCAGGCAGACAGGGCTGGGCCCTCGAGAGAATGAGGGCAGGAGATGAGAGCGCATTGCAACTGGCTGGAGGCGCACTGCTAGAGACCAGGCCTCCAGGAAGTGGTGACACTTGGTCTAATGAAGTCTACACAGACTTCAGTCACCTCGGTGGGTGGCCAAGACCCCTGGACCCATCCCTTCATGAAAAGTTCCTTGTTCTGTGCACACTTGCTGTGTGACTGACTTCCCCATTGGATCAGTATCACCTGAGTGGTTATGTTTATAATCTGATGTTTGATCATAGCTTTATCCTACCTTGTGCCACCTTGTGATTTTGCTCTATAAAACTTCCCCTGAAAATAAGGATTCTCACCAACACACTGGGGCCCCCTCCTGCCCTCAGGAGCTCTCCCCCTCAATAAATATTTCCTACTCTTTATTTTTGATATTAATTGAACTCAGGGCCTTGCACTTGCCAGGCAGATGCTGTGCTTCTGAGCTATATCCCCAGCCCCAATATTTCCTACTCTTAACCTCCATTGTTCCTTAGAATTCATTCATTGATTCTGGGGAATGTGAACTTGGTGTCTCTGACGTGTAACAGGTTGGGAGTGATAATATTTCTTCTATATCGTTGCTATATTGCTGAGAATCAAGAAATGGGATCATATCAAACCAAAAAACTTATGCACTGTAAAGGAAACACTCAACAGAATGAAGAGACAGCCTGCAGAACAGGATAAAAGTTTTGCAAGCTATTCCCCAGAGTGTTGTCAGGCAGTCCTTTAGAAAGGGGTCACCAGGCAAACTTATTACAGGTCCTTGCTGCCTCAAACAAAGCATTGAATGTGACAAACCAGAAACAGTGCCGAAAGTTTATTTCAAAAAGGAGGAGTGAAAGGGTAAGGGAAAAGCTGGTTCTGCAGAGAGAACCTGGGCTGGAAAAGAGAGGAAAAAATAATAAAGCAAACCCTGGTCTAGAAGACACAGAATGGTACCCGGTGAGGAGTCATGTTAGTGGGATCTCTGTGGCATCTGTGTCCTTGTGGGTCATCACGTCTCATTGGAACCTGGGAGGAGTTTTGCAGGTGGGAATTACTTGGTGCAGTCTTGGGATCTTATAATTAATGGGTTCCACTTATTTTCCCAGGCAGCTTTGCCATGCCCTACCTCATATCTCAAGAGGACTAATATCTAGAATATATAAAGAACCCAAATATTTAGACCCCTCAAAATAAAAGACCCAATCAAAAAAAAAAATGGGCACTGGTTACATCACGGAAGTGCAAACGGCTAGTAAATACAAGATACTCTTTCACCAAGATTTTGTCTTACCCCAGGAAGAATGGCTATTGTCAAGATGTCAGATAGTAGAGCTGGGGATGGATTTGGTGGCACAGTGCCTGCCTGATCAGCTCAAGGCTGTGAGTTGGATTCCTGGTACCAGTAAAGAAAGGAAGAACAAGTCAGGCATGTGCTGCACTCAGGAGGCTGAGGCAGGAGGATCATTGCAAATTTGAGACCAGTCTGGGTTACAAAGTGAGGTCAAAGCCAGCCTGAACTGCATAGTGAGATACTGTTTCAAAAAGACAAAAAGATGAAAGAAAAAAAAAAAAAAGGAGAGAAAAATCAGTAACATGCTAATGAGGCAGCAGAGAGGAAAGGGGGTCTTCTCCTCTCTTGGTGGGAATGTAAATGAGTACAAACACTCAGGGAATTGGGATGGAGATTCCTCAGAAAAGTAAAACTAGAAATCTCACTTGACCGGGCTATTCTTTGGTTTTCTTCCCTAAAGAGCTAAAGACATCAGATTACAGTGATCCATGCACACCCATGTTTATAGCAGCACAGCCCATAATAGCTAAGTCTTGGAAGCAGCCTGTGTGTCTGGCACAGATGCATGGACAAGGAAAGCGTGGTGTGGTATTTACTCACAGTGGAGCGCCACCCTGCCCGCAAAGAATGGTAAACTTGAGTCATTTGTTAGGAAACGAGGCACCTTGGAACCATGATGTTTCAGACTCAAGCTGAGACAGTGCATGGTTTTTCTTCTATGAGAGACCCAAATGATAAAGAGAGAATAAAAGACAGGTGACTGGAAGTAGAGAGGTAATTCTTTCCCAAATGGGAAGGAGAGGGGGCGATGGAGGGAGGGAAGGGAGGGAGAGAAGGGGGTAAGAAGGGAATTGAGATGCATTCTGTGCCTGTGCCGACTCCAGAAGGGCGTGTAAACACTACATCCTGCAAACGTGAATGTGGACTCCTAGATAGGAATAAAAGCAGATAGGGTGGCAGGGGGAGCAGGCCTTTGGGGATCAGAGCTGCAGCAGCTATGTGCTGCCTCTCATTGGCCAGTTACGGGTGGAGACCCCGAGAGAGAGCCGACTAAGGCCCCATATTCTGCATTGACCCACATCTCCAGGGCCCCGGCCTCTCAGGAGCAGGCTGTGCACACTGGGGTCTACCCCAGGGCAGGACTGTGCTGTCCCAGGGTGCAGCGGGAGGAGCCACGGGCTGCTCTCCCCGCCCCAGTTGGGAGGAGGGGAGGAGGCTCCCAAGAGTAAACTGCCAAGCATTCCGCTCAGCCAGCCAGTGAGCAGGGGACTCCATTCCATGCCTAGGGGATCCTTGGGCCCCAGGCACCCTCTCTCGCTGCACAGGCTGGTCCTGAGGATGAGCCCCTGGGCACGAGGCACCCTTCTCCAAGCAGCCAGTGCTGGGGGAATCCTCACTGGAGCCTTCTTGATCCTGGGCTGCTGGGGGCTGTCGGACTTCCAGCAGGTGGGCTTGCACCGGAGCTCAGTGCTCAGTCATTGTCTTCCAGCTGACTGCATTGAGTTTGGCTTCTGGGATGCTCGAGTGGGGGAACCAAGCCTGGGTGTGGGGGACGAAGGTTGCCAGCTAAAGAGGGGTTCGTTTCTTCTACTGAGGACAAACAGACACCAGCTGTCCCAGACCTGTGTGGGTTGCTTTCCTCTGCCTCTCCTGCCTTTCCCCTCCTCTTTCTCCGGTTCTGTCCTCTCCTCTTTGGCCCCCCCTCCTTTTTTCTCTTCCCCACATCTCTTTTTCTCTTTTTCTCACAGAGCTTTCTGCAGGCTCTGGAGCCTGAGGAGGTGTCCTCCTACTTTGGTGCTGATGCAGCCTTTGAAGGTACTCGTCCTGCTGGTCCCTTACCAGCAGTTTCTCGGTTCAGGGGCAGCGCCCAGAGTCAGTGGTCTGGTAGTTCTGGAGGGAAGAGGTCAGAGGAGAAGCAGTTACCCTGTTCATTAGCTCTGTCACTTCCTGCCAAGCTGATAAAAGCTGGAGGGAGGGCTCTGCTTGGGCTGGGGTCCTGACCCCAGGCTTCTATGGGAGGCCCCGGGAGAATGGTCATTAGCAGCCAGGGCTTCTGCTGGGCTGGCTGATTTTCAGAAACTCCGGAATTTCTGGATATGGGTGTAAATATTTATTCCTTTGGGGGGTACAAGGTAGCTCCCCCTAGAACCCATCCTATGTATCTCCTTGTGGCAAAGCCTTTTCCCCATGGCCCAAGGGTCTCAGGGTCCAGAAGAGCTGTTGTTGCCTTTGATCCAAGGCTAGTAGGGGTCATGGGTGGGTGGAGTAGCAGTCAGGTTGGAGGATTTAGCGGTCCCCGACTTGTGCCCCAGTGAAAGCACCTGGCTGGGCCTCAGGTCCTCACAGCTCTGCCTGTTCTTGAGGCTTGGATGCCAATGCCTGGGGCTGAGCCCTCTGCCCTCTGGGCTACTTTGGGAGGGGACAGTGAGCTGGCCTGGGGCCTGCTTTCCAGGAGACCAGGCTCCACTTGGGTTTTCCCCATTTCTGTGGCATTCAAGACTGCAACTAGGTTGCAAGGCCCCTGCCCTGGTGGCCCTGGGGAGTCTACCTGCTGCCCACCAGCCCTCAAGCGAGGAGAGGAGGACTTGAACCCAGGCCCCATCCTGTAGGCCTGTGCATCCTCCACTCACCCTCACCAGGGAGCGACTTGGGCTGGTCCAAAGGCGGCCGGGTTGGGTGAATGAGGTGGCCCTGTTCCCGCAGTGCCCCAGTTCACCGTGGCTCCGCTCACCTGCATGTGTGAGGATCGGCTTTGGACATTGGCCTGCAGGGCCCTGCGCTGCTCCTTGAGTGCCCCAGGAGCGCCCTTTGCCTTTTCCTTCCGGCCCAAACGAGGCCTCTGGGCTCCCTCCCTCCTCAGCGAGCACGCGGTGAACACCTCCTTCCGGTGGCTGAAGGGGCCCCTCAGCCACTGCTGCATGAGGGGACGTGGCCTGCTGCCCCCTGGCATGGTGGCCAGGGTCATGTACTGCTCAGGTCACTTGGTGAGTAGGGGCTTGGGAACGGCAGTGGGGACCCTGTGTGCAGAGATGTCATCCTGAACCCGCTGCTGTGGCAGTGGCCCTGCGTCCTGTCTGTTCCCAGGGGGCAACAGAGGCAGAGATGAGTCAGGCAAGTGTCCCCAGAGGGTAGGTGGCAGAACCAGGGGTTGGCGACTCGCCAGGGCACTGGAATGACAAGGGTTGGGGCTTTGGAGTTAGACTCCATGTGCAGGTGACCCAGGCCTGTCCTTGGGGCTGGTCTTGTGTGTGACCCTGGCAATGCCTGCCTGGCTGTGTCAAACACCCCAATGGAGCTTGTCCAAGTGTGCTACTCATGGAAAGCACCGCATGGCCAGAGCCACTGAGGTCATCCGTGATGCCACACCCATAGGACCTCATGCAGAAGCAGTGATTGGCAGGTGGTAGCGGGCAGTGAGCCTGGTCTCAGAAGGGCGTGTCCCCCTGGTTGTCCCACAAAGATGGTTTGGGGATCGTGGACTTGGGCAGAGCCCCTGGAGTAGGCTTGGGTAAGTCCATATCTGGGGGTTCACCCTGTCCGCTGGAGGCCGTTGTCTCTCCTGCAGGTGGGCGACATTCAGGTGGGCTTGGGCAGACTGCATGTCCAGCCGGTGAAAAGAAAGCACTGGACACTGGTGCCTCCCTGGAGGGGGGCCCAGCCCCACTTGATCCACAGGCCTGCTGCCCTGGGGTCTATGCAAGGTAGAGCTCCCGGGAGAGGACAGCGCCTTCAGGGTCAGTGGGAGGACTGACTGTGCCCCGCCTCAGGAGGCTGTGGGGAATGCCCCGCTGAGGAGGGACCCTGAGCTTGCGGGGTGGGGGGTGGGGGGGAAGAAGTGCCTGGGGTGTGTGCAGCCACCAGCCTTGGGAGACTACTGGGGCTGCTGTTACAGGGCTTCTGATGTTTCCTTTGTTGCAGATGAGGACCTGGGGCCTCCAAGGTGGGACATGGCTGCTCCAGGACCAAGTGGCTCAGGGCCATGGCTGGGATCTGCAGCCTCCCAAGCCTGGCTGGCACTCTCCACTAAGCTGCATTGGGGTGCGGGAGGGTGGTGTCTCGGGGTGACCTTGTTCTCCAGCATGGGTCTTGGAGGCAGAGCAGGGGCTTGGGGCTTGGGCTGGAGCCCTTGCAGCAGTGGGATCCTTGTCCCACTTGACAGATGAGATGGTCACAGAAGCTCCTGTCTGGGGTGCACCCTCTTGTGTGCCCAGAGTGCCGCTCACCAGTGGGAGGCAGGCCCCTGGGTTGCCTATACCAGGGTCCTCACAGGTTTGGCTGGGCCTCAGGTCTTGGCTTCCGGCAAGGGCATCCCTTCAAGCCAGCCAACTTGTCTCTCCTCTCCAGGAGCGCCTGCCCCTGGGCTCTGGAGACCGACTCGGAGACGGAGGCGGGCAGCAGGGGGCGTCCTGCACCTGGAGCTGCTGGTGGCTGTGGGCCCTGATGTCCACCAGGCTCACCAGGAGGACACCGAGCGCTATGTGCTCACCAACCTCCACATTGTGAGTCTTGGAGTAGGTGGGGGAACACAGCTGGTTGAACTCAGGAGTATTTTTGTTGTCCAGTGCTAGGGTTTGAACTCATGGCTTTGTGCATGCGAAGCAAGCACTCCACCACCAAGCTATATCCCCAGTCCCCTGAACTCAGTGTAATGGGAGGCTAGGTTGGCCAGGGCCTCAGACCCCTGGAGAAGGGCAAGGAGAGGTGTAGTTCATGCTTTCCTTCCTCCTCTCCTGCAGTGTGTACGTCTGGGGCCACCCCTGGTCTCCATAGTGCACCGCACAGCCTTTTGCCATGTGGATCCACATGCCAGCACTGCCTGGCAAATCGGGAGCAGGCTGCCCAAACTGCCTCTGTGTGCCTGCCCCGCCCTGCTCAGGCCTATCCTCCCCTAGCCAGGGGAGTGGAGCAGACAAAAGTCTAGACAGACAGCTGTGTGGCTCCTTCTGCTCCTGCAGGCACCCTCCCCAAGGTCCAGGACATGTGGGCAGGCATTGCCACGCCCTGCATCACCATCTTGGAAGGGTGAGAGGCTGGCGCCACACAGGGGCTTTAACCAGCTGATTGTCAGGATTCCTTTGCACACACACAAACATGCACACACACGTGTGCATACACATGCATACACACACACACACACACAGAGCATATGCATGGAAAATGACAGCTCCAGGCAGGGAGGTCAGGAATTTGCCCACCCCAGAGCTGTGCCCTATGACAAGCTTTGCAGAGAGCAACTATGGTCCCTCACTGAAAAACTGCTCTGAAATTCTGGGTGCATATGAAAGACATTTAAGACCTAGTTTCCATGAGTGGCCCACAGCTCCGGTGCCCTCCCACCTTCCAGGTCTGCTGTAGGGGCGGGGAGGTGCTGACAGTGGGCACTTTGACCCTGACCTCCTGACCCTGTGTGGGCCCTGTGGGGCCTAGGGGTTCCTTCTGTTTTTGGCTGTGGTCCCTGCTCTGAGTGACCACATGCAGGTTTTCTGCCTGCCAGTCTGAAGGTATTTTTGTGCCAAGAACTGTTTCCTCTAAGTCATTTGGAAGCCATCACTTTTGAACTTTGGAATCTCTGTCCCCCCTCAGATGTGCAGGAGCCTGGTCACCCAGTGTGGGCTCCCTCTGCTCATTCGCCTGCTCTCCAAGGGCCGGCTGGGCAGCAGAGATAAGCTTAGCTCCTGCCCCAGTGCCTCCTGTGGTGGGAATAGCTCCCACCTGGCCCTGTGCTGTCCCCAAGTGTGCTGACAACCAGGGAAGGCTGTAGTTCCTCCATTTCACAGATGAGGAAACTGAGGTTCAGTGCTTGGTTAACACTGAGCACACCAGCTGGGAAGGGGCAGAGACAGATTCGAACTCAGCCCAGCCACAGCCAGGGATGGGCTTGTCTTCTGTCAGGGGTGTGCTCTGTGGGGACAAGTCGGGCAACCAATGGCAATGTGGTCAGTCACGAGCTGTGTCCCACCCAGGCAAGCCAGAACATGCACAGGCTTGTGGTGGCAGGAGGTAGCTCTCAGGGTCAGACTCAGCAAGCAGAGAGGAGACAGTGTTCCCGGCAGGTAGAAGGAGACGGGGCAGGGCTGGTGCAGGCTGGGAGAGGCTGGGTGAACCCTCCATGGGGCTGGCTGTCTGAGTTGCAAGCCAGGGGAGGCCCAGAGGCATGTGGGACCACCTGTCACCTGTCTTGGGCTCCCAGCCGGAGGATGAGCACCTCCCCACACGCAGATGGCGCTTCCTCCCCTGATATCTCTGATGGACCTGGGCCTAGTGCTGCCTGCCTGTGTGTTGCTTCCACAGGGCTCTGACCTGCTGAGGGACCCCTCCCTGGGGGTGCAGGTCCAAGTGTACCTGGTGAAGCTGCTCATCCTCACCGAGCCCGAGGTAGGCTCAAAATTGGGTTCCAGGCCCGAGTCAGAGCTACCTCTGCACCTTCACCCTCCTGAAGAGCCTGTGGGCCTGGCAGTGCTGGGGTGGTCAGCCAGGTGGGCTGGCTCTGACTACTTCCGGAAGGCCCAGTTTCCCATCTCTCATGGGGGGTGGCAGTGGGGTTGTTATGAGACTGGCCAGTAGTGGTCAGCAGTGTGCTGGGACAGTTCCCAGAAAAGGGGGCTCTGCTGCCTATCCTGTAGGACGCCCCCAATATCACTGCCAACATCACCTCGTCCCTGCGGAGCGTCTGTGAGTGGAGCCGGTCAGTCAACCCTGCGGATGACAGGGACCCTGGGCATGCAGACCTGGTCCTCTATATCACCAGGTAGCCAGGTCACAAAGCGTGCACCTGCCCGGGAGCCCACACCTCAGCCTTTCCCACCCTCTGCCCTCTACTGTGCCACCCTCTGATGCTTCTCTTGCCAAGGTTTGACCTGGAGTTGCCTGATGGCAATCGGCAGGTGCGAGGGGTCACCCAACTGGGGGGCGCCTGTTCACCCTCCTGGAGCTGCCTTATCACAGAGGATACTGGCTTCGATTTGGGGGTCACCATTGCCCATGAGGTCGGGCACAGGTACGCTGCTATACCAGCTGTCCCCAGGCTCTGACCAGGCCCTGGAGGGATGGAGGGTCTTGGCAGGCATCGGGCCCTGGCAGAGCCTGCCTGGGGCGCCTACACCCTGACCCAAAGGCCTAGCAGGGGTAGGACCAGCCAGGGCCACCTGATGCCTCAGGACTGCCAAATGGCTGGGAGAACTCTCCGCTCCAGCCCTGAAGACTGAAATAAATAGCCATTAGGGGATAAGTTCCGGAGAGAAGCAAGGTAATGAAAAGACAGGCTGTCATGGTGACCCCAACTCCCACCGGCTCCTCTCATGTGTTTTCTGTTTTAGCCTTTCCCTTATATATGTGCGTGATTTTTTATGTGCAAAACTGGGTTCATGTAATAATATATTTCCTAAAGCTCTCCCAGATCCCTTTTTTTTTGATACTCAGGCTCTTGTGTTTGCCAGGCAGGCGCTGTGCTGCTGAGCTGCGTCCCGGCCCTACATGGTTTTTAATGCACCACATCTTATCTGGTTAATTGCTTCTTGTTGGATACTTAGGTTGTTTCCAAATGTTTCCTGTTACATACATTCTGCATTGCTGTGACCAAGGCTTTGCTCCTGACATATCTGGTTAATTGCTTCTTGTTGGATACTTAGGTTGTTTCCAAATGTTTCCTGTTACATACATTCTGCATTGCTGTGACCAAGGCTTTGCTCCTGACTTTTGGCATTTACTGAGGGTGATGGGTTTCTTTTTGATTTTTGGTTTTTTAAGTGATGAAAGTGATACCCCAAAAGTCAGATAGCACAGGGCCTTCTAAGTGAAAAGTGAAAGCTTCTTTTTGATTTTTGTGACAGGATCTCAGTCTGTAGTTCAAGCTGGCCTTGAACTCACTGTGTAGTCCTGACTGGCTTGGAATTGGAGGCCATCCTCCTGCCTCATCCTTCCAAATGCCCACCATGGCCAGATTAAGAAGTGAAAGTTTTTATGGTGGTGGCCCACCAGCCCCTTCTGGGCAGGGTGTGAAGCCCCCAGGGCCAGCAATTGGCTCCTTCCTCAGATCTGATGGCAGGCCCTAGCACCCACAGGGCCCCCTGTAAATTCCTTGTTCTGTTGTTGCCTAAGCAATGTGCAGCAGTGGAAAGAAGGCCTCGCTCCCTGGGACTTTACAGCTCTGTGGCACACAGCTGCATGTGGCAGCCCAGAGAAAAAAGTGTCATGGGCATCCCCCAAGGCCCCAGGCCCCTCCCTGGGCCCCAGTGGGCCCTTCCAGATTGTGACGCCCCTGGGTTAGTGTGGGCCGCTCATGTTAGAAGCCTTTCAACAATTATTTGTCAAAGAGACAGACCCATCTGTGCAGCCAGGGCTTCCTGCCACACCCAGGAAGGAAACTGAGGCAGCTGGTCACTAGATCTGCTGTGCCTGATTAGTTATTGGTGGGGCAAGAGGCTGACCCAAGTCCTAGCGCCTGATCCTACCCACTGCCCTCAGTTTAGGCCTGGATCACGATGGGGAGCCTGGCAGCGGCTGCCGGTCCAGTGGACATGTGATGGCGCCTGATGGCCTGGCAACCACTCTCAGGGGCCGTGTGTGGTCCCCCTGTAGCCATAGGCAGCTGCAGCAGCTGCTCAGGTATGGCCCCCAGTCCTGCCTTTCTGGCCCCTCTCTCCTGCCTCCACATCAACCTGGAGCCTAAGCCAGGACCTGTTCTAGCACAGGGTGGATGCGCTGCATGTGGGATCCGCCAAGGTTGCCCGGAGGACCTGTGAGGCGCCTACCTGATGCCCAGCCGGGCCTCTACTATGGCATGGATGAGCAGTGCCGCATAGCCTTCGGCCAGGCTGCTGTCGCCTGCACCTTTGCCAGAGAGGGGGTGGTGAGTGTGCTCCCCGCTTGCGAAGTGCCAGGCACACAGAGGGACAGCGTGTCCCTAGTCTAACACAGTCAGGTGCCTCTGGAAATCTGAAGTTTTGGAATTAAATTCTTCACTTTTTTTGAGACAGTCTCTCACTGTGTAGCCCAAACTTGCCTCAAAATCATGGCAATTCTCCTGCCTCAGTCTCTCACGTGCTGGGGTTATAGGCCCGCACCACACCTGGTGGATCCTCATGTTTTTGTCTTACTGGACCTTGCAGATTATGCAGGGGGTCCTGGCACACACACGCACCAGCAGATGCCTGTCTGAACGAGGGTGCTGGCCTTCGACAGCTTCCTAGGGCTCCTAACTCCTCGGAGGTGGACTCCTCCCCGGCAGCAGTGAGGCAGGGTGGGCTTCCTCCTGACACCACCTAGGACAGTAAGGGGTCCTGGGCATTTTGCCTGGTGGGTTCTCTCTTCCCATCAAACCACTGTGTATTAGAGAACTTATTTTGATCATTTTTCTCTGGTTTTAAAAGAAATCGGAGCATTTTTGTGGACTGGAGAAGCCAAGTGGGCCCTGGCCGGGTGTCTGCTCCTCACTAATGTCGGCTGTGCCTTGTCTTCTGGGGTTACCTGCTGGGGTGCTCAGAGCAGGGCGTTGGCTATTAGTGCATTCTGTGGCACAGGATGGGCAATGCATGGTGGCTCTGGAGTGACCTCCTATCTCCATCCTAGGACATGTGCCAAGCCTTGTCCTGCCACACAGACCCTCTGGACCAAAGCAGCTGCAGCCGTCGCCTTGTCGCGCTCCTGGATGGGACAGAATGCGGTGTGGAGAAGGTCAGAGCTCAGGACGAGAGATCGCGCTTATGTGTGTGTGTGTGTGTGTGTGTGTGTGTGTGTACAGGTGTGTGTGAACTGGTGTGTGTGTGTGTATAGTACAGGTGTAGGTTTAGGTGTGTGCATGCAGGTGGGTGCACAGGTATGATGAGGCAGGTGTGGGCAGGAATGTGTACACTCAGGTGTGTGAACTCACACAGGACCCCTCTAGCCTAGACCCTTGTCCCTGGGGCAGGAGGAAGGAGGGCAGCAATGAAGGGATGGGCAGAAAAGCACCAGAGCCGCCCCTGGTGACCTTCAGGAAATGTGGAGAGGGTGGCAACGGATGCTTAGGGGCACCTTTGGTGCAAACTGACTGCCCACACCTGAGCCCTTCCAGGCTGGGCTGGGTGAGTTTCCAGGTTTGTGGAATACGCCCCGTGGGACCCTGCTTAGTACCTGTAAGGCCAGGGGGCCTGCGAGTGCAGAGCCCCTTCCGACCTGGAGAGGAGGGTAGTGAACCCCACTCCCAGGCACAGGGCCCCATCTCACCTCCCCCAGCCCTGAACACAGGGGTCATGTCTTTCCCCCCTTGTGCAGAGAAAGTCTATGTAATGACTCTGTGGCCCAAGCTTCCTCCAGACACCCGCTTGTTACCCCAGCCCCCTCTGGCTCACTTCCTGCTCACCAGGGGACCAGGTCCTTGCTCTGCCCTTCAGGTTGATGGTTGTCAGTGTCCCAGGCAGAATGGGATATAGGGGTGCCTGTGAAGGCGGGGTTCCTATGAATTTGGTGTCCCTTGTGTGTGAATGCTGGTGTCCTCACAGGGGTGCACACAGAGCTGTCCCTGTCTTGCAGTGGTGCTTCAAGGGTCGCTGTCACTCCCTGGTGGAACTGAAGCCCATGGCGGCTGTCCATGGGTGCTGGTCCAGCTGGGGCCCCAGCAGTCCTTGCTCCCGCTCCTGTGGAGGAGGTGTGGTCACCAGGAGGCGGCGGTGTGACAACCCCAGGTACTTACCATGCAGTGGGGGTGCTGATAGCCCCCAGGGGAAGTGGGGCAGTGGTTACCTCTCACCCTCGTGTCTGGCATTTTCAGGCCTGCCTTCGGGGGCCGGGCCTGTGCCGGGGCTGACCTGCAGGCCGAGATGTGTAACACTCAGGTAGGCCTCTCTCAGAGACCGAGCCATAGGGCGGGTGGCTAACCTGGGGGTTACTGGTTCCAAGAGCAGGACAGTCCTACTGCTGACCTGCAGAGACCCTGCAGTGTCCTCTCCCTCCCTGAGCGTGAGAGTCGCCCCTGCGATGTCACCCAGTGCCAGACGCAGCCGTGCTCCTTTTATTTGTGAACTGCGGTGAAATTACAGAGCGTGAAGTCATCTGGGGCAAAGTCCCGCTGTCTGGTTCCTCTGGCACCACCAACGCCCCACATGGCTCTGAAGATTCATTTCTGTAACTAAGCAGTCCCTCTCCTGAGTTCCCCCACCTGGCCCCAGCATCCTCTGATCTTTTGATTTTTTTATCCCATTTTGTTCTGACCTGGGGTGGACCCAGGATGTTATAAGTTCCAGGCAGGTGCTGCATGGCTGAGCTGTACCCCGAGCCCTTTTAAACCACCATGTGGTCGGTCAGTCTGCGGTTCTCTTGGGCTTTGTGTACCCATGGGTGCTGGCGTCGTGGCCACCTCTCGTCTGTTGCCACTGTGGTGTGAGAAAGAGCTTGTGCAGGGTTTGTTGGGGTCCCATCCTCATTTCTTTGAGTTCTATGCCCATCTCAGTCTGTGTGGTCAGCCATGACAGCTCTGCCCATGAGTGATTTACAGACATAGACATCTGCTTCACCTGGCTTCGGAGCGCAAGCCCTGGCAAGGTTGTGTTGGTTAGGGCTGATCCCTGCTGCCTAGGTGGCACCTTGTCCTGTGACTGTGTCGTCTCAGGGAGGATGCTGGATCCTCAAGTGGCAGGAGGTGTGGAAGGGTAGGGGGCCCCACTCCACTCTTTCCAGCCCCTTCTGCAGGGCATGGTCCCGGCCACCAAGGCAGAGCCCTTGCTTTCCAAAGCCACCCCTTGTTACACCGCTGAGGGACTTGGAGGGACGCTGTCTTCCAGCCCTGGCAAGCCCCCACAGGTCTGGGTTTGCAGGACCGTGTGGTAACTCTGGGACCACCATGCTGTTCCCTGCACGCCAACCTGGTCTGCCTTCCTTTCCATTGCCACTGATAGCTGGTAGGTTGGTTCCAATTCCTGCCAGTGCAGAGGAAACCGGATGCCTGCCCCAGAGCTGGGGGGTATGTGTGGCACTCTCCGCTCCTGACCCTGCAGTCTCTCTACTCTCCCACCTTGAGGTCACCTATGGCCCGCGAACAGCCAGCATCAGCCCTGCTTCTCAGAGGTCCTGCAAGAGCAATGCTCTTTCTTGCTTTCTCTGTGCTGCTGGTTCTCTAGAACTTTCCCATTAACAGACAGAAAGGCAGGGGTGCTGGTCACCTCCACTGTGCTGTGCAGGGAGCCGAAGCGCAGCCCAGGCCTGGGTTACCCTATATCCTGACCTGCATGGAGGGTTCATGCTGTCTGTCTGACAAGGGCCCCTTGCCTGTCCTCTGCCCGCTCTGGCCAGGCCTGCGAGAAGACCCAGCTGGAGTTTATGTCCGAACAGTGTGCCCAGACGGACAGACAGCCACTGTCCCTGTCCCTGGGGGGCACCTCCTTCTACCACTGGGGTGCTGCTGTGCAGTACAGCCAAGGTGGGTCTTGCAGAGCTCATAGCTGACCCCTTGCCAGGTCAAGCGGCGGGGCGGCCACTGTCACTTTAGGGCTGGGCAGGAAGGGCTCTGATGTCCCACAAACCATGGCATATGCCTGGCCGGGTCTCCCAGCTGATAAGCAGCAGGGCCCCATTACTGAACCTCAGTTTCTCATCTGGGAAACAGTGACAATGGCAGCATCTCCCTTGGGGGTTGGAGAAGACACAGGAGAGATGCCAAGCATGGTGCTTGGCTCATAATCCAGTGATGTTATTTATCAGATTTTGATTATCATCACTCCATTAGGAGGACAGCCAAGGCAGAAACTCTTGCCCAAAATTAGGCAGCAGTTAGGTAAGCGGGTGAGGGGAGGTCCGGCAGGCACAGCCTGCTGCCTGCCCTCCCAGCCTGCCTCGCCTCAGGGTTCACTGTCACTCTGCACTCGCAGGGGACGCTCTGTGCAGACACGTGTGCTGGGCTGTCGGGGAGAGCTTCATTGTGAGGCGTGGAGACAGGTTCCTGGACGGGACCCGATGTGTGCCCAGCAGCCCCCAGGAGGACGGGACCCTGAGCCTGTGTGTGCTGGGCAGCTGCCGGGTAGGTGGATGCAGCTGGCCCAGGCGCCCCTCCAACCCTCATGGCCCTGAGGTCTGCCTGTGCCTTCAGGAAGCCTTCGGGCAGGTCTGCAGGTGCACAGGAGAGCAGTGCTGGAAATGGGGGAGACTCGGAGGTCCCTACTGTGGTCTGGGGGACAGCCGTGAGCCCTCCGAGCTCTCTTGTAGAATCTCAGAGCCGGCAGGGCTGGGGAGTCAGGAGACACTTTCCCCACTGACCCTGGCCCTCTATCATCCTTTCACAGATGTTTGGCTGCGACGGCAGGATGGACTCTCAGCAGGTGTGGGACGTGTGCCAGGTGTGCGGAGGGGACAACAGCACATGCAGCCTCCAGAATGGCTCTTTTACAGGGGGCGCAGCCAGAGGTAGGGGAAAGACACAGCCCCTGGGGAGCCCCCCCAAAGCCTTGGCCCGGGCTATTCTGTGGGGAATCTCTCAGGAGGGGACATCTCGACCTGTCCTTCCCCCGAGTTGGTACCCTCCTGGGGCTGGCTCTGACCTTGGCAGTGATACACATCCCCCACAGCTGAAGTGCAGAGAAAAACAGACGCTGTGTATGCATGGCAGACGGGGTTCTTCCGACACCTCAGGAAGTCCCCCCGGGGAGCCTGAGCAGTGGGAAGTGTTGCTGTTGCACTTGGGCAGTCTCTGACTTAGGTCTGTGTGTAAGTCGAGGTGCATTGGCCAGTACCAGAGAGTGGGGGTTATGGAGGATGGAGCCTGTCTCCCCCAACTGCACCCCGCCAGGCAGGAGACGCTGCAGTCTGGTCCCTGCTCCCAGCTGGGCAGTGCCCTGCCTGTGGCTCACCAGCCTGGTTCCCATCAGTCTTCCGCCTGGGAGGTGGCCCCACAGCTCAGCTTGGTCAGCTTTTCTCTGTGCGCTGGGACTGGCTGGCTCAGACTGTGATGTGAGCCACCTGAGGCCCCATGGCCCCCTGCTCTGCTTCTCCCTAGAATACGTCACGTTCTTGACTGTCACTCCCAACATGACCAGTGTGCACATTGTCAACCGCAGGCCCCTCTTCACGCACTTGGGTAAGTTGACCCAGGGACACCCACCATCTCCAGTCCCAAGATGTCCTCACATCTGACTCCATAGATGTGTCCGAGGGGTTCCCAAAATGGCGCTGGCTCTCTAATTCACTAGGAGACTCCTAGAGCTCACAGGGGTCGGCTACCTTCAAGGTCATGATTGCCCAGGGGAAGGCCCTGTGTCCCAGGGACCTGGCATCTTTCTGGCATTGAGGCACAGAGCAGTGCAACCTGGGAAGCTCCCCGGGACCGGGGCTTTGAGTTTCTATTGGGCTTCATTCCATAGGGTGACTGATAGACAGTGATACCCAGGAGGGTCTTTCTCCAGGGGACTCAGGGCCCCACTGGAGTCACACAGCTGGTCTCTCTGGTGTGGTCAAGCCCTACTGTGTACTGCCAGGCAGTTGTGCCAGCCCTGTCCTGCTCTGGCGAGGCCGGCTCCTGCAGTGAGCCCAAACGGGCTACCTCCTGAGGGCAATGGCTCCTGTCCAAGTCAGGACATGGCGGGGGGGACCATTCAGGAACTTGGGGGTCTTTATGTCCTGTGCACACACTCACTTGAGCTTTGAGCCCTTGCGAGGGCATTTGCCCGGGGCTGCAGCCCTGACCTGAAGGTGGTATTGTGTGTGTGAAGGCACTGGGAAGGGACAGAGGCTGTGACCATATCCAGATCCAAATGGGGCACAGTAGCAGGCTATCGGGAAGCTTTTGGGGTGTGGGTTGCACATGGCAGAGGGAGAGGGTGTGGGGCCAGCTCCGCAGGGAAGGACTGGGGACCCCAGGGGCCAACAGCCTCCTTTTCACAGCGGTGAAGATTGGAGGACGCTATGTGGTAGCGGGTGAAGCTGGCCTCGCACCCAGCACCACCCACCCTTCCCTGCTGGAGGACAGCCGCGTGGAGTACAGGGTGGCCCTCACCGAGGACCAGCTGCCCCGCCAGGAGGAGATCCGCATCTGGGGAGCCGTCAGGGAAGACGTGGAGGTCCAGGTCCTCAGAGGGCCGGCAGCCAGCGCAGGCGGCTGCGGTGCTTTGTTCTCTCACCCATCACTTGTTTACCGCTTGTTCCTTTATGCCTTGGCCATTTGGGGGACCTGCCCAGGCAGAGGCCCTGTGCTGCTGCTGGGCTCAGCATGGCACACAGCCTGCGGGGAGGATGGAGCTCTGGAGCCCTGAGGGTGGGCAGGGGTCTGCGCGGGACCAGCTCCCAGGAGAGTGGTGGCCGTGGCAGCGGCCCAGGGCGCCCGCAGAAGCTGGTTTGCCCCTTGCAGGTGTACAGGCGGTACGGCGAGGAGTATGGAGCGCTCACCCACCCGGACATCACCTTCACCTACTTCCAGCCCAAGCAGCAGGCGGCATGGGCGTGGGCCGAGGAGCGAGGACCCTGCTCGGTGAGCTGTGGGGCAGGTGAGACCTGGGGCAGGGACACCTGAAGCCCCATACTGGCCCCTGCTTGGAGGTGGCCAAGCTCTGGCCCTCCCCTTTCAGGGCTGCGTTGGGTGTCCTACGGCTGCCTGGACCAGGCCCAGAACGTGTGGGTGGAGGCCAGCTGGTGTCAAGGGAGCCCCAGACCTCCTGCCTGGCCAGAGGCCTGTGTCTCCGTGCCCTGCCCCCTGCGGTAAGTGCTGGGTTCACGGACTCAAATGGCCTGCAGAAGCCCTTGTTCAGTACTGAGGTCACCCTGGACATGGGCTCCATTGGTGTCCCCAATTCTCAGTTGGGGGACTGAGATTCAGGACAGACACTATGATAGGGTCTGACCACTGTGACCATACCTACTGCCACCTTATCTAAGCAACAAGGCCCTAGGAGGTTGTAGAGGAGGCTTGGGGACCCAGGGCCAGCACTGACCTGCACCGGCTGTGGTGGGGTGGTTAGCAGCCACCTGATGCTAGAGACAAGGCCATCCCTCATGGGGGCAGCACTGGCTGCTGGACACTTGTCCTCAGGTGGGGTGGGGGGGTCAGTGCTACAAGGCCACCCCTCTTGAAGAGCAGCCCAGGGACACCTCAGACAAAGGTATAGGCCAGGGGGAGCCTATTGTGCTGCTGCCTTTCATCTGTCCTCCTGGGCAGCCTGGAGGCCTGGCCCAGGGCTGACCCCTGTCCCTCTGCTCAGCTGGAGACTTTGGTCCTTGCAGTGCTTCCTGTGGGGGAGGTCTGCAGAGCAGCGCTGTGCTGCATAGAGGCCCAGCACAGCCTTCAGAGGATGCTGCTCTGGCCCGGGGTGGCCTAGCAGCCCACCTTGGAGACCTGCAACAGCCTGCAACAACCAGCCCTTCCTGGGAAGATGATGACTTAGTATTGGGGGAACGCCCTGCAGGGCTGTTCTGGGTCCCCTCATCTCCAGGCCACTAGCAGGGCTCCATGATGGTCACTGGCAGTGGTGCAGCTCTGGATGCCCTCGCTGCCGGGAGGCTGTGACCTTCCGGACCCTGCCTTGAGATGGGGGCGGGGGCTCTGCTCTCAGAGGTGCAGATGTCCTCCCTCACCCCTGGCGTGTGTCCTGTGGTGCCCTGTGGCTGTGGCTCATCCCTCTGGCCTGAGCCCATTTGCTGCTCTGGAGACTGGTGCCATGATTCCTCTGGCCACTGTCCTTTGTCCTCCTCCTCTGGTCGAGGGCCGGCCCCAGGCTTGGGGAGGAAGGTAGGAGAATGGGCTGGCTCCCTGCACTCTGCCCCTGGTGCCTTGTGAGGCTTCTCACTGCAGGGACCCCGGGGTTCTGGTTGGTGGAGCAGGCAGCTGATCCAGCAAGCACTCCAGGGAAAGCCCTGAGCTTGGCTCCTAGACCTGGGGAACCCCTTCCCCGATGAGCTGCTTTATAGGCAGGCGCAGGGGGAGGCTGATGAGGTCCTATGCTGTCCCCAGACAGGAGGTGTCAGAGCCTGACCTGTGCACGGCGGCGACCTGTGGACCCGGCCCGGCCTCACTCAATGTGACATGTGTGCAGGTGGCAGGTGGCCCGGGCTCACCCGCAACCCCAGGTCCCTGCACCACCCATGAGATGCCATCTACTAGCGAGACCTGTGTTGGGACGACATGTCCTCTGGCCTGGGCTCAGGTGAGTGGGCTGGGCAGAGAGTGGCCAGGGCTCCTGTTGTGCTGGGAGGACCCGGCGACCACTGTCCTGTAGGCCAGAGTGGGAGTGCTGTTTGCTGCAGAGCCTCTGGAGAGGGCAGCCAGGTTGGGGGGACAGAGGTCCTGCTATGTACTCCAGCTGGTATCCAGGCTCATTCAGGCCAGCAGCCAGCCAGCCCTGGCCCCTCACGGCCCATGGAGCTGCAGGCCAGGGGTGCTCACAAGCTTCCTCCTGATCTCCAGCTCTCAGCCAATCCCACAGAGGACACTGCCACTGCCAAGGGGACTGCAGAGGCCAAGGTGGGCATGTACTTGGGCATGATGGCAGCGGGGTGTAGAATGGGGTAGGGGTGGGAGGCCGGGCTCCCCAGGAGCAGTAGGATGGGCCCTGTGTGCTCTCCTGTGTCTCCTGAGGTCAAGGCGGGGGCAGGCAGGAGTCGAGGACCCACCTGCTCCCTGCACCCGCAGCTGCATGCCATGGCTCCAGAGGAGGAGGCTCCAGCTGTACCCATGTGGACCCCTGTGCCGGGGCTGTGCTCCGTCTCCTGCGGGCAAGGTGAGGGTTCCAGGGTTGCTGCCAACTGCCAGCACAGTCCTCACCTCTCTTAGCTGCCTGTGTTCTGTCTTGGACCCAGAAAGCATGTGCAGTGGCCTCAGAAAACCCTAGCCACGTGGGGCAAGGGATAGACAAGGGGCTGCAGCCAGGAGCCCTGGCTGCTCTCCGTGTTCACTGAGTGGGCTGGTGTTAGGGAGATACAGTCACACCCAGAAAGATTGGCACTGACCAGTGTCCCTTATAGCTAGCAGAGGTGCAAGAGACGGTCCAAACTGCAGAAGCAAGGTGAGAGACATGAGGTGTCTTTCGTTCATTTCTTATACTGGTAGGAAACTCCTAAACTCTCCCTCTTGAGTACCGTTCTGTTCATCAGCATCTAGGGCACTCACATTGTTCTGCAGCCATCTCCACCACCCATCCATCCTCAGAAATTTCCTGCCATTCAAACTAAACCCCATCCCCATTAAAAACCAACTTCCTGTTCCCCTCTGCGGCCTCTGGCCACCTGCGTTCTACTTCCTTCCTGTCTCTGTGGATCTGATTCCTCCAGGGCCCTCAGATGGGTAGAGTCCCACAGGGTTCTCATCTCGTGATGGTGGCGTCCTCTGAGCTTGCCCTTGGGGCAGCTGTTGAGACTTTCCTGCCTTAAGGCCAAGAAGCACCCTTGTTTGGTTACTCCACCCTTCCACGGATGGCTGTGCGGTTCACTTTCTGGGTTAATGCAGTTCTGTACACAGACTGTGCGTCCAGGCTCCTTTTGGGCAGTTCCCAGCAGTGGGAGCACTGCTTGATCACGTGGTCATTCCACACGCACTGTTAAAGAACCCTCTGCCTCTCTGCCTGGTAGAATTTTACATCCTGACCAGTGGTCTCTGTTCAATGTTCAGAGTTGCTCCTACAGGAGTGGTGGAGGAGACCGGCCCCAAGGAGAGACCTTCTAGCAGTGCTTACCGGGTCTCCAAACCCAGCAGCAGCCTCCATTTGTGGAGTACCTACTGTGTGTCAGGTGCTTTGTAATCCTTTTAAATGACTCTGCAAGTAGGTAGTGTGATACGAAAGACCCGAGGTTCAGAGAGGCCCTTCATGGTGGAGCCTGTCCTGCACATGGTGGGAGCCAGTGACCAAGTCCCCCTGCTTCCTTCCTGCAGGACTGGTGGAGCTGCGCTCTCTGTGCGTGGACCCTGTCCTCAGGACACCTGTCCAGGAGAAGCTGTGCAACTTGGCCAGCAGGCCTGGGAGCCGGTGGGAAGTGTGCTGGGCTGGCCCATGCCCCGCTCAGTGAGTAGGGCAGGGAGACGGCAGGGGAAGGGAGAGGAACCCGGCCTAGGGGTAGTCTCCTGGAGAACTCCGGCCTTCCACCTGCAGCTGGGAGGCCTGGGCCCTGGCACCATGTCCGGTGACCTGTGGAGAGGGGCGGGTGCTACTGGCCGTGTGCTACATGAGACTAGAAAGCAGCCATCCTGTCCCTCTGCCTCACTCCAAGTGCTGGCCAGCACCCCGGCCGAGCCCCTTCCAGGACTGCAGCCCAGAGCCCTGCCCAGCCAAGTGAGCCCTTGCCTAGGAAAGGTAGCCCAATTTGCACTTCTGCTGTGCCAGCCTGTCCTGAGACTCAATATTCAGGCTGCAGGAGCCCTCATTCTGTTGCCCCAGCCGGCTGTGAGGCCTCAAGGGGCCAACCTGGTGCCGAGCCCATGTCTGTGGCCCATAGCTTCCTTGCCCACTCTTTGTGAGCATCCGCTATGCCTTTGCTGCTGTGCACCCAGAGGATGCAGCAGTGCACAAGAGAGGGGAATGCACCTGCCCTCTGGGAGCCTTGGGGAAGGTGATGCTGGACTGTGACTAGGATGGATGGTGTGACAGTTCAATGTGGTATAATGGAACTGTGGGATCCCCTCATGCCAGACACCTTCCAAGGGTCCCGAAGCTGCCATCTGCACCCACTGCCCCAGACCTGGTGGTAGCCCCTGCTTCCCTTTCCACAAAGTGGGTGATTCTGAGCACTCTGTCCCCTGGGCTGAGCTACTGGGGCACCGAAGCAGGCCCAGGGAGGGACTGTTGCAGGCACTTCCTGGTCTCCTGTCTCCCTGGTCTGGAAGGTTGAGAAGGAGGCCTGGCTCCTTGGGTCCTGACTGTGGGGAGCTTGGGCCTATTGAGTCCGTTTGTCCTGGGCGGGCAGAGGTACAAGCTGGTGGCCTGCAGCTTGAGCTGTGGGACAGAGCTGCGTAGAGAATCCTGTACTGTGCCTGGGCCCTCAGGGAGGGTAACAATCAGGAGACCTGGCCCATGGCCAGTGTCAGGGGGTGCCTTGCACAGAACTCTAGGAGGTCTGTAGCCCAGGACATCTGGTGCACAGTGCCACCTGACAGTGTAGGCCCCTGGGGGTTACAGGGTGCACAAGACACAGGACAACCCAGCAGGCTGTGCGAGGTTGGGAGGTGAGGTCCCTGTGCCATGAAGGTCCCTGTTGCCAGGAGCTGGGGATGGTGGTGGTGGTCACTAGCTCTGCAGATGGGGAGACCAGGGGTAGTGGTGCCCGCAGGGATGGCACGGGACGGGTGACAGAGCCACCACCAGAGGGCGCCTTGCCCCGCCCCACGGTCTTCTGTGTTGGAAGCTGAGTCTAGACTTCCTTCAGGCTCTCTTCCCTTCTTGAATTACCAAGCGGTTCCGCCTTGTGTAACCCTTTGGTCCCGCCAGCCCCCATGGTGTCAGTACCCCTCTGTTCTCACGCCCAGGCCCCTGGACTGGGCCCCTTGCTTTCCCCAGATGTTCAGAGATGCCCTGAGATCTTATGACAATGGCCACCCCGTTGGGAGATGTTGTAGCTGCCTGGCCTCGAGGCTTCCTTGAGGCTTCCAGGACCATCCTGACCTGGGTTCTGCACTTTGTTCCCCAGTGCTTGAGGCTTCTCTGGGGAGGGAGGCTCCCCCCCCACTGCCCAGTGCACATTGGCAATGTCTGAGTTTTTTTAACACTATACTGGGGATTGAACCCAGGACTTTTGTACTGAGCTACATCCTTAGCCCTTCTCTACTTTTTATTTTGAGGCAGAGTCTCACTAAATTGATGAGTTGCCCAGGTTGGACTTAAATTTGGCAATCCTCCTGCCTCAGTCTCCCAGAGTGCTGGGATTATAGTCAGTGTGCTATGACCAAAGATGCGTTAGTGGTCACACCAGGGAGGGGGACCTGCCGTTGGCCCCACCCTGCAGGACAGTGCAGCAGTCCCTGAGACCAGTGGCACCAGGAGGAGACTGTCTCCTGCTGCCCCCACCCATGGTCCCCTCGGAAAGCATGTGGTTGAGGGGCTGTGTCGAAGTTAAGACCCCAGGCTCCAGTGCAGGCTGCCTGGATTCACACCTGGGCTCTGAAAAATGTCCACCAATCTTGGGTGAATGATTTGAAGTGGCCTGGCAGGACTGGGTCATGTGAGCCTTGCCTCTGCCCACTGTAGGACTTGGGGCCATTTCTGTTGCCCTGGGGCTTTGGACCTGTGTCTCTTCCAGCCAGCAGCTTTGTGGGGGTATAGGTGTCCTGTGACCAAGGGGACAAGGGGCCTCTTCCTGCAGAGCCCTTCAGAACCATCCCTTGTCCAGGGATCCTGACCCCGGTGGGAGGTTCGGCCGAGTTTCTCCTTACCTGGCCCAAAACCTGTCCAGTGAAGGCCAGAGAAGCCAGAGTGGAGCCTGCGGATCTTCTGCCCTGGCAGGTGGAAAGTCCTGTCCCTTGGCCCATGCTCAGCCAGCTGTGGCCTTGGCACTGCGATGCGAGTGGTGGCTTGTGTGCAGCTGGACCAAGGCCGGGACACTGAGGTAGACGAGGCAGCCTGTGTGGCTTTGGTGCGGCCACAGGCCAGCGTTCCCTGTTTCGTTGCTGACTGCACCTACCAGTGGCACGTCAGCCCCTGGACGGAGGTAGGAGCTGCCTCTGGCACTGGGACTTCCCCTGGGGAAGCGGGGCCCTGGGGTCTCCGTGGCCTCTGAGAGGAGGGGCCCCACGCTGAGTCTGGAGCTGGTGCCCTAGAAGCTGGAGGGCACCTCTGAGCCTCAGTGTCTTGAGCTGTATAATGGAGACATCTGTCCATCTACCTGGCCTGTGGCCTCTGCTGTTCTCTCTCTTGCGATAAGGCCAGTTGTGACTCCTTCCCTCCCCCTGCAGTGCTCTGCCTCCTGTGGGGAAGGCATCCAGCGACGGCATGACACCTGCCTAGGACCCCAGGGCCAGGCGCCCCTGCCGGCCAGCTTCTGTCAGCACTTGCCCAAGCCAGCAACGGTGCAGGGATGCTGGGCTGGGCCCTGTGTGGGGCAGGGGGCCCCCAGCCTGGTGCCCCACGGGGATACCACCACTCTCGGCCCGACCACGGCTACCACCGCTCTGGCACAGCTCATGACCCCAGCACAGGCCCGCCCCACCCCCCCAGCTGCTCAGCTTCCAGGGCCCCAGGGGAGCACGGCGGAGACCAGTTAGGTTCCTGGGCCCTTTCCTTTGGGAGGCTAGTGGCAAAGGCACCTGGGAGAAGCCCAGGGCTTTCCTTGGTCCTGAGCACCTGAAATCCACTCTGTCCCTTGGAGGATGACACACTGACCCATGCAGCCCCCTCCCAGACCCAGCGAGGCTCCTATGGGGGTACCTCACCTCAGCCTCCTTGGATAGAAGGGAAAGCCCTGCCCTGCACTTCTGCTCACCCCACTCCTCTGCTCCCTTTGCAGGTGCTTGTGGCAGGCAGTATCTGGAGCCCATAGGAACTATCAACATGCGAGGCTCTGGGCAGGCAGACTGTTTGGTGGCCATTGGGAGGCCCCTGGGTGAGGTGGTGATCCTCCAGGTCCTCGAGAGTTCCCTCAACTGCAGTGCAGGTACATCTAGGGCCGCTGCTGCCAGTTATAGGGCCTCCAGGTGCCAGCACCATTCCAGGGTGTCTCCTTTCTACAGGATGCTCCTTGAGCATCCTGTGCATTGTCACAGCACCTGGTGACTGTCCCTGCTCTGCAGACAGGGAGCCTAAGGCCAGGGGAGAGTCAGTAATGCAGCCCCTGCTTAGAGTTCCCTAGCCAGTGAGAAGGGGGTCTGGATGGGGTCTCACACCCGCCACTTCCTAGGGGAGCTGGGGCAGGGGCACTGGGTCTCACACCTGCCACTTCCTAGGGGAACTGTTGCTGCTCTGGGGCCGGCTCACCTGGAGGAAGGTGTGCAGGAACCTGGCTGGAAGGACTTTTGGCTCCAAGACCAACACACTGGTGGTGAGACAGCATCGCCTGTGGCCAGAGGGTGGAGTGGTGCTGCGGTACGAGAGCCAGCCTGCCCATGAAGTCTTCCACAGAGGTAGAGCTGGGTGCTAGGGCCGCCCCTGCTTCCCATGGAGGTGACCAGGCCTGTGCTCGGGGCAGTGGGCAAGACAGGAGCTGGCCAGGGCTGGTCTAGGCATGCATATGGGATGAGCTTCTAGGATGAGGCTGTGGTCCTTCTGGTCCTTCTGGTCTAGGCTGTGCAGCCAGATGGGTAGGTGTGAGACGCTGTCCAAATCCTTCTCTTTTCCTCAGGCCATTGTCCTCTATCCATGTCCTCGGCACTCAGGTCCTTCAGGGGCCTTTAGCAGACTTCTGTGAGCCACTCTCCCCCAGGCCTCTCTCCATGCACTGGTGTCCCTGTGCATGGCTGTGCCCACCACGCACAGGTGCCTGCTGCCATGCCCTCCTCGGGTAGAGGATGGTGTCTCCCAGCAGCCCAGGATGGCTGAAGTTGGCTTTTCCAGCCAGTCGCAGAGGTTTCGGGGTCTCTCAGGCCTCTTGGGAAAGTGTTGCAGCCGGGCTCGGCCACCAGAGAAGTTTGTTCCAGCACCACCTGCCCCTCAGCAGGCAACTGTGCTGCTGGCCCTGCTCTCCTGCTCCTCACCTGCACAGGCTTCGGGGAGGCTGAGAGCAGCATGCAGGGTGGGCAGTGGGCTGCTGGCATTCATAGCCGACCTTTGTGCCAGTTTCGCTATAAAGCATTTCTGTGCTTTAACTCCCCCAAACCCCCCTAAAAAATCCCCATTGGCAGCGTGTGCCACGTCCCCTTCACCCCACAGGGGCAGGGATGGAAGCTTGGAGCACTTCATGCCTTCACCCAAAGTCACTCAGCTAGGGCACAGTGGAAGCAGAAATCTGAGGGGTTCCGCCTGGGAGGCTTCTAACCTGATTTTTGGGCCATAGTGCCCCCCTCGTGCCCCTGGCTGTCCTAGTCTGTCTGGGCTCCTGTGTCCCTGAGGTGGCCCACACCTAGTCTACCATCTGCTTTTGTCCACATCTGTAGAATGTGACACACAGCTCTTCGGACCCCAGGGTGACATCGTGAGCCCCCTACCGAGTCCAGACGAGAGGACTGCAGGCACCTGCCGGGTCTTCATCAATGTGGCACCACAGGCCCGCATCGCCATCCACATCCTGGCCACCAGCATGGGCACTGGGACCAATGGCAGCTCTGTCTCAGTGAGGATGCCAGGATCTGGACACCATAGGCTGACCCACTATGATTCTGGACAGCTGGCCCTGGAGATGAGATGGGGGCTGGGCTCAGGGGACCCCTGTAGTTTACCTCAGACCTCAAACCTCAGAAACATTACCGGAAAAATGGGAAGGAGAATTTCCCCTTAACAACCGGAAGGAAGCAGAAAAGCCCAGCTGTGCGTCTAGGGATGCAACACAACTTTCCAGGGCCTCCGTCCCTTCGAGGGCTCTCTCTGGTGAGGAGTCCCCTCATCCTGACTGGTTGCCCTTTTCCTTCCAGATCCGGGATGTCCACAGCCCTCGGGCCACAACCTTCCGTGGGCAGCAGGCACTCTACTGGGAGTCGGAGGGCAGCGAGGCTGAGCTGGAGTTCAGCAAGGACTTCCTGGAGGGGCATGCTGGCCTGAGGGGCCGCTACTGGACCCTCCCCTCGAGGCTGCTGGAGGGGTCCCTGCCCTAGCCGTCTCTCCATGCAGCAGCAGGGAAGGCAGGGTGCCGGTGCCTGACACTTCCTGAGCCCGTCAGGGTCCCACCAGGCCTGGGGGTTGAGCTCTGCTCTGGACGGGCATTCCAGCTCTAATTTACACAGGTCTTAGGGATGGATTCTCCTTGAGAGTCCTCTCCAGTGTGCACAAAGGTAGGCGTGGGAGGTGCAGACAGCGTCTCAGGTACCAATAAAGGAAGCAGGAAGCCTGGCGTCTTTCTTCACAAGACAGGTCCAAGCCTAATTTGACACCAGTCTTGCCTCAGGGCAGGGTTTCCCTGGTTGTAGACGGATTATCCCGTCCAGAACAGGTTCCTGGCCATCTTTAGTTATCCTCTTTCCGCCCAGGGATCCGGACTGGGCTCTGAGGCCTGCCCACCTGGCACCTGTGCTGGCACTGGCTGTGCATCGTCCAGAAGTCCCGCCCTACACAAGCCTCGCCTCTATGCTAATGAGCCCAGACCCCTCTGATACTCCAGGAGACCGCCACCAGCCCCAGCCCCTTATGCTAATCTACCAGCCTCCCACCCCGGGGTTACCATTTCTGAAGGCCCCCGCCTTCGGGCACCGCCCTGTCTGACCTGAGAGCCCCGCCCCCTAGGCTAATGAGCCCAGAACCCCTCCGGGTGCCTTCTCGAGGCCTGCGAAGTCCCGCCCCCCTATGCTAATACCTCCTCTCCCACAAGGCAGCGCGCGGGGCGGACGCGGCTCTTTGTGCGGGCCGGGGGCTGCACCCGGGCACCATGAGCGGCTCGGGCGGGGCGGGGGCGCCTGCGGGCCCTGCGCCTCCCGCGCAGGAGGAGGGCATGACGTGGTGGTACCGCTGGCTCTGCCGCCTTTCGGGCGTGTTGGGGGCCGTCTGTGAGTACCCGGTGGGGGGACCGGCGCGGGCTGGGGTCTCCGAGGCCTCCGGGGCGTCGGCGGCGGGGGGGGGGGCCTACAGAGGGCGCGGTCCCCGGGCCGCTGCTCACCTGTGTCAGGCCGGGCCGGCAGCGACTTCTCACCCCGGCGGTGCTGGGTGCCTCTGCGAGAAGTTTGCTGGGGGCCGGGGCCCTGCTCTGGGCTCTCTCTGTCTGCTGTCCTGGGTACGCCCCCTCCAGACAGTTCCCACGGACCACGGCTGTGAGCTTCTCCTTCTCCTCTCCCCAACACTGTCAGTCCCTGGAGGGCGGGGGCAGCCGAGGTTTGGGAAGGGGCCGTTGCCGAGGATTCCGACGCCCGGCTCGCACGGGGGCTGATGGGTACACCCGGTTGGTTGGCGGCCAGCGAGGTGTGCACTGCCCAGGCCCCCGGCTCCATCCCGCAGTGCGGGACTGAGGCGAGTCCTCTGGAATGTGCTTGGCTGTGTCCCGGACCAGGACCACCGGACATGGTGTACGGTGCCATGGGAGAAGGTGGCCAGTGATGGAGAGGGCTGAGGTTCTGACCCTGGCCTGAGGACGGCAGGGTGCCTGACCAGCCCCTTTGGGATAGGGTCCCCTCAGGGGGCTGCAAAGACCTTTACCCTGGCTCTGGAGCAACTGGACACAGTCGAGAAGGAGCTCAAGGACCGAGTCATGGGGAAGACAGAGTCCTGGGGACCCTCTGGGATGTCCTCCAGGCTTTTGTCCTTGAAGGGCTCTTGACTGGAGCCTGCTGGCCTGAGATGAGATGTGGTCACTCCAGAGCTAGCTGGGGAGGACAGAAGATAGGGCTGGGGCTGCACGCCAAACGCTGACTCTGCAGACCCTGAGGTGGGACTGGGCCCCAACACATGCAGGCAGAAGGTGTCTGTGGCCCTGGGAGTCTTGCTGTTGGAGGCAAATGTTACTAAGGATGCCCAGGACTCGTGCTAGCTTGGAGCCCATCAGTGTAGGAGTCCGTGGGCCCATGAGGACAGCCCTTCTCGGCTAGATCGCCTTGCCTGTCTATTCTCCATGGCCTGCTGCCTGCATAGGGTTACAGAGGAAAATGGAAAACGGCAGAATTCCAGGCCTTGGTGGAGGATCAGGTGCAGGGGAGCTTCTGCAAGTTTAATGACCTGGTGCTAATTGCTGCCTCCGAAGGCCAGCGCCCTGCCTTTCTGGTCACAGCCTGCTCCTGCTTCCTGCCCAGCAGCCCACTCAGAGGTCCTGGTGAACCCAGCGGTGGGTGGGGCAGCAAGTGGGTGCAGAGAGGGAGGACCACCAGGCTCTGGCTTGGAGCATGGAGACTCCTTGGTTGGGTGCTTAGCTGGTCCCTTGGTGTCCCAGCAGTGGGTGTGTGGGCTACAGGGAACCCCTGCATATAAGAGAGAGAACCAGCCGGAAAGATGAAGGGAACTGTCCCTTGACTCTTACCTGGTCCCTGTCTCCACAAGAGGTGCTTCTTTTCCCAACCCAAATCCAATCCACACTTCCCGAGTCAGAGGGCTTCTGTGTGGCCAGCCCTGGCAACTAAGGGCCCAATCTAGGTGGACTGGCCTCCCCCTTTAATTCTCACCAGCCTGCCGGGTGGATGCGGATACAGTGTCCGAGGTCAGCTACTCTGCGATCCAGCTCTGAGGTTCAGAAGTGGCCCTGCTCTTCTCCGAGTGGCAGCTACATCCGATGATGGAAGGACATCCAGGGGCCATGGGCAGCTTTCCCGCTCACATCTGCCGTCTCTCTACTTTCCAGCCTGTGCTATCTCCGGCCTCTTCAACTGCATAACTATCTACCCCCTGAACATCGCGGCTGGTGTGTGGATGATGTGAGTAGCCGGGTCTGAGCCTGTGGTTTTCTGGCTACAGCACAGGTCTCCTCCTTCCTGGACCCACCATGTACAGATCCCTGATGACAGGTCGGGGCAGGGAATGCCCCAAGACTCTGGAAGCTCTGGTCCTGGTGAAAGGCCTGGCTGAGGGTGGCCCAGGTGGAGTTGGGGTGCACTCTGGGGAGGACTGTGTGGCCTGTAGGTGGGTGCACAGTGTGGGGGATAGGTGGGACATCCTGAGTCTGTACCTGTTCCACACTTTCCTCCCAGCTTGGCACAGACATGCCTGCCAGTGCAAGGGTGCAGGGTTGGTAGCTGTTCCCTGTTCATCAGAGAGACAGATGTCCTCAGAGTCAGTGGCTGACAGGGACTGGGACACACGGCTTCTGAGTGCCTTTCTCTCCCACACGGGCATCCCATGCCTGTGTCTGCCCAGCCTGAGAGCCCCCGTGCTGCCGGGGGTGGCTCAGCCATCAGTGGCTGTGGGTGCTGACTGGTTAGTCTCTGCTCTCCTGGTGTTGTGGCCTTCACTGTGGTGGCGATATTGGCAACCATGGCTACAGCACTGACAGCTGGCAAGGGGGCCTGCCCCACATGTCACAGATAGGGTAAAGAGACCAGCGCCCTGGCTTTTCCCTCCCAGGGAGGGGCACAGGGAACAGGGCTGAGGTGCCCACCAGAGACTCAGGGCAGACCAGGGTGGGAAGGTGGCATTGCTGTGGTACTAGGCCAGCACTGCAGTGCCTCTCTCCCGCCCACCTCCTGCAGCATGAATGCCTTCATCCTGTTGCTGTGCGAGGCGCCCTTCTGCTGCCAGTTCATGGAGTTTGCAAATGTGGTGGCCGAGAGAGTGGACCAGCTGCGCTCCTGGCAGAAGGCCATCTTCTACTGCGGGTGAGGGGCTGCTGAGCGGGGCAGGTGGGAGCGGAGCGTTGGACTTGGTAGCTGTGGGTAGATGACAGCCGCTGAAGACACAGCCCTCCTGGGCATTTGGCCTGCAGCTACAGCCACCCATAATTCTGACAATGGGGGACAAGCATTGTGTGCAGGGACCGGAAGGGGTGAGCCTCGGCTGGGAGGTGCTGAAGGGACTCTTGTGGGATGCACTCCTGTGTCGCCTCGCAAAGCCAGGAGGCTGGCCTGGGTATCCTGATGGAGGTATCACCCAGGTTGAGAAACAGAAAACATCGCTGCTGTAAGTGGGCTTTGCTTTCATTTTCCTACCTGTGACAGGTTCATGTATAGTACTTCTGCTTGTAGTCAGGGCCCTGAACTACTTCAAGGACAAATTTTTTTTTTTTTTTTTTTTTTTTTTGGTACCAGGGATCAAACTCACAACCATGCGCCTGCAAGGCAGGTGCTTATGCCGCTGAGCTAATTTCCCTGGCCCTTCAAGGACAAATTCAAATCCACATTTTGCCAGGGCCCAAGCATAGCAGGCTGGCTGAGCAGCAATATTGTTACCTGGCTGTCTTTAGACAGATTCATGCCGGGGCTGGTGGAGCAAGTCTGTCCTCCCAGCACTCTGGGAGGCTGAGGCAGGAGGATTGCAAGTTGGAGCCTAGCCCAAGCAATGTAACAATTTACAAGACCCCATGTCAAAATAAAAAGTTAAAAGGGCTAGGATAGAGCTCAGTGTGAAGGCCTCGGGCTCAATCCCCAGTACCAGGGGTTAAAAAACAAACAAACAAACAAACAAACAGATTTGGATAGATGCCTAGGCTCGCCAGAGGCCTGCTGCAGGGCCTGAGTCTGCAGCAGCTGCCTGTGTCTGAACCCTAAGAATTCTGGATTAGGGGCACTCATGGTGGGCCTTGGGGTACCTTATCAACAACTTTTTTTGCATCTGCTTTGTTTCATTTAATGGAATGATAAGAACATTGCATGTCACCCCCAAAGGCTTTATGGCATTATTTTTAAAAAGTTATTTATTTTTTTTGAGACAGAGTCTCACTATGTAGCCTAGGCTGGCCTCAAACTCTTGGTGATCCTCCTGCCTCAGCCTCCCACGTGCTGGAATTACAGGTGTGTGCCACACACCTGGCTGACATTAACGATAGGAATATTTATTATTTTTGTAATTTGTTAACTGGTATAAACCCAGCAGTGATCAACATTTCTCTGGTAAAATTTGTATGTTTTTGATTTCCTCAGGATGTATTTCTGGATGTAGATTTAGCAGGTCAAAGAGGATGATCATTTAAAAATTTTAATAGACGTGTTCAGGTGCTTCCCAAAGAGGTCTTCTCCTTTTTTTCTGTACCAGGGATTGAACTCATGACCCTGTGCTTAGCAGACGGGCACTTATGCCGCTGAGCTAAATCCCTGGCCCCTAGAGAGGTCTTCTGAGCATTCCTTGTTGCCCTGTGCCCGGTACCATTTTTACATTTCTATTTGTTTTGAGAGCGGCACAGTATTTTCCCTTGAGCCCTAATTGCACTTCCTACTTGAATGTTTTCCGGTTTGCTTGTCAATCGATCAGTGCCCCAGTGTTTGCTTAGCAGCAGGCCATGTGTGGTTTCCATATTAAATTTCAGACCCCTTTGTTCTGTTTCCTGCTCATACTTTTCTAGCCTGTGATTTGCCTTCATTTTGCCTGGACTATGGTTTCTTCCTGCTGTGGTGCTTGCCTGTCCCTGTGATTTTCATTATTCTTCTATTAATTTTTATACCATCATAAAGTAAAACAATAAAAACAACAATTTCAAGTCCCCTCTTAAGTTGAGGAGGGAACTTTGATGTGGTTTAGTGCCTGAGGCCTCCTGCATGGATCCCTGAGACAGACAGACGGGACGGCAGGTGAGCTTGGTGGCACAGACCCCGTCCGTCCGACCACCCAGGAACCTGGCTGGGAAGCTGCAGGCCCTGGGGGTGGGGGGCAGGTGCCAAGTCAGGAATGGGCTGTAGGGCTTTTAAGCCAAGTGGGCCCCCCAACCAGGTGGCACCTCTGCGGCCTGGAGCCTGAGTTCCCTGGGATTGGCGTGGGGCCCCCATTTGCTGAGTGGTGACTGGTTTTCCTGTCCTAGCATGAAGCATTTGTTTGGTGCTTGTGGGCTGGGGCCATGGTAAGACATACGCACCTCGCCTCGCTCAGTCTCACCCCGCAATGAGGTGTTACCCCACTTCACTTGGAGAAGCCCAGGGCTCGTGAGCCAGAACACATCCCAGATCCTGGGTGTCTGTGTCCTGAACAGGGACGGTGGGACCACTTGTTACCGCTGAGGGGCTCACGAGTCACAGACCTGTCAAAACTGCAGCAAGCTTTGGGGTCCCCTTCTGGGCATTCTAGGACCTTGCAAAGCCCGGCTCTGAACCTGGCTTGTTGATCTCTAGGGGTTCTCTCTGCCACCCAGTAGTCTGGGGAGGAGCCAGGTGAATCTGGGCAGCCCAGGAGCACTTTGGGGCGGGAGGGTGCCAGTGACCTCTGTCTCCTTCCAGGATGGCCGTCGTCCCCATCATCATGAGCCTGACGATGGCCACGTTGCTGGGCAATGCGATCGCCTTTGCCACCGGGGTGCTGTATGGACTCTCTGCTCTGGGCAAAAAGTGCGTCTGTGGCCCTACAGGGTGGGGGCTGCGGGTCTCCTGGCTGTGGTGAGGACATGCTGACAGTGGCCCCTCTGATCCCTGTGTGGGCATGGAGACCCAGGCAGGGCCGGGATTGGTCATTGTTCAAGGGATGGAGGTGGCAGAAGTCAGGGGACCCTCTGAGTGACCCCATCTTACAACCTGGATGTGCCCTGGGCCTCTTGCCAGTCTTCTGTTCCCGCAGAGCCTGGGCTGGAGATGAAGCCACAGAGCCCAGCATCTGGGCAGCTGGTGCCACTCTCAGAGGTGCCCAGACCTGGTGTCCCTAGCAGTGACTACCGTCCAGGGAACCAGAAGTCCCAGGAGTCTCTGTCCACAGAGCCTGCCTGGGCTGTAGCCTGGGAATTGGGAGGCACCAGGCTGGACTCTAGGGCACCCTCCTTTCTCTCCCCAGGGGAGATGCCATCTCCTACGCCCGGATCCAGCAGCAGAAGCAGCAGGCAGATGAGAAGCTGGCAGAGACCGTGGAGGGGGACCTGTGACATGGGTCACCACCCTCCCTCCCTGCCCGCCACGTGGCTCTGGGGAAGCTTGTCCAGAGGAGGCAGAGCCATGACCTGGGAGATGAGGTCCCATGCGTGTCCCTGTCTCAGGTCCTCTGCCTGCCCTGTTTCCCAGACCGGCCGGACCTGTGTCCTGACCCTGCTGGTGCTGAGGGCCCCAGCATACACAGATGGCCCCAGTGCAGTGCTGCTGGCTGGCTCAGCAAATGGCTTGGGAGCAGCTTGTTCAGGACACTTGGGGTCTCCCTGCCCCAGCCTTTGGGCCTGAGCATGGAGCAGAGGGAGCATCCCAGCTCCCCTGGCAGGTGGGGTCCCAGGCCTGCCCTGTTCGCCTGTCCTCAAGGCAGGGAGTGGAGCAGTGTCCTAAGTCCCCACTACTGGGGAGCTGGTTGGTCCTCTAGGGGCCCCCGTGCACACCTGCCTGGGTTTGCATGCCGGAGAGCACCCCCTAACCAGTGCCCTGGCAGGTTGGACACCCAGCTGCCCCACCTCCTACAGGCCTCATCCTCAGGCACCGCCCTGCTCTGCCTTGGGCTTAGTGCTAAAGAAGTGGAGTGAGACACCCATGGGAGCTGGGGGTACCTCCCATGGGGTCCTGCCCTGTGTTGGCTGCTGTCCACCAGCAGGGCTGAGGTGGCCACTTCAGGTTTGCCTGCTTCCTGACATGGAGGGCCATTTCCTACAGGGGTCAGGTGCAGGGCCCCAGAGGCAACAGGTGTCCAGGAAGTGTTCCCTCCTGGATGTGCCCTGTTGCATCCTGTACTTCCTGCACTTGGCCGTCTCTCTCCAGCCCTGTAACTTGGCCTCAGTGACTGGTTAGATTGGCCCTAGGTGGTTGAGCACAGGCCTGTGCCACTGTGACATGCTCCCTGTGAGGCTGGCCCCGTCCCCCTAACCTCCAAACAAGGCCTGTTCTGAGCTCCAGAGCTCATGGACCAGGTCGTGCTCCCTGGAAACCTGCTCGGGGTCTGTTTCCTGGGGAACACAGGCCTGTCAGCATGGCCAATTGTGTATGTATGTGCGCGCATGCGCATGTGTGATGTCATCCTGCTTCCAGGAGGAGCAAGGACCCTGCCTGCCCCTGCTGCCCACTTGTCCAGGTGCAGGACTCTGGGGTCACTTCTGTCCATAACTCTCTGGCTGCAGCTGCAGAAAGAGGGGCTGGGCTCCTGCCCCCAGGGGACACTTGGTGGGGCTGATCCTTCACCGCACTGCTGAGTGGCTCTCACAGGGCTGTCACCCATGCTGGCTGGCCAGCAGCTGCGTCTGGGCACTGACTTCCCATACCTCCCTTAGGCAGCTAGGTATATGTCTGAGCAGTAAATTGAGGCTGTCATTTGGCTGCTATCTTCTGTGTCATTTGGCTGTCACTCTATCTTCTGTGTCCCCAAGAGTGGCAGGGACACCCCAGCCCATGCTGCGGGGCAGAGCTCAGTGGCTAGCTCTGAGCCTGCTCACTGGATGGTGACTCTCTGAAGGTCACAGCCAGAAGGAGCAGGGCTGACCCCTTCTCCATGCCCAGTCCAGAGGGCCATAGAGGCCTGTGGGCAGCGGGCCCCGCTGACCTTGGCTGGCTGTTGGGGAGGGGTTCCTCCAGAGTAGACCCACTCCTTCCTCCCTAGGGATGCAGGTCCAATTTCTTTATTTTGATAAATACCATCAGCAGTTTGCAGACAGGAGCCCCTGTCCCCCGAGATTGGGCTGGAGCCAGAGTGACCTCATGGGTTGCTGTGCCCTGGCCTCTGAAGTATGTAGTGTTCCTAGTGATGTCCAAGAGGCCCGATAGTGGCTAAGTGACCAGGCCAGGACAACGGGACTGTGGGGCCATTTTGCCATCTCTGGCCCTGTTCTCAGTGTTTGACATGGTACCTTGTACATGAGCCAAGCAGGCCAGAGGTCACCCAGCAGGGCCCTGTCCCTGGGTACCTGTGTGCCCTCCTGTGGCCAACACAGCCTCCTCCCTGGTGAGTCTCGGCCTGTGTGTACAGCACCATGGTAACAGTCTGCTGCCAGCTCCTGGTCACAGGTGCAGTGTGCATGTGTCCTGGGCGCCTCCACCTAGCGCAGGAAGGACCTCCTCCCTGTGCGGAAGTAGGACTCGATCTGCTCCAGCGTGCGGCCCTTGGTCTCTGGCACACAGCAGCCCGTGAACACCAGGCTCAGCAGGCAGATGGCCGCGAAGAAGAAGAAAGGCACCTGCAGGCCGAAGGCGTTCTGGGGGTGTAGAGTGGGGAGCAGGGTCACATGCAGAAACTCGCCCATCCCCTGGGGCTCAGCTGGTACTGGCCTGCAGCTTGCCCTGTCCTGCTCTGAGACCTCTCCCTGCCTGCTGCTTCCAGTTGGCTCCTGGGCTTCCCCCAGGGCTGGCCACCAGGATCCCTGACCACCTGTAGGCCATGCTTTGCCCAGCTGCCGCAAACACAGCCTCAGTGTGTGCCTGCCCAGCCCAGCCCACCAAGGTACACAGGTGAGGCCTGGCCTGTGCTGCCCCAGATTAGGCCTCCTGGGCTGTGGAGGTGGTGTCCAGACTCTGCTGTGCTCAGGCTGCTGGAGGTGGGGGCCAGGGCCCTCCGCAGAGCCCAGGGTTTTCCTGGGCTGGGAGGTGGCCCTGTTTCTTACAACTGAGGAGTCTTAGCTGTTGCTGTTGCTTGATTGCCCTTGGCCTCTGTGTAAGGGGCACATGCTAGACCCCCAGGGCCACCATGAGAGGGATATCACTTATCAATGAAGGATCCTGGCACCAAGCAGGGGCCCTGGCAGGCAAGATGGGGCCTCAGGATCCCCAGGATGAGCATGCACTTACCACCACGAGCAGGAAGGACTTGGTGAGGGCGAAGGCCGTGAGCCAGCTGACCAGCACACAGAGCCCTGAGGCCACCCCACGGGCACGCAGGGGCAGGATCTCAGACATGAGGAGCCAGGTGATGGGCCCCCAGCCCATAGCGTAGCCTGCAGTGCCATGGGGGACACACACACCTTGTCTGCCTCAGCACGCTACAGATAAGAGGCCCAGCCCTCCCCGAAGATGGACAGGACAGCCCCTTGGGTGCCCAGCTGCCTACCCATGATGAAGAACATTGTGGCCAGCAGAGGCACCAGGGTGAGGTAGCTGGTGGGTGTGGCCGGGGGCTGCTCCGTGCCCCCCAAGGGCATGCTCTCCAGGCCCACAGTGTGGTTGGGGGCTGGAGTCTTCGGTCCAAGGTCCACATACAAGCCCAGTGTCAGGTTGGCAGCAAACATGATGGTTGCTGTGGACACACAGTGACCCTTGGGGTCAAGACCCTTGGGCCCATGCTGCCTGGAAGCCCCTGGGCCTTGGCTGGCCCATGATGAGGTGGGGACTCCATGTGGGGCAGCAGGCTCAGGTTCTAACTAGGCTCAGGGCCCTGTCACCCTGTGGTGCCACAGCCAGCTCCGTAATCCCGCAAGCACCACCTTGCTGGAGCTGCTGGCCCATGACCAGCCTGAGCTAGGGTGACTGCACCCTGCTCAAGCCCACACGACAGCTGCTGTCAAGGGAGGACAAGGGTCATAGCAGGGTGCTCACCTGACACGAAGAGCAGAACCTTGCGGCCAGCCAGGTCCATAGTGAGGGCGGCGATCAGCACGGACAGGAGCCTCACAGCCCCCACGATGGCCGCGTCGTCCTCAGGTGGCTGTGGGGAGGGGGCTTCTGTGGCTGGCAGACCCAGCCTGTGGCCCCTGTCCCTGCTTCCACACCTGCCCTGCCCTCTAAGCACTGCGGGGCACTCTGATCTGAAATCAGGGCTGCAGGTTCTCGGAGGACCTGTATGCCCATCTGCTATTGCCACCCTGAGCCCCACGGGCACAGAACTGGATGCGGTTCCCAACTTCCTGTCTCAGCTCACACTGGACCAGAGGACGAGGCAGGCTGAGCTGTCTCCACTATCAGAAGAGGTAGCTGGGTCCCAGGGAGCTGCTGCCTCAAAGGGTGTGACCCCAGGGCTCTGAGTTGGGGGCTGTGGTCCCCAAGGTCCACATTCCTATTAAATTGGTTCCTATTTAATTGTTTTGTTGCGGTTTATTCTAGAGTCAAGCGTGATCCCCGGAGCTCTCACACACTCGTTGGGATCCGAGTGCCCAGGGTGGGCACCAAGGCCTGGGCTCAGTGCGTGAGCCCCAGGGGCCCAGGTGGGCTCTCACCAGCAGCACAGCTGTGCTGTCGAAGATGGGCTGCAGGTAGACCAGGATGGGCGTGATGCCCGTCAGCTGCTGTAGGAAGCGCATCAGCAGAGCGATGAGGATGGGCCGGTGCATGTGGGGCTCCCGGATCTCAGCCCAAGACACGCGGCTGCTCTGGAACACAAGGCCGCCACTGAGGGGGATCTGCTGGCCTATTCTGCCCCGTGCCCCAGGCCGGCCGGAGGGGTAACCCTGCTCCGTTCTGCTCTTACCCCAGGGAAAACAACCACTCTCAGAGAGGCAAGCCCGGCCCAGCCGCACCTGTCGCTGGACGTTGTTCTGGATCTGCTCAAACTCCCAGCGCACGTCCTGGGTGTCGGTGGTGTGGCGCAGCCAGGTCAGTGCCCTCAGAGCCTCCTCCTCCCGCCCCCGGGAGAGCAGGAAGCGGGGGGAGTTGGGCATGAAGCTGAGCAGCAGGACCATGACGAACACAGGCCCCTCCCCGGCCACTGCCAGCCAGCGCCAGGGCAGGAGGAGGCCTATAGGAGAGGAGTGTGAGCTTCTGGTCCAGCCCAGGGCTGCCTCCTACAGGGCCTTTCCTCATGGCCTCAGCCTCTGTGTGCGGGCAGGTAGGGCTTCAGGGGTCGCCTGGCCCTTGGCACGTGGCTGGAGGGCCTGGGAGGAGGAGGAGGAGGAGGCCAGGCAAACCCTGGGCCCACCCCAAACAGCTACCCTGCTATCTTTCCATTTTTTTTTTTTTTTTTGTACCAGGAATTGAACTCAGGACCTAGCACTTGCCAGGCAGGTACTTGTGCTACTGAGCTATATTCCCAGGCCTTGCCATCTTTCCTATATGGACTCGCTGGGTCTTCTGGAAGGCTGCCTGAGATCTCTGGGCCAGGAGATGCCCTCACTGTCCAGCTAATAAGTGGACCTGGTGACCAGAGAGGGGCAGGGATTGGCTATAAGAAAGGTAGTGGCAGTGGCTTGGGGACCTGGAAAGGTCTGCTGCTCCTGGCTCTGGGCTCCCTATGGAGGTGTGTTCATTCCCTTTCCACCCATCTGCCTCAGGGGCACGCCGGCACCTTGGGCCCGCCCATGGCATGCAGAGAATACTTGCCTAGAGCATAGAGGGACAGGGACCCGAACACTGCCATGAGCTGCGGCGTGGCTCCCAGGGCCCCCCGAACACCGGGGGGAGCGATCTCGGACACGTACACCTGCAAGACACACACCCTGCTGTGCCCTCGGGGCAGTGCTGAATGCAGGTTCCTGGGCCCAGCTGGCCAGGAGAGCCATTGCTGGGAAGCCATGGGCATCTGTGGGGTCTTATCCTCACTAGATCACAGCTCGATGCATGCTCTCTGGCTTTAGGTTCCTCACTGCAAAGTGGACGGGAGCATGGGGGTTTAAAGTGGGAGTGCAGAGGCTCGGGGCAGAGGAGGGGGCTGGGCAGGTGTTTCTGTCCCCACCCACCCTTTGTTGTGCCTCTGGCTCTTGGGCCGCTGGCTGCTGTGTGTGAGGTCCCACGGGGTATGGGAAGGGCACTTCCCCTTCCTTCCGGTTGCTCATGGTGTTTTCTGAGATTGAGCAATGTCTATGTGGCCAAGAAACTGGGTAGGAAATTTGCAGAGCCCGAGCTGGGGATGGCTAGGGACATGAGGACAGTTTCCCCAGGGTCAGTTTCCCTTGCGGGGGGACAAGCAAGATGTCTTGGGCAGCCACGGGCACAGCGGAGCAGAGCTGCAGGGCCGGGTCTTCACCCAGAAGTGGCCTGGCATCGATTCCAAAGTTACACGGGAGCCCCCTGCTTACCGGGATGCAGGCGGCTGTGAGCCCCCCAGCGAAGCCTGTCAACGTTCTCCCCAGCAGCAGCATCCAGAGGCCGTGGGCGCCTGCCATGAGTGCATAGCCGATGGCGGAGGGCACGGCTGAGAACATGATGCTCAACTTCCGGCCCAGCAGATCGTTGAGCAGCATGGCACTGAGGCCTCCGGCTGCAGCACCCAGGGTGAAGACGGACTGTGGAGGAAAGGGTGCTGACTATGAGCATCCCACTTCCCATCACAGCTTGCTTCTTAGCTGATCCCAGAAGCCTCAGTGGTCAGCAAGGTAGTGATCCTCTGGGCTCTGAGGTATACAAGCAGCGGTTTGGTTCTGCCCAGCAGATGTTTAAGCATCTGATATTCTAATACAGGAGAATCATTGGACTGGAAGGCCTTGATACGGAGGCCTTGGATTTCTTGGAGGATCTCAACTCTGCTACTCCATAGCAGCAGGTCTAGGGCACATTGCTTATCCTGTCTGAGCTTCAGTTTGTCCCCAAATCAAGAGGTCTCCCTGCTCTTGGTGACCCCAGGCTCAGTGAACCCTGCAGCTTTTCAACTCAGCTACCAATTTGTAATTCCATGTCCAAGGCTCTTGAGACCCTAAATGCCCCAGTCCGCCCTTCCCCTGCAGCATCCCTCCCACTGGCACCTGAGGCCCCTGCCCCGTCTGTCCAGGGTGTTGCTCTGCTGTGGGTCTGGGGTATGGTAACCCTTGGGGTTCCACCATCCACCTGCTTCTTCCTAGTGCTCCCCTCTGGCTTTCACTTCCTCCATCCACCGAAATCGGCTGGCTTCACCCTGCCAGCCAGCTGCCAGGAGTAGGGAGGTGGTGGGCAGGGCCCTGGAGGGGTCCCCAGCTGAGCTCCCCACCACATTCCTCCCAGAGAACTGGCCTTACCCCGAACCAGGATGCCTGGGTTTTGCTCAGACGCAGATCTGGGTCGGAGGAATGCTCCAGGGCAGGGATGACGGGGGACGTGTAGACTAGGGCGTAGCCGAAGCTGAAATTGCCCAGCACAGCGGCGAAGGTGGCCAGGAACACCTTTTTGCTCTGCAGGGCCCTGGTGGGAAGAGGAAGTGGGGACAGAAGGACCAGGGGGTCTTAGGACCTCCTCGATGGACCCGGTCCTTCCTGAGCCTGGGCCGCCCAGGCTGGCTACCCAGCAGCTCCTCCCTGGAGCCCCAGGGTACCGCCTGCTGCGCTACTGCAGGCTTGCAGGGTGACCTCAGGCTAGCTGCTACCGCTTAGGGCCCGGACAGCCAGGGCCGGGCGTGGCACTCCCCGAGGCCGTCCCTCGCCCAGGGGACACCGTGCATGCATGCGGCAGGAGGGGCTAGCGGTCCCGGGGTCACTCGCAGGAGTCCAAGGAGGCCCAGGGTGCAGGCCAGCAGTCTCCTCCGGAGGAGACCTGGCCGCCGCAGTCCCGCCCATGCTCCCAACCGGCGTGCTCACCCGGGCCGCGTCCGAGGTCCCGGCGCCGGCGGCCCTTCGGGGAAGGTGTCATAGTCGCGGCCCTCAGCGCCCAGCAGCGGCTCTTGCATCTCCTGGCATCTGAGGGGCGCCGGCCCAGCCGCAGCGCTCCTCTGAGACTGCCAGGCTCCGCCCCCACCTGCGATTGGCTGCGGGGCGGCCCTGCGGCGCCGCACCGACCAATGGGGGCGCCGTATGCGGCGGGGATGCTGGATGTGGTCCGGGCCTCCGGCGTACAAGCTGCGGGGAGTGCTGCGGTCTAGCTCGCTCTGGCCTCCAGGGTGTGGCCGGCCGGCGCCCCCGGGGTCCTGCTCCGCGAGGGATGAGCCGAGCCAGAGAGGCGAAGCGACTGGAGAGGGCCATCCAGCGAACACTTGCCCACTTGTGTCCGCCCACTCGCTGCTCCCACCTGGGCATCCCATCTGCGCATCTCACCTGCCCGGTGACCCCTCCGGCGCGGTGACCAGCTGCCAACCCTGAGTGTTCAGGGTAGTGAGCGTACAGGGGCCATGGCGGGGCAGCGGCGCCAGAGCTGAGGCCCTGGGACCGCATTTGTCTTCCCTGACCCGGGCCATGGAATTTTCTGTTTGCAGAAATAACTTTCGCTTTTGCAAATCATTCAAGCAGTTAATTTAACACTAAGAAAAACCAAAACCAAAACTTCCCTGGAAGCCCTGCCTGATGCCTCTGAGCACAGTCACTGTGCCCTGTGGCCCTGTGACTGTAGCCCGAGGACAAGTCACTTCCTCTTCTGAATCCTAAAACTAATCTTTTGTTGCTGAGCATTTGGGTTATTTCCAAATGCTAGTAATTAAAATAGTAAGGCATTAAAGAAGGTTTCAGTTCCCCTTTATTACAATAGAAGCATGATGTAGTGGGGCCGCAGAGAAAGTACACCACCGAGAGACAGGACGTCACCCTGCAGCCCAGCCCTCCAACTCTTCCCCAAGCACCGGGTGCCCAACATGTGCTCTCCATTTCTCTCACCATTAAGCAGACTTCACAGCTCAATGAGTCGGCCTCTGCGTGTGCCTGTTGTCACCACCCAGGTTAAGAAGCAGAAGCTCTGCTACTCCTGGAAAGTCCTAGACTTCCCCTTCTACCCATTTGCTTTCTCCAAGTCTCCCCATTCTGGTGTTTGTATTGCAGCTTAGAGTTCCTGCTCTTGCATCTCATCCAAATGGGATCCTCCTCTTGTTTTTGGCTCCCTATTTATTTATTTATTTATTTGAGTCAGAGTCTCACTAGATAGTCCAGACTGGCCTTGAACTCAGGAGTTCTTCCTGCCTCAGCCTCCTGAGTACTGAGACTACAGGGGTGTGTTGGTTACTTTTTCTCATTGCTAACACAAAATACTTGATACTTAAAATTAGGGAAGGAAAGGTTTATTTAGTTCATAGTTTGTGGAGGTTTCAGTCCATAATCAGCTGGGTCCAAGGCAGGGTGGCTCATGGCAGCAGAAGACAACAAAAGCAAGAGAGCAAAAAGGGAGGAGCTGGAGAGGAGACTTCCTGTCCCTTACAGTGTATGCAGGACATACTGGCCCTAGGGAGGGTGCAGTGCTCACACCCAGAATCCTGGCACTGAACCATGAATCAATCACAAATTCTAGAAACCTGCCCCTATGAGGCTTTGGGAGACATCCAGACACACACTGTAACAGGGGGTGCCCCACCATGCCTGGCCTCTGTCTGTTTTTTTTTTTTTTTTTGTCCGTTTCTTTTTTATCGGTACTGGGGATCGAACTCACAACTGCCTGCTTGCAAGGCTTATGCCGCTGAGCTAAATTCCCAGCTCCACCTCTGTCTCTTTTTAAAACTTACTTTATTAAGGTGTGATGTTTGGGCAGCACAAACCACTTCAAGAGTTGATGAGTTTGACGACCATGGAATCCGGAACAACTCCTGGGTCCTGAGGTAGAAGGTTTCTGTCTCCCTGGACGTTTCCCTGGCCTCCAGTCCCTGCCCAGCCCAGTCCCTGCCCAGGAAGTCATGCTGTGCCTTCTGAGACCGTAGATAAGATGGCTCTGCACTGGCGTGGCTGTGTGGTTTGGGGGGCGTGGAACTTCCCCGAAGTGGCTTTCAGGTTGGCCTCTTTTTCTCTCTGAGAAGGGTCACGCGTACAGCCTGTGCACTTCCCTGTCCCTTCTGCGGGGTGGTCAAGAGCCTCTGGTCTGGGCTAGAAGGTGGACGCCGATGCTGGTGGCTTTGGCAGCCCTGCCCAGCTCTGTCCACAAGGACCCTTGTTTGCCACGGAATCTGCTGCCATGGGCGCGAAGGTGGTGTCAGATGTTTTTAAGTTAGTGATGTGATGATTTTCTCCTGTAGGATCGTCTATGGTCCCGGCGGCCTGTGCCACTCCGTGCTGCCAGATGGCTACTTTCCTCTGCCTGGCTCTGTGCTGGGCCCTGCCCAGCTTCTGGGGCAATGGGGCACAGTGGGGCACGGTGCTGGCTCAGAGTCCTGGAAGCCCCTGCTCCCTTGAAGAGCCTGTGTGCTTCCTGCGCTCAGGTCAGGCCCCTGGGCAGGAGGGCTGCTCAGGGACCGGCCTGGCTGTGTCAGTGGCCTTCTGGCCCTGACACACCCATAGGAGGGTGGGGACCCAGCCTTGGCCAGGTCCCTCCCTTCCTGCAGCACAGCCCCAGCCCTTCTGAATCCAGCTGGGGAGGGGCTTTTGCAGAAGAAAGGTCCAAGTGGGGGTCTGGTGGGGCTGCCCCTGCCAGTGCCCTTCCTGGGGGTTTCGGGGTGTGGAAGGTGAGTTCCCCGCAGGGCTTCAGGTGGACGTGAAGAGCCAAAGAACCACCAGGAGGAATGGAGCTGGGGTTGGGCCCAAGAGGCACACATCCCATGGAGGCTGGACCAAGCCCCCTGCCTCTTGGGTGTCTGCCCCTCTCCAGTGCCGTGACCCTCTCAAACCCTGTGGGCATCCAGCAGAGGGGGCCAAGGTTCTCCCTGCCCCTGTGGACCTCCAACCTCCTGTTTGAGTCCTCTCTTCTAATCGAGGTGGATGTGATGGGGCAGGGCCCCCGTGCCACAGCCACATGGGTGAGTGCTGCAGGTGTGGCCAGCTGTGGGCAGAGGAGGCTGGGCTGGTGTGACTCTTGGCTACAGCCATTCAGGCAGAGGACAGCTGGCACCGAGAGATTAGCTTCTTCCTAGGCTTGACAAAGGTCGCTGTAGACCAGTTTAACAGCTTCCTGGTGGCCCAGTCAACTGGCTGGGCTGCATTCTGGGACCAGCACAAGGTCCAAGGTCTCCCAAGGGGCTGCCCGTTTCTGATTTTCTAGGACCAGAGCCCCAGGGCAAGGTAAGGGTAGGGGCAGGCAGGAGAGGCAGGTGGGTAGTGGGTGGGGCCTTCTTCTTCTCCGAGATTCAGAGGACAGAGCTGAGGCCAGTGCTGTCCAGGGTCACGGGAAGGGCTCCTCATGTCCTTGCCCATGCCCATGCCCCTGAGGGAGTGGGACAAGAGGGCAGACAGGGAGGCAGTGGGGGCACTGTGCCTCTCTCCTTCCCACAGATGGGCCGCCCGGGGCCCCAAGGAGAGAAGATCTCTGACACCCAGCTTTCTGGGGTCCCCAATGCCCTCGGTGATGCCCATGGTGATGCCATCCCTGGCTCGGAGGACTCGGACCTGGTGCCCTCAGTGACCCTGGCTGTGGCCCTCACCATGCTGTTCTTCCTACTGCTGGCCTGGTTCGTGTGGGGCCAGGATCGCCAAACCTCCCGCTGACCTGGAGTGGCCCCCTACCAGCTGCCTCAGGATCTGGTTCTAGGACAGCCCAGAGTGACACTGGGGAGTCAGCCAGCGACATTTAACAGTGAGGATAAAGGTCAGAGCTCCCTGCAGGCTGGGGAAGGCATCCCCAGTGGACACCATAGATGTGAAGCTCAGTGGCTTTTTATAGATTTTGGGACAGGTGAACAGGCCAGGTGCAGGGCCACTGGAGGTTGCGGTGTCCGGGCCCCAGTTCTTCATTTGCATTGGACTTTTTCCAGGGCTTCTCCCATTTGTTTAGGGAACTGTTCTTTGTCCCCTGTGTCCCATTAGGCCCTGATATTGGTTTTGCTAAGTCAGGGTCAGCAGCACCTCAGTTCTGAGACACTTCTGCTGGCAAACAGTGCGGCTCACGAGCAAAAGCGTCTGGTGAAATTTTGCTTCTTTTTTTGCAAATTCCACACCAGGTGACAGCGTGAGCCCGGCCAGCCCCACTTCCCCCATGCACCCATCTTCCCCAAAACTGTACAATGAGTGAAGTAAACCGGGCACCACTGCACTTGGCCTGTCTGTCCACACGCTGAGCCCTGACCTCCAGCTTACTGCAGGTCAGCTGTCCAGGCCTGACCCCTCTATCTTCCAGCTCCACAGCAGCTCCAAGGTGGGCATTGTCAAGGGCTGAAGCCCTTAGCCCCTCCCCCGGTTTTGGGTGGACACCTGTCAGCGTTGTCCAGGAGCCTGGCTTCCCAGTGGCCTCACACACCTGTCGACTGAGGCTCCCACGGTCCAGGCCTGGCCACTTGCTCCCCAGGCTGCTCCCGGCCCTGCCTGGGTCCCATCTTCCAGGTTGATTCTGGCTGTCGCAGAGGAAGCCAAGCTGGCCACCGGCCAGTGATTCAGCGGGCGGGGAGCTGCCAGACAAGTGCAACCAGGCACCATGAAGTGGCCATGCCGGCTCTGGGAACCTTGGGCACTCCTGCCCCAGTAGGAGGGTCTTTGGGGTTGTCTCAGCACTCACTGCCCCTTGTGCCTGCCTCTTCTGCTCCAGGGCCCCAAAATCTCTGCAGGGAGGAGACTGAGGGGGACCCGGGGAGGATGCGCTGGCTTTTGCCACCACCTTGTGGCTTAAAGCAGAATTGCACCTTCTGCCTGGTGGTCCCCAGGATGGCGCCTCAGTCAGGCTGGGACAGCTTGGAGGTGAAAGATTTTTTTGTGTTAATGTGAATGTGGCGGGAAAATGAGACGGAGGCTAAGCACAAGACTTGTTACCAGAGAGAACTGCTCTTGGCATTTCTGCATGTCTCCCCCACTTCTGCATCTGTAATGTGACCAGCGTCACCAACACAAGCCATCTTGCTCCAGGGTCACAGGGAACCATCGCAGCTACCATCCAGGCCTCTGGTGCTTCTGCCCCTCCACACTCCCTTCCCAAGCAGAGAGCCTGTGGCTGGGACCTGGAGGTTGCAAGATCGCCTCTCATGGAAGGAGCTCTGGGGCGTAACTCCAGCGCTCAGGAGGCTGGAGTAAATTCAAGAGCAGCCTGGGCTATGAAGTGAGCTGAAGGCTGGCCTGTACTGCACGGAGAGATCCTGTCTAGAAAGGAAAAAAAAAAAAAAAGCACTCAGGCAAGGTGCCTCAGCCTGAGGTAATCTGAGGTAAGCCAGTCTGGGGTAATCTCAGGTAATCCAGCCTGAGGTAATCTGAGGTAATTTTGTCTGGGGTAATCTGCAGTAACTCAGTCTGGAGTAATCTGAGGTAACCCAGTTGGGTAATCTGAGTTAATCCAGCCTGAGGTAGTCTGAGGTAATTTTGTCTGGGGTAATCTGCAGTAACTCAGTCTGGAGTAATCTGAGGTAATCCATTTTGAGGTAATCTGAGGTAACCCAGTTGGGTAATCTGAGGTAATCCTGCCTGAGGTAATCAGAGGTAACCAGTCTGTGGTAATCTGAAGTAATCCAGCTGGAGGTAATTTGAGGTAATCTAGTCTGGGGTAATCTGTGGTAATCCAGCCTGGGGTAATGTGAGGTAGCCCAGCCTGGGGTAATGTGAGGTAACTCAGTCTGGAGTAATCTGAAGTAACCTAGCCTGAGTTAATCTGAGGTAATCTAGTCTGGGGTAATCTGAGGTCACTCAGTCTGGATTGAGGTCACTCAGTCTGGGGTAATCTGAGGTAATCCAGTTTGAGGTAATCTGAGTTAATACAGCCTGGAGTAATCTGAGGTAATCCAGACTGAGGTAACCCAGTCCCGGGGTAATCTTAGGTAACCCAGTCTGGATTAATGTGAGGTAGCTCAGTCTGGAGCAATCTAAGGTAACCCAGTTTGGCTTAATGTGAGTAACTCAGCCTGAGTTAATCTGATGTTATCCAGTCTGGGGAAATCTGAGGTAATCTAGCCTGGGGCAATCTAAGGTATCCCAGTTTGGGATTATCTGAGGTAATCCAATCTGGTGTAATCTGAGGTAATCCAGTCTGGAGTAATCTGAGGTAATCCAGTCTGGAGTAATCTGAGGTAATCCAGTCTGGAGTAATCTGAGGTAATCCAGCCTGGAGTAATCTGAGGTATTGCAGTCTGGAGTAATCTGAGGTAACCCAGTCTGGGGTAATCTGAGGTAATCCAATTTGGAGCAATCTAAGGTACCCCAGTCTGGAGTAATCTGAGGTAAACCAGCCTAAATTAACCTGAGGTAATCCAGCCTGGAGTAATCTGAGGTAACCCAGTCTTGGGTAATCTGAGGTAATCCAGTCTGGGGTAATCTGAGGTGACCCAGTCTGGCTTAATGTGATGTAATCCAGTCTGGAATAATATGAGGTAACCCAGCCTGAGTTAATCTGAGGTTATCTAGCTTGGGGTAATCTTAGGTAACCCAGTCTGGGCTAATCTGAAGTAATCCAATCTGGAGTAATTTGAGGTAATCCATCCTAAGGTAATCTGAGGTAATCCAGTCTGGGATAATCTGAGGTCACCCAGCCTGAGTTAATCTGAAGTAACCCAGTATGGGGGTAATCTGAGGTAACCCAGCCTGAGTTAATCTGAGGCAATCCAGTCTGGGGTAATCTGAGGTAATCCAGCCTGAGGTAATCTGAAGTAACCCAGTGTGGAGTAATCTAAAGTAATCCAGCCTGAGGTACTCTGAGGTATCCCAGTCTGGAGTAATCTGAGGTAATCCAGCCTGAGGTAATCTGAAGTAACCCAGTGTGGAGTAATTTGAGGTAATCCAGGTTGAGTTCATCTGAGTCAATCCAGTCTTGGGTAATCTGTGGTAATCTGAAGTAGTCCAATCTAGCATAATCTGAGGTAACCCAGCCTGAGTTAACTGAGGTTATCCAGTCTGGGGTAATCTGAGGTAACCCAGTCTGGAGTAATCTGAGGTAATCCATCTTGAGGTAATCTGAGGTAACCCAGTCTGGGGTAATCTGAGGTAATCTAGCTTTAGGTAATCTGAGGTAATCCAGATTGGGATAATCTGAAGTGACAGTGAACAAGGCAGTGGGCAAAGGCTCTTAGAGCTCTCAGCCCCTGTCGGACCTGTCAGATGTGGGGGAGACCCCTGGCATTAGGGGAGAGGCTGCCCTTGCTCTCAGGGGTGGTTCCCCTCACATCGTGGCTGGGAAGGAAGGCCCAGGCAGGCATGTGGTGGTTGAACTGCTGAACTGGAGCAGCATGGTGGGCTGTGGCTGCCTGAGGGTGGTGGCCGGCGGCGTAAAGAGGAGACCTGGAGAGGGAGTGCTGATGGCCGCTAGCTCTCCTATTGCCCAGGATCCTCCTGGTGGGCCTTCATGAGCTTCTTCCTGACAGGAGCTTGGCTGTTCTTACCAGCAGGGAGCTCAGGATGGTGCTGTCGCCAAAGATGGCTGCGGTTCCCTCTGGGGAGCCTGGTCCTGAGCTGGGCATTGCCTCCTGGCCCTGGTGCAGGCCCTTCGCCCCACTGGACAGGCTCTCTGGCCCCCCGCTGACCTCTGGGCCTTCCCAGCACGGATCCATGAAGCAAACTGGCACAGTCCTTGTGGGCTCTGGACCTCCAGCTGGACTCGTAGAGGCACTGTCATGGGCTCTGGGTCTTCAGCTGGCCTCATGCAGGACACCGCTGTGGGGTCCAGCCCTTGGCTGAATGTCCTGAGTCGTCAGTGCTGTGGACAGATGTCCTGCACTTTCACGTATTTAACTCTGGTGGCCACCATAAAATAATGTTATCAATTCTGTGTCCTGACTCCAGTTGTCCCCTACAGCCCTGACCATAACACCCAGCCTAGCCTGCCCCGCTCTCTGTGGCTGGGTGGCAGGGAGTGACCACCGAGCGCTAAGTCCACGTCCAGGCCAGGAGACCGAGCAGCTGCCTCCTTCTCCAAGTGACCGGGCAGAGGAGCACAGGGCTGGCCTAGCTGTCCCCGGTGACAGCGGCTACAATACTCTGGGCCAGAAACTTTTTCTTTCTTTCTTTCTTTCTTTTTTGTCTTTTTCCTTTTTATTGGTGCCAGGGATTGAACTCACGACTGCCTGCTTTCAAGGCAGGCGCTTATGCCGCTAAGCTAAACCCCCAGCCCCATAGGCCAGAAACTTCTAAGGGAACCTCAGGAGAAAGCTCTAGATTCGTGCTCCACGTTGATGAGGGCTCAAGGGACATTGGCGGGTGGCCGGAGAAAGGCTTGAGGCACCAGGCTGTCCTTCTGGAAAACCCAGATGTTCTCTTCAGTCTTGCATAGTTTTAAAGCCAGTCATGCATTCCTGACTAAGTGGAGGACAGGAGTGTGGACAGACCATTTCCCCGAACTGTGCCAGCCACTCCTGTCCGAGGGACGGTCACCATGGGCCCCACTGGCACTCAGTCTACTGAGGGCAGCAGCTTCCTGGCTGCCCAGGTGCACCCAACGCTTCCTGGTCCACCCATCCCGAAGAGGCTGGTTGCAACTTAAGGCCAGAAAGGTTGCAGACAGGTGCCCACAGCCACCCCAAGGGCGGCATCCTGTCGCTTCCGGTGCTTCTATTCTTTTTTTTTTTTATATCTTTTTATCGGTACCAGGGATCGAACTCACGACCGCCTGCTTGCAAGGCAGGTGCTTATGCCGCTGAGCTAAATCCCCAGCCCCAGGTGCTCCTATTCTTCCAGAGTAGCTATCTTCTTCTTTTTGACCTTTTCAATAAAAACCATCTTTTATTATTTATCTATTTAGTTTTGCTTTTTGAGACAGAGTCTCACTGTGATTCAGGCTGGTCTTGAGTTCACTGCATAGCCCAGGCTGGCCTCGAACTCTCGGCGATCCTCCTGCCTCAGCCTCCCAAGTGCAGGGATGACGGGCATGCGCCACCAAGCCCAGGGTATCTGCTTGGGTTTTACAGTCTGCCTCTTTACTTTGTTACTGCAGCTGAGGGTTTACAGTCCCAACAGGATCCCCCCCCCCCAGTGCAGCCCAGCAGTGGCGTGGCGCAGAGGGGTGATGACCTAGGTTTTTATTTAATGAATTAAGTTTATGAGTACATTTTAGATACACACAAGGATCATTCGGCATAGAGAATTTGTACCTGTACATGATATATCTTGATTCTTCTTTTTTCCTGTTCCCCTGCCCTCTCTTCTATCCCTCTTTCCCTCTCTATTTACAAAAGCTTTGTTTCCATTTTTCCTTCTTTTCTCTCCTTTCCTTTCCTCCTTACTCTCCCTGGTTCCCCTCCCCACTTGAATATTTTCTTCCCCTTTGCATCTCTGTTATATGTTTGTTCCTTATTTACACTTTCACTTTCTCAGTCCAGAGAAGCAACATAGCCTTTACACATGTGTGTCTGATTTATTTCACTTAAGAGTATGGACTCAAGGTGATCCAGTTAGCTAGAAATGTCTCAGGCTTATCCTTCTTTATGGCTGAGTAGTACTTCACTGTATAAAAGAACCACGTCTACCTTATCCATTCATTGATTGGCAGGCATTTGGGCTGTCTCCAGGATTTGGCTCTTACAAACTGTGCCCCTATATGCATGGATGTGCCTGTATCACTATGGGAAGACACTTAATTCCTTAGGGAAGAGACCAAAAAGGGAACAGCTGGGTCCAATGGACCTCTAATCCTAGGTTTTTGAGGAATCTCCACACTGATTTCCGCACTGGTCTGCACGCCCACCAACAGAGGAGCAGGTTTCTTTCCCTACAGCCCCTCCGGAGTTTGCTACTGGCCTGTCACAAGTTACAACACGACTGCTTATCGTTTTGTCTGTTGCTTTTGGAGTCATCTTGGATTTCCTGGGGCCTGGAACAGAGGTAATAAATAGTGACTGATCACTGAAGGCCTTGAAGCTAATCACCTCTCTCCTGTTTCCAGCAGCTACCTGAGAACCTGACAGACAGCTGGACGCAGCTGCTAGGAGGACTCTGCCCTTCAGGACCAGAGGGGAGTAGCAGGGAGGGTGAGTCTCCTCCCTGGGCTGGGCTGGGCCTGTCCCTGAAAGGAGGACGGGCTTCCTTCGGCCCAGAAACCGGCTGACAGTGCTTCCGCCATAAGTCGTGGGCATCCTGGGCCAGTGTCTTGGTCTTGGTTCCCATCCTGGAGTTGGCCTTCATTAATGCTTCTCACAACCTGGTCATGCTCTGTAGTTCAGATACCAGGAACTTAGTATGCGGCCCAGCAACTCACAGGGATCCTCCTGCCTCAGCCTCCTGAGTGCTGGGATTACAGGTGTGCAACCCAGCTTCAGATTTCTTCTTGTGTGACAGCCATCAAACTACTGGTGAGGACCCGAACCCAAGATCAGAACCTGCTTCCACATTTGGGGTTCATCAAGAAAGCCTAGAAGGTGGAACTGGGAGCCTTGAGCTTGTAGACTCATCAGAATGGGGGTTTCAAGGAGGGTCCGTGCCCCTGGTCAGCTGGGAGCAGATGGAAACTCCTCCTTCGGGGCCCTCAGAGCTTTCGGGAGCAGGTTGCTAGGGAAGAGTGCGAAGAGCAGGGGAGATGGACAAGCCCCTCCCTTGCCTCCACTGCACTCCAGACGGTGCCAAGCAGTTGTTCCTGCTTTTGGCACAATAAATAAGGAACAAAGGTTAGGGGATCTCCTAGGTCAGCGCTGGCCCTGGAGCTCCCAGCCTGAACTTATGACTGCGGCCCTTTTTCCTCTGCCTTCCAGGCTCAGGAATATGCACTGTGTCTCATCAATACGATTAAGGCGAGTGGATTCTGGGCCGGGCACCCGTGCTGAGAGCCTTCAGCGGCTTGCACCCTGCTGGTCTCCTGCCAGTCCCATCTCTAAGCTCCCTTTCCTTCTGAGCCCAGGTGACCAGCTCCCTCTTTCCATGGTTGCCACCGCCCCTGTCCTGTGTGCATGCTCCTCTGTCCCCCTGTCACCTTCTTGGTCTGTGTCATGCCTTTGCTGGCACAGACTGGCCCTGAGCACAGTTTCCTGTGATCTTTGTGGCTTGGTTTTTCCCTCGTTGTGCACAAGAGCCAGGACTGTCTTTGGTGGGGTGTTCGGATCCCGGCGATTCTGAGAGAATTTTTGGCACAGCTAAAAAGATAAGAAGTATGAAATAAGAGTGGCCTTTACTTTAAGAATGTGGAGAGAGACTCCATGACCTCCGGGGTCTGGCATTCTCTCTGCCTGACACGTGGTGCGGGGCCATACATATAGCTTAGGTTTGGGGTGGAGCCTAAGGGGCATTACTGATGCACAGGTAGCCCATTGGAATTCATTTTGTGCCACAGGTAAATTGCTTAGGGGTGGGGAAGATGACCTCAAGATAGAGCCTCTTGGTTCAGCCTCCCACCGCTGCAGCTTCCATCCAGGGCACAAAATCCTTTAATTCCTGTCTTTTTATTATTTGGAAAAAGGGTGAAGTTTTTCTTTCTTTTATTGCTTCCTGCTGAAAGGGGGCACTGTACTGGGGTTTAGGAGTGTTGACAGGATGACTGTTGATGTCCATGTAGAAGCTGGTGCCAGGTGTTTTAATCAGGACAACTTTATCACTGGTGAATGCCCATATGTTAGACTGGAAAAAGAAAGAGACAAGGTCTGATGAGGAGGCAGGCCACTATCATATTTAAGGACCCAGGTGAGGTAGGAGGAAAGGTGCCTTTGATTTAGATATGTCATTTTATCAGGACCAGGTTGAGGTAGAATCATTGCCACAGTAAGGTAGAATTCTGAAAAATAAGTGTAGGGTTATGAGAGGTTATTATTAGGTAGAATTCTGAAAGGTAAGTGTGGGGTTATGAGAGGTGATTATTCCCCATCTGAGAGAGTAAAAGTTAAGAGGGTAGATAAGGCTTGTGTCTGGTATGCATGATGTGGGAGTCTTTAGAAAAGACTGTTGAGAGTCCTGCTATAAAAAGGATAATTAGTAGAATGTAAGAAATTAGGAACCAAATTGGATAACAAAACATGACAGCCTGAGAGTTGTGGCTGTGAGGCCTTGGTGAGGTGGAGATGAGTGGGCAAAATGATAGTTAGATCTAGGGTTGGGAGGGCACCACTTAGCCTGAGTGATGTGAAACCAGGATGGCAGTCTAACAACTTTGACCACTGTTGAGGTTGCCAAGAAGACCAGGTATGGGCCGCTCCACCTTGGTTGTAGTCCTTGGGATGATTTGCTGTAACAGGATTTTAGTAAGTATATCAGCAGTCTCCCTGGTTGTGGGAAAGGCTTTTATTTATCCTGAAAAAGTACAAACAAAGGTGAGAAGGTAAAATTTATCTGTCAGTCTTGACCAGGGTTGTGTCTGAGAAACTGGTAAATACGAAAGAAGGGGGTGCTGTATATCCCTGAGGAGAGAGTTTACTAGAGATAACAGGTGTAAGCTGTTGAGACCTCAGAGTGTCTAGGTCAGTCGGCATAAACACAAAGGAATAAAAAGGCATTTTTTAAGATGTAGGACTGTAGGGCTGGGGATTTAGCTCAGCGGCATAAGTGCCTGCCTTGGAAGCAGGCAGTCATGAGTTTGATCCCCAGTACCGATAAAAAGGAAAAAAGATAAAAAAAAAAAAAAAGATTTAGGACTGTAAAGTGAGTGGTGGAGGGAGGGTTTGGCACCACTGGGTGGATTGGGGTAACAGCACTATTGAGTATCTTAAGGTCTTGTAATAGAGGGTAAGACCCATCAGGCTTGAGTACCAGGAGATTAGAAGTATTATAGGGTGAAGGGGTAGGTTTAAGAAAACCATTGTCTAAAAGGCACTTAATTATAGGTTTAAGTACCTGTAAATGTTTGGAAGCTATGGGATATTGGGGAACACAAGGAAGAATTGAAGGATCCCTGAGATGAATTAATAATAGGCATGGCATGGGCAGTGCAGGTGGGATTGGAGGTATCTCAAACTATGGGATCGACCAGAGAAGAAGCAGTCTGGAACCTGATGAAATAGGCCCTGTCTGTAAAGGCTGCATAGGTTGGCTATCAATACCCCCTATAGAGACTGAGGACTTAATATAATGGCCTGAAAGCTCAGGAAGAACCCTATACATGGCCTCTATGTCCACAAGTATAGAGAATGTCTTACCTGAGACTTCTAGTGGGACTTGGGACTCTGAGAAGGATACCTTAATGAGGGCTGTGGACCCTGAACCCCATTAGTCTTCAGCAGCAAATCCAAGCAGATCTGTCAGTGATGAATCTAGCAGTGTTGGCATTTCCTGTGAGGGCTAGAATTTAGGATGGCTTACCCACTCTCTGGTGGCTAGGACTGTCCAGTAGTCCTGGGGTAAGGTCCCAAAGGAACGCCAGGATGGAGCACTCTCTTGCCCAATGTCCTTTTGCTACATTTGAGGCATGATCCAGGAAGGGCTCAGGAAGCTCCACCTTGTGTTGGTTTACCTATCTCAAAGCCCCAAGTGTCACTGCTAAAAGATCAGATTGTTATTTTTTTATCTCTGTTGTTGAAAACATGAAAAGCCATATTAAGAAGGTCTCCCTGTGGGGTTTGAGGGCCAAGTTTAGCCTTTTGTCTTGGGATCTGGTCCACAGTAGAAGGTATCTGTAGAATTAATTAAGTATGCAGGAGCCAAATACAATCAACAGGGTGTTTATGATTATAACTTTAGTAATGGCTTCCCATAAGGAGGATAAGGTCCAGAGAATTTTAGGAACTGACATGTCATTTATTTGTCATATATAAGTATCTCTTTATGCTATTAAAATATCTAATGCCATCTGATTTTTTGAGGATGGCCTGTTTTATTAATTTTACCTTTTTATTTAGGAGAGAGATCAGCTACGGTGTCATTTAACACCAGTTGAATACAATTAATTATGGCTCGGTGGAGTGCGGAGCCAGGGCAGGCAGACAGGCTGGGAAAGGCTCAAGCCTGGCCTCTGCCCCAGTGTTGGTCTGTGTGTTTTGCATGCATCATATAACCTTTTTTTCTGGAAAAGATGTAGTGGTTCCCAGCAAAAGGAATCCAAAAGGAATTTATAATTACCTCTTAATTTCAGGTGTTAAACATCTAGAAGATTGATAACAGTACAGTGCAATATAGGCAGTAAGCTTAACAAAGAACATTAAATGGCTACCAACCATGAGTGTTTTAACATTTGAACGCTGAAGAAATTTGTGAAATATCTCTAAGCGTATGGCTGGATCTGAAAGAAAACATTTGTCATCATACATTACATAAACTTTTGTTTAAAATTATTTGACTGGTTTACTCATGTTGGTCTGATTTGTATCTCTTGGCTAGAACACAAGAAAAAGACAGCAGAAACAATCCCCATTTTACACTTGAAAGTATGAATATACCTTCAGATCACCAGCAATGAATTGTCTTAGTCATATGAACTTTAGTTGAGGTGTCTCACATAAGGCTATGGGAGATTATTGAAGGCTTTAATTGATAAACAAGGCTGGTAAAATTACCAGGTGGCCACTTCCCTGTTTATCACTTAAAGTTTGTCTATTGTCTTTTCACCCCAGTTTATTTAACCAGTTTTAGCAACATTTTGACCAGCTGGCAAACTAGGTGGAAGCATGTTTTTTTGTTGTTGTTTTTTGTCTTTTTGAGACAGGGTCTCGCTATGCAGTTCAGGCTGGCCTTGAGCTCACTTTGTAGCCCAGGCTGGTCTTGAACTCAAAACGATCCTCCTGCCTCAGCCTCCGGAGTGCTGGGATTACAGGCGTGAGCCAGCACGCCCGGCTGAAGCATGTTTTTTAATATAACCCAAATAAAACTTGATTAAATGGTTTGAGAATGTAAAAGGGAAAAAAATGTTGAGCTCAAACAAGAAGGAACAGCTGTTCACAGAGCAGACAAATGGACAAACATGGACAATCTGTAAACAGACTGAACAAACAACAGATATATCTTATAAAATCAGAGTGCACTCTAATATATTTGGCCAATTTGAACTGTATTAAATAAGACTTGTGAATCCTTTTGTAAATTAGAGATCTCTTGAAATAAGAATTGGCCCCTTTTTTCCCCCGTAGTGTCTGGTTGTCTCCTCCTCTGAGCTGCTACTCAGAGCCGTGCTTGCGCTGGGGGGCGGGGAGCTGGGACTGCTTGGGAGACGTGAGAAGTGCACAGGGTAGGGGCGGAGTGCGCAGGGTGGGGGCGGAGTGCGCAGGGTGGGCAGAGCACCACCAGGGCACAGCCCAACGCTGTCTGCATGCACCTCCCCCAACACTGTCCAGCGTACCTCCCACATCCTGGCTGGAAAGGCGGGTCAGCGCCCCGCGTGGGGAGGGACTGAGAAATGGGTGAAGCAGGGAGGAAAGAAGGACACTGAGAAAGCTGGGGAGTTTGGTGTGTGAGATACAGGGGGAAAGCTGTAAAGAAAGACGCTGTCTCCTAAGTGTGGGGAGGGGGAGGGATCCTGGAGGAGCAGAGGGAGAGAAGGACACATTCTCAAAACAAAGGCCCAAAGATGGAGAGTTTTTGCAAACTTGTCCTCAGTGTGATAAGCTATCAATAGGTATGGTCTTTTGGGGGGACTGGAAGTGGTCCCCAAGATAACAAAATATGGTGTGGGGCCCGGCCTACAGAGTCACAGTCAGGTGAGCCTACGGACTGTGACCTAAGGCAGGTCAGGTTAGGTCGTCACCTAACTTCTTAGACCTACAGTGATAGGTAATCAGTTCCAAAACTCGGTCATCACCAAAAGGCATGAGTGGATTTCCCATAGATTACAGTAACGGCTCTGCCTCAGGGCTCTAAGGGACATGAGAGCTTAAAGGCTCTGCCTCAGAGCTGCCTAAGGATGTGAGAGTACCACTTGAGTCCAAGAAATGGTAAGAAAACCCATGTGGGGCCTGGCCCAGCGCCTAGCAAGCTCCGGAGTTTGCTCACCTGTGGTAAATGAATGAGACCGGTGTTGTTTGCAAACCAGCGGCACAAGTTTAGCACCTCCGGCATGTTGAGAAGTAGGGAATTAATCCAGTATGCAGTCCAGTTCGTGAATCAGCAGGGGACTCAAGACTGGGAGATCCCAGCAGTCTCTTGTCTTTGGTTCCGGTCAGGGAACCATCTGATAGAATTTTTGGCACGGCTAAAAAGATAAGAAGTATGAAATAAAAATGGCCTTTATTTTAGAAATGTGGAGAGAGACTCTATGACCTCCGGGGTCTGGCATTCTCTCTGCCCGACACATGGTACATATAGCTTAGGTTTGGGGTGGTGCCTAAGGGGCATTACTGATGCACAGGTAGCCCACTGGTATTCATTTCTCACCACAGGTAGGGCTTAGGGGTGGGGAAGATGACCTCAAGATAGAACCTGTTGGTTCTGCCTCCCAGCCTCCCACCGCTGCAGCTTCTCATCCAGGGCACAAAATCCTTTCAGGTTCCACGAAGCCAGAGGCCTCCACCTTGCCCTTGGCATAGCCTGGTGCTAAGGAGGAGCTTGGGCTGCTGGTGGGGGGGGGGTGCTGTGGAAAAGCCCCCAGCAGCTGCCTCCATCTGGCTCAAGCCTGGGGTGCCCGTGTGCCTGGATCCTGGCCTCACATGCTGGGTGTGAGCGCAGCTTTGGGTGCAGGGCCAGGCCAGGGAGGATCTGCACCCTCCAGGGGAGCAACTCAGGGATCCCTTTTGTAAGCAGTGTTGTTCCGCTCCAGGCCTTTTCCTGTCGTCTCCTCCTCCTCTTCCAGGGGTGCTGCATGGCCTGAGGCTGCAGCAGGGGAGCAGGTGCTTTGGGTGGTTGGTCCCCAAGGGGGTAGTGACTGGGCCTGGGCATGGGGCTGGTGCTTTGGAGGGGCTGGAGGTGGGTGGGCGGAGCTGCTCCTTCTGTGGGCAGTGCTGGGGATGGGTACCCCATCCCCGTGTGTGGGTGCACATGTGTGTGTGTGTGTGTGTGTGTGTGTGTGTGTGTGTGTGAGTTTGCATGGCTGTGCCTGTGTGTGTTTGGGGGTGCATCACTGTTTCAGCATGTTTTTTTTTTTTTTTTTTTTTTTGTCTTTTTCCTTTTTATCGGTACCAGGGCTCAAACTCATGACTGCCTGCTTGCAAGGCAGGCGCTTATGCCGCTGAGCTAAATCCCCAGCCCCCTTCAGTATGTATTTATGCATGTGCCTATGCCAGCACGTGTGCACCTGCTGAGACAGGTGTGTTTGCGTGTGTCTGTACGTGAACATGCATCCCAGTGTACGTCCCTGTGTGTTCATGTGTGTATATGTGTATGTCCATGTGTGCACCTGTGTTTGCGTGTATATGTCTGTGTATGTCTGCGTGTGTCTGTGCATGCGTTCGTGCGTGCATGTTTCCTTGTGCCGCTGTGTGTCTGTGCGCGTGCCTCTATGTCTGCCTGTGCCTGTGTGGGGCAGCCTGGGGAGGGGCAGGCAGCGGCCGGCAGTCAGGCATCTTCCTGCCTCAGCAGCCTCCACAGGCAGGAGGGGGAATGTCTATCACACCTGGACCCCCAGGGAGAGGGGACAGGGATGCGTGACGGATGATTGTGTGGAAGGGGGACCCAGGCTGCTGAGTGTGAGCAGGAGACCCCCACTGGAAGCCAGTCCTGCACACTTGAGACTCACATACAGCCCTGCCTGCTGCGCCTGGGCACCAGTCGAGTCCAGCTTGGGACCAGAGCAGGGGGATAGGAGAGGGCAAGGGGAGGCCACCCTGACCTGAGCCCCATACTTCAGTTCTTGGATCCTTGCCATGGGACCTTCCCTCCGTGAGCCTCGGTCTCTCTGTCTGTAGCACAGGACCGGCCAAGGCCTGGGGCCCCGAGGTGGCTGAGAGTGGGGCAGATGCCCCCCCTGCCAGTCTGGCGTCTGTCTCCTCTGGCCACGGCCAACACCCTCTCCCGGGCTGCCACCAGCTATTTGTGGCCACTAAGTAGCATGACAGCTGCTTTGCTTGGTGAAGTGTGACATTGCACTTTTCCGGATGGCTGGACGCTCCCTGGCTTGAAGTGCGCTAAGTGACAACCTCACTGTGTCCTGCCATCCCCCTTTACCCGTGTCCCCGCCTGCCTCCTCGCTCTGTGCTGGCCAGCGGTGGCAGTGGCAGGCTCAGGGCCAGACCGCCCCTGTCCTGTGTTCAGACAGGGCCCAGATGGAGTCCTGCAGCCGCAGGTGGCCTTGGGACACTTCCTCGGTTATTTTTGGCCCCTGAGCTGGCCGGTGGACTCCCTGCCAAAAGCAATTACTGAATTTTCATCTTGTTTTGCTGGCGGTTTAGAGAATGTCAAAAATGTTCCCCAGGAGACCCGAGGGCACCCTGGGGTGGGGAGGCGGGGGCTCGGGGGCCAGCTGTGCCCTGTCTGTCTCGGGAGCAGGCCTGCAGGGTGATGGAGGAGGGCCACGTGCCAAGGTTGCTGTTAGCTGCTGCGGGCCCCTAGTCCTGCCTGCTGCCCTGAGGCCTGGGTGCCCTGTCTGGTGCCCAGCTTTCCTCTATCCTGACACGGCCGGGGGCAGGAGAGGTAATCAAGGCTCAGAGATGTCTGTCAAGGTCCCGGGAGGCAGTGGGGTCCCCAGCTGCCACCGGATGCCGTGACTGCCACGGCATGCCCAGGAAGGGCTGCGCCAGCTCTGAGGTAGGCAGTGGGGCTGTGGAGGCCTCAGGGGCCAGATGGGACCTGCCCCAGGCTCTCCGTCCACCCTGGTCACCCTGGACCTGGGGGCCTGACCATTTCCCTTCTGACTGCTGGGTTGCTGGCTCTGAGCGCCATACTGGCAAGGGGGATTCCGGGTTTGTGGGTGATGGTGGTGGGAGGCTGCTAGGATCCCTGACCTCCTGTTGGGGCCCCGTGCCTGGACTTCCTCGACCCCAGCACCCAGGAAGTGCACCCTACCCTGAAGGGACTGTAACCTCGGGAGCCTGGGCGAGAAGAAGCAGTGATGACCGGGTCCCCAGATGGCCAGGATGTGGTGGTCTTGGCACAGGCGTCCTGGCACCTGTGTTCCAGAAGCCCTGGCCAGACCCAGCAGTGGCATCTGTGGCAGCCCAGCAGCGGGCTCGAGCTATGCCAGCTCTGGACCCACTTCCAGCCCCAGTGCCACCCAGGGTTCATGGGCAGCGACTCCGGCAGGGAACGGCATGACTGGGGGAAGGGGTGGCCTGGAGGTGCCAGCATTTGGGTGCCCTGCTTCTCTGCTGCTGTCTTGGACCCCAGGGGTCTTAGGGCATCGGCTTCCCTCCTGCCTTGTGCTTCTCATTCCTCAGAGGCCTTGGGGTTGGGCTCAGGAGGACAGGCAGGGCAGGGGCACGGGGTTGGGGGGCAGTTCTAGGGCTGGACAGGTTCAGGGACGGGTTCAGAGACCTTGGGGTCTGTGCCTACACTGGGCAGGCTTCGGGGAGCCCCTTGCCTGTGTCTGCCCCTTCCCTGAGGGGCTGTGCTGTGCTGACACGGTAGCCTCTACTCCTGGTCTAGCTGGGAACGGGGGACAGTCCCTGAGAAGATTTCAAGCCCTCAGCACACTCTTGACGTCCACCTCAAGGGGGCTTTGCGGAGGGGCGTGGGTGGGACTCCCAGAGGAGGGCTCTGGGCTGTGATCTCTGTCATCACCGTCTGCCGCCAGCCTCTCGGGGTGTACAGGGGTGCAGGGTCACCTTCCCCTCTGTTCTGGGGAGGGATCTGCCCAGGCTCTGTGTGGGTGGCTGTGTACCAACAGGACCCTGCTGCCTATCTTAGGGGTCAGTGCCACACCCATCACGGGCGGTCCAGTGTGACCTGTCCTGTCCTCGGAAAGCTCTGGCCTGGGGGGAACAGGAAACTGAAGACCCACAGCAGGCATGAGAGCCATGGACGAGGTCCAGAGCTGGGCTGTCTCCCAGGGGACAGCCACAGGGGGCACAGTCACCCCTGACTCTGGGCAGGGGCAGCTGGCCGGGGGTGGGTGCCATGTGGGTGCCAGAGGTGCCTTATCACCCTATGTCCATACGGCCTGGGCTTCTAGCTGGCCCTGTCACTTGCTCTGGACACATATTTACAACTGCAGGGGAGGAAGTCGGGGGAGCTCGCCTGCC